TATGTGGTGCTGAGGATTGAACCCAGGCCGCATGCATGCCAGGTGAGCCTGCTACCACTTGAGCCACATCCCCAGCCCACATTTGTTTCTAAATTTAAAAAAAAAAAATTTTTAGTCATAGATGGACACACAATATCTTTGTTTATTAATTTATTTTTTATGTGGTGCTGAGGCTTGAACCCAGTGCTTCACACCTGCTAGGCAAGCACTCTACCACTGAGCCACATCCCCAGCTCTCTAAATTTTTTTTTTTGTTGTTGTTGTTACTAGGGATTGAACCAGGGGCACTTTAGCACCAACCTACATTCCCTCCCTTTTTTATTTTGAGACAGGGTCTTGCAAAATTGGGATCCTCTTTCCCCAGCCTCTCTAGTGGCTGGGATTACAGGCTTGCACCATGGTGCCCAGCTCCTTTCTAATTTGAATAGTGATGTCAGTGTGTATCAATCCGCAACTGGGTTTTCTTTCTTCTTCTTCTTCTTTTTTTTTAAGCACTGAGGATTGAACTCAGGACTGTGTGCACTTGCTAGATAAATGCTCTACCACTGAGATACAAACCCAGCCCTTTAAAACAATGCTTATTTTGAGACAGGGTCTTGCTCCCAGGCTGGCATCAAACTCACCACCCTCCTACCTCCTCCTCCTGAGTTGCTGGGCCTACAGGTGTGTGCCGCTGCACTCAGCTGCAACTTGGGTCTCGTGGTAAGACAAGTGGGGAAACTGAAAATTTTGAGGCAGGGCAGTGACAAGATGTGGTTTATGTTGTAAGAACACACTTAGGCAATGACATGGAGAGTGACTGTCTGGGAGATGAGAGTGGAATAATAAAATGATCACAGATGACAAAAACCAGTCAATATAATAAGGGATCCTGGATAAATATACATTTGAATTTCTATTTATGTCCCTCTAAAGTGACTTCTCTGGCATACGGAAAGCAAACCCTCTGTCCTATCAGACTTCACTATGCACAAGGGAGCCAATGTCAAGGCAGGGAAACAGCTCTCGGCTTGAGTCAGCAGAGCCTGAAGGTTCCCTTCCATCTGCTGCGCGCTAGTGCCACCGCTCGATCCCTTCCTCCCTTGCACATTTACAACCAAGAACACCACACACTGCCATTTCAGCCTTCTATTTGGTTTTCCAAGGTTCAGTTACACAAATATCAAAGAAACACAAATGCAAATAGTGAGATATCATCATTTTACCTATCAGATGAGAGGCTGGCTTTATAGTAAGACTGCTCAATGCCAGGGAAGATTGAGCAGAGCCCTGCCTCTCTTGGTGGTAGGAACTGGCACTTGTGAAGAACTTTTCAAAGCCAAGCGGCTTGGATATTTGCATCGAAAGCCTTTAAAATGTACCCTTCCTTCAGTTGCATCTGGTAAATTTGTTTCTGGGAATTGTAGGGGTTGGAACTGTGGCTCAATGGTGGAGCACTTGCCTAGCATGTGTGAGGCACTGGGTTTGATCACCAGCACCACATAAAAAAATTAAATAAACAAAATAAAGATATTGTGTACATCTATAATTTTTTTTAAAAGAAGAAATTTTAGAATTGGACATTTAGTGGACATTCAACAATGGATGAGGGGCTGGGGTTGTGGTTTAGTGGTAGAGCACTTGCCTAGTACTCATGAGGCACTGGGTTCGATCCTAGCAACACATAAAAACAAATAAAGGCATTGAGTCTATACACAAATAGAAAAAACAAAAAAAAAAAATCAAAACAAAAAAAACCCAAAAGACAATGGATGATCTAAGAGTTTTGAGGGTGTTATATGAAAAGCAACATCCTACATCATTTTATCCTCAGAGACCATGGAAAGGTATATATTATGGCCATGTTACAGAAGAGAAAATGAATTCAGGGAGATTAGCAATGTAGTCTAGCACCTAAACCTATATGTAGAAGCAGGACTGTGACCCAAGCTTGCCTGGCTCTCCAGTGGGTAATCCTTTTACACTATCAAAAATACAACCATTAGGGGGCTGAGTTGTAGCTCAGTGGCAGAGTGCTTGCCCCTCATGTGTGAGGCCCTGGGTTCAGTCCTCAGCACCACATAAAAAAATAAACACAAATAAAGATAATTTTTAAAAAACCACAACCATTAAAAATGATACTTTTTTGGGGATTGTGGGGGTGTGGCTCATTAGTGGGGCGCTTGCCTAGCATGTGCAAGGCCCTGGGTTCAATCCCCAGCACTGTAAAAAAGAAAATGAACAAACTTTAAAATTTATATAACAAGGAAAAGAACATTAAGTAAAGAATTGTATATATAGGATTGTGACTTTGTAGTCATGGGCAATGGCACAGAAATAAGTAACACGGCCTGCCAAGGGAGTAGTCATACCCTGGGGCTCTGTTTTTCATATGTAGCTCACACATTTTCTTAAGTTTCTACTAAAAAAAGTATCATAAACATGTTTTGTTCCAATCATCTATTTTTACAAATTGCTTTTTAAATTTCTAAAAAACACTTTTTTTTTTTATACTGGGGATTTAACCCAGGAATGCTTAACCACCGAGCCACTTCCAGCGCCACCCCCCCCCCTTTTAAAATCACTTTTTAGTTGTAGATAGACACAATAACTTTATTTTATCTATTTTTATGTGGTGCTGAGGATCAAACCCAGTGCCTCACATATGCTAGGTGAGCGCTCTGCCACTGAGCCACAACCCCAGCCCCCCCCCCGACTTTTATTTCTATTTTAGGACAAGGTCTTGCTAACTTGCTGGGGATGACCTCAAACTTGTGATCCTCTTGCCTCAGCCTCCCAAAACTGCTGGGATTACAGGTGTGCATTACCATGCCTGGCTCTAACAAAACTGGTAATTGTATGCTGGGCGTGGTGGGGCATGCCTGTAATCATAATGGCTTGGAAGGCTGAGGCAGGAGGATCATAAGTTCAGAGCTAACCTCAGCAACAGCGAGGTACTGAGCAACTGAGATCCTGTCTCAATAAAATACAAAACGGGGCTGAGGATGTGGCTCAGTGGTCAAGTGCCCTGAGTTTAATCCCTGGTACAAAAAAAACCCCAAACCTGATAACTGTAGCAAGTGTACAGGACAAAAGCACTCCTCTCTGGCCTCAAATCTCTGTTCCTGGGCTGGGGCTGTAGCTCAGTGGTAGAGCACTTGCCCACCTGTGAAGCACTGGGTTAGATCCTCAGCACCACATAAAAATAAAATAAAGGTATTGTGTTCATCTACTATAAAAATATTAAAAAACAAACAACAACAAAAAACAACTCTGGTCCCTTCCCAGAGACGATGACAGTGGGTTCTTGGGTAAACTTCCAGGTAACTTTACCCATGCATTATCGTTTTTCAATAGCTTTGTTGACATAATTCATTTATTTTTTGTGGTGCTGGGGATTGAAGTCAGGGCTTTGTGCATGCGAAGCAAGCACTCTACCAACTGAGCTACATCCCCAGCCCAGACATATAATTTATACCCCATAAAACTCATCAGTTCAATGTGTACAGGTTGTGTACCATTTCTACTGGGTGTGTGGCTGCAGCAGAGAGGTTATGACTTGCTATGCTGCTTTCTTCCTGGTCCTGTGGCTGGAGGGAGTGCTTCTTGCTGGGATTTTTCCCATCTGTGCCCATTGGATTTCCAGGCTCCTGGCACCTTGAACTCTAAGTCTGGGACATATGAGGCAAAAAGAAAATCTAGGAAGCTTGCCACTGTGTTGCTAACTGGCCTTCCTTACTGCTCTACCTTTCCGAGTTTTCTCCTGTACAGGTTTTATAGCTATACTCAGCAAGAGGAATAGCACAAAACATGTCGACACCCTTCTCTCACAAGCCAAAGTTCTGCCTTACTTTTGTATTTGAGGTAAAATATGATAAAAAATTAAGGTGAACAATTCAGATTTACTTTCAGACCATTCATTATGGTGTGAGGCTGTCACCCCCAGTTCCAAAACATTTTCATCACCCCAGTTTTTGAAAAACGACTTTATTGATCATCCCAAATCCTTTCTAAAAATGACTTTATTGATTATACATATACCATACACTGCAATACTTTTTTTTTTGTATTGGGGGTTGAACCCAGGGACACTTTACCACTGAGCTACATCCCCAAGATCCTCTAAATTTGCTGGGATTACAGGTGTGTGACACTATACTTGGCTGCATTATTATTATTTTAAATATGCCGCTTTTATTTCTTAATTTGTCAATCGCTGCATTATTTTTATTTTTGGAACTGGGGATTGAACTCAAGGGTACTTAATCAAAATCCCACATCCCCAGCCCTTTTTATTTTGAGAGACAGGGTCTCACTAGGTTGTCTACAGACTTGCTAAATTGCTGAGGTTGGCTTTGAACTGGCAATCTTCCTGCCTTAGCCTCCTGATAGGACTATAAGTATGTAATAACACGCCCAGCTGCATTACTTTTTTTTTTTATTGGTATGGGGATTGAACCTAGGGGTGCTTAATCACTGAGCCACATCTCCAGCCCATTTTTGTGTTTTATTCAGAGACAGAGTCTCACTGAATTACTTAGGGTCTTGTTTAGTTGCTGAGGCTGGCTTTGCACTTGAGATCCTTCTGCCTCAGCCTCCAGAACTGCTGGGATTACAGGCATGCACCACTGTGCCCAGCTGTTTGCATTACTTTAAAAAAAAGGGGGGGGGGAACCCACCAATACATTTTATTCAAAGTTATTTTCTTTTAGTTGATCTGAAAGCTAACCAAGTTGCTTTCTCACTTTCTTTTAATTAAAAAAAATTTTTTTTAGCTGTAGTTGGACACAATACTTTTATTTTATTTATTTTTATGTGGTGCTGAGGATTCAACCCAGACCTTGCACGTGCTAGGTGAGCGCTCTACCACTGAGCCACAACCCCAGCCCCAACATTCTCTTAATTTGATAAAGATGCAAGCCACAACACAAAATTAAGATCCTCTCAAGGAGATGGAACAATTAGTATCAGGGACAAATCTCCAGTGATTAATGCATGTATTTAATGACCAAACAGCCAAGTGGAGTTCAAAACAGCCCTTCTTTAATCTTAAGTCTCCTAAAAGAGAAATATTGTGCATCATAAACACCACACAGAGTGGGAATAACTGTCCTTTTGTGACTTGTCCCTTCACATTGTGCCATTGTGTCTTCCTGAGCCAGGTGCCTCTGATCTCACCTCCTGCTGCACTGCCAGGCATCTCAGCTTGACATGTACCCCCTTCCCAGGCAGTTCACACAGACTCCCTCTGGGTACCTGCAGTCTTCCACCCACTTCCACTGGCCCACGGTCCCAGCTCCACACTTGCTCTTGCCCTTCTTCCTTTTCCATTTTCTGGGGAAAACTCCTTGACAGAGCCCATCTGGATTTTTCATGTCTCTGGTTGGGTCACTGCTGGATGCTGGCACAAGGACTACCTCTTTTGGTGATGGTTGGACACAGCAGCTATCAACTAGTGGCTCTGTGGAAAGTCCCGGACTTCTGAGTGCAGCGTGGTGGCGGCAGCTCCAACAGGTCAGTGGTAAATGTGGGTTTGGGCTCCAATCCAGGGTCAGGGGCAGCTCCAGATCTTAGGCTTCTAGAAACTTCTGCATTCTAGCTTTTCGTCTCTCTTTTATTCCTTCAGTCCTTTTAAGAACTTTTGCAGCCAATCTCTGACATTAAACCCCTTTCCTGCTCGGCATGTCTTTCTGACTTGCCACTGACCGATACACACTACAACTAAAGTTAAATAAATGTGGACTTATAATAACATTTAATATTTTAATTTTTATAAATGGAATAAATAGGATTTGGGTATTTGCTTTTCTTGAAGAGAACAAACTCTCTTTGCATTTTGCTTCCTTCATGTAGGGTGCAAAAAAAACAGTCTATAACCGAGTCTATAAATTATACAAGGAAAAGGCAATGAAATTATTTATTAATTCAGGACAGGAGTTCTTTATGGGGTAATTATGCTAATATTGAGCATCTTAGTTATTCCTTGTGGGACAACATTTGACAAATAGCTATGACATATAGATTGCATAATTTTCTTTCTTTTAGAGAGAGAGAGAGAGAGAGAGAGAGAGAGAGAGAGAGAGAGAGATTTTTTTTTAATATTTATTTTTTAGTTTTTGGCGGACACAACATCTTTGTATGTGGTGCTGAGGATCGAACCCGGGCTGCACGCATGCCAGACGAGTGTGCTACTGCTAGAGCCACATCCCCAGCCAAAGATTGCACAATTTTCAAACTGTAATAAATATAGTCAGTTAGTAGTAGACTCCAAACTTCTTCTTGTCGTTTGAAAAAAGGTTTGATGATTTACTATAATCCATTGAGGAACGTCTAAATGGGAAGAAACACAGTATATTTTATGCATCAGTTTTTTAAGTAGAAAATAGATAAACTATAGAACTTAAGACTTAACTCTAGTGATAAAAATCTATATAGAAAATTAGTTAGCATTTTAGACATTTGGCTAGGAAGAAAATATTTTAAGGGTAACAAATTTGTCTTCTAAGTCAATATTCTCCCTTTTTAAAATAAGTAATCTTAAGCTACTGAGCACAATGGACTGGAAGTGAACACTGTTAGTTACTGATGGGAATTAAGAAAATGTAAGCTTATTTTAATATGCCTTATCTGCACAGAAGGAGACAAAGAAATGTCATACTTAGGTTTACTAAAAGTAGCAAAACATCAAAGTAAACTTTCACCTTACGTTTAAGTTTATATTTACTTACATTTAAGCAAATATAGGAGTGAAATTAATTTATGTGCATATTTTATTTACAAAAATTTGGAAAGTTGTACAACATGATGTTAACAGATCTCTGTCTGGACAATGAGATCTGAGGGACTCAGTTTAGCCTTTTTTGCCCTTTGATGTTTCTCTTCTTCCTATAGGGTACATACATGTCTTAGGTACTTAAAAAAGAAGAAATAAAAAGTAAACACTACTGAAGCATAACAGTAATATATACCTTTTTTAAAAATTTAGTTTTTCACTTGTTTCAATATGAGAAACTACATTCATGAGAACTTGTGGTGCTGGAAGCCCTGAGGAGACCATGGCACTAAAGCCCACCTGAGCTAAATGGCTTGCCTGAGTCATATGCTACCCACTGGCATGGCTCAGAAGAGAACCTGGCCTTGGGACTTCTGGGCATGGACTCTAATGCAAGAAGTGCTGCACCATGATGATTCTGGTCAAAGGTGGACTGCACCACCTGATGGCGGTCCTCTCAGATTATAAGAGAGCTAAAATGTTCCACTGCCTAATGACATTTCAATTGTCATGCGTAGTGCAAAGCATGACTCGTGTTTGTGGGAAGCTGGCAAAAAATCCTATTGTGCTGCCAGTTTATAAAAGTACAGCACGTCCAATTATGGATAGTACATAAGGCCTGACAATGACAGCCAACCGTTACATGCTTCCCGTACACACGTTTTCATCACTATTTTAGAGTGTTCTCCTACTAAAACATAGCTCACTGTAGAGCAACTGGCCACGCCGTGCTGGCAGCAGCCTCACACCTCGTGCCTCCAGTCTTCCAACCACAAAAGGCCACATTCAGCGGTCCACCCAGACCACCTGGGTTAGCGCAGACATATTCCACGATGTTTGCACAACACATTTCTCAGAATTTAGACCTACGTGATGCAGAACTGCATACACACATGTAAAAAGACATTTCTGTCCAGAATGCCAGGGTTAGCTTCAAGATCACAGAAGTGGAAATGGTGTTGGGTTAGACCCTAACCACTGGGCCAGGCTTACCTTCAGGACTTCACAGGGAGCCACATTTGGAGGCACAGGTTTCCCCCAGTGCCTTGAATACTCAGTTATCAAAGCTGAAGCTTCATCTACACTGTGGAATCAGAAGGAAAAGGGAGTTGTGAGGAAGGGTGATAAATGTCTGCTCTCTAATTATTGTGGTTGTGGCTTAAGCATATATGGATGTCCAAATTTTTCAAACTGGGTACTCTGTCAATTAGACCTCTGAGAACAATATTCATTTATGAATGACAATGTGTAACGATGGCTGGGTCACAAGGGTGAACAAGCAGAAAACAATCCATGGTGTGGCGGCTGAGAGTCACCTCTCATGATTGGCACAGCTAGGTCAGATGAGGAGGGGCCAGTCCCCACTCAGTCCCGCCTGCACTCTCCCCTCCTGCAGCATCAGCCCTTCTTCCGCCTCCTTTTTGCTTTCATGTCTGCTCCCAGTTTTACCCCTAGCAGCTCACTGTTTCTGGATTTGTGGGTGCAGGAAAGCCAGCCAACAAGGCTGGCCAAGGCTCCATGCTACCCAAAGTGGTCAGCGCTCTGAGTAGGTGTCCCAAGAACAGGGCAGTCACACAGGGCCTGGAGCAGGACTGAGACTCACACTGTGGGGATTTAGAAAGCTGGTCTATTGTGATTCCAAGTCCATGTTCCAAGGGTTTGGATGACAAATGACAAGATGACTAACTTCTGGGAATGTGTTCTAGGTTAGTATTTGTAGCTATTAATTACAACCACCCAGCTCTATATTTTTTTTCACATTTTCTTCCAAAACAAAGATACATCTTAAGCAAATTCTTCAGAAATCTGTCTGCCCCAGATTAACTCACCTTAATTCATTTGCCAAGTAGCGTGTTAGTTCAGTGATGTTATTGGCATTTATCATATGCAACTTCAACATTTGGAAGTACTTTGTCTTTGCCAAAATTCCAAACTCCTTCTTATTTATGACATCATTCAAAATCAGATTTCGAATCTACAGAACAACAGGTATCATGACATTAAAAAAGTGTAAATGTCTAAGTCTTTATTCAGTCGTGAGAATTTCTGACAACCAGAAGTTGAACTATCACCGTGTTGGGACCAAGCCTGTTTTAGGAAGGGGTGAAAAGGAGAATGCTTTGGCCCAGTGTTGTACACAGTAAATAAATAGACAGCTATTGTTAAGCACTTTGGACTTTTTAAACAGTAAACAAGACAGCTGGGATCTGTCTTTTGTTTCTTTTTTCTCATGGTGCTGGGGATTGAACCCAAGGATGCTCTATCACTGAGTTATATCTCTAGCCCCTTTTATTTTGAGGCAGGTCTTGTTAAGTTTCCCAGGCTGGTCTTGAATTTGCAACCCTCCTGACTTGGTCTCCCCAGCTGCTGTAATTGCTGATGTGCACAACCCTGCCTGGGAGGGTCCTTTCCTTTTTTAAAAAAAAAAAATCTACTAAAGTTTAATAAACACAAAATAATTTTATATATTAACAAAGAGCTAGCGATAGATAGTAGTTTCCTGCTTAACTTTTTGGGTAAAACGATCACCTTCTTTTGTGCATGTGTGTGGTGCTGGAGAGGGAACCCAGGGTCTCGTGCATACTAGACAACTGCTCTACTACTAAGCCACATCCCCAGTCCAAGGAGGATTACCTTCTAGGATCAAATTTTCATAGTAAAAAGGATATGGAAAATGCCTCTTACTTGGTGTGAAAATCCAGCTAATTGGCCTTCACTCATGTGCTCTTCTAACTGCTGTAAGATGATCTGAGGATTGCATGAACCCAGAAAACTCTAGAAAAAAAATCAAGCACAATTTTAAAAAGTATTATTACTTTCTGTAAAGCCTGGAAAGTTTTAATTTTTAAATTTGAAATATCTTAAAGAATTTCTAATATAGGAAAATAATCAACTTCTATTACCAAAAAATTACTGAATAAAGGAAAGAAAGCATTTTATAATTATTTATTCCAACAGCAAAAGCTGTTTATTAGGAATTTTGTTGTTCTAAGAGAGAAAAACAATCTATTTAAACACTGAAATGTTGAAAAGCAACAAGAGATGAGTTTATGAGTAATCAGAAAAGAAAAAAATGTCAAAGACAAGCACAGATGGCTTTTAAAAAATGCAAGTAATAGACCAAATGACAAACAGAAAACATGCATATTCATTTATATAAATCTCTATCTACTGCCTTATCTACCAGGAGAGGAAATAACTGAAACATTTCAAAATACTTTGTTCTTGTATTAAGGGAAATGAGGGTTAGTTATTTTTAAAAGTTCTGATCTCAAAATGCTCAAAGCTTCCTTTGTTAAAGACCCACACATAAAACCTCTCTCTTATCTCTCCTATCCAGCTGCTAAATCAGGCTGTCCTCTGCGGGGCCTCCCCATCTTGTTCAATGCCATCACCACTGCCCTTCGGTTCTTACCCTCTAGCTTCTGCCGCCTACCCACAGGTTGTCATGTATGGATCAAGTGAATTAAAATTCTATTCCAATGCAAGAGTTTCCCAGTAGTTTTCCTTCCTGCCACATCTTTCCTCTGATCAAGTCTACATGAGTTAATGTTCCTTCTAAGATATTGACTTTATCATTTTACTTTGTTATTCCAAGAAAATCACATGTTCCCACAGAGAAAGAAGAAGTCTTTCAAGACATCTCTCAGGTGGACCTCAATCTATCCTTGTGTCTTACCTCCTACTCACCCCCCAACACAAGCTTTTCATCTCACCCAGGCTGACTTATCATGATTTATAGGTTTGGCAAAAAGAAAATGTAGACTTTTGTCAGAGATGTGCAATATGAGACCTTCCATGTCCTTGGCAACCCGGAGTACAACGTGCAAAATACCTTAATTTGCTGGTGTCTCTTTTCTGAGTGGGGCATGAGCATCAGACAAGCTAATGCAAAAGCCGGAAGCTCCAACTGGACATACTGCTTGGCGATTCCCATCATGTCGAGATCCCCTGAAACTGGACATCTTCAAGAGAGCATGTTAATTAGTTAAAGACCTATCAAACTTCCTAAACTAATTGTCCCTCACAGCTTTCCATAATTTTAGATCCCAAAGTGCTGGTAGTAACATGTGCTTAGTGATGAGTAATTCGAGAGTTTAACGGTCCTCTGCACAGAATAAAGAGACTGGCCCACAGGAACACAGAGCACTATCCAACTGGCATGATTACGTCTACAGATGCATAAGATAAATTCTTAGAATATTCAAAACCTATGAGACAACACTATAGAATTTAAGGTAGTCACAAATGGCACTCTATGCTTATATATATATATATATATATTTTTTTTTTTTTTTAAATACTTTTTTTAGTTGTTGATAGACCTTTATTTTATTTATTTATATGTGGTACTGAGAACCGAACCCAGTGCCTCATGCATGCCAGGCAAGTGTGCTACTGCTGAGCCCCAGCCCCAGCCCCTCTACACTTATATTTACATCAGGTACTAATTTCAGAGACTGTCTAGGAGTTCAGCTCACTATGGAACTGGAAGGCCCACACATGGGAAGCAGACATGGCAAAAACTAAAAAACTTGACTTCCTAAGAAAAAGGAATTATGTCATTCCCCCCCTTATCTATGGGAAGTATATTACATGACCCTCAGTAGATGCCTGAAACCACAGATAGTACTATGTAGATAGATATAATATTACTATTTAGATAGATACTATTACTATTACTATAGATACTATATATTACTATTATATATATTATTATATATATTATATATATATATTACTATTATAAATATACTAAATATTACTATTATAATATTACTATTATAAATATACTAAATATTACTATTTAGATAGATACTATACTATTACTATAGATACTATATTACTATATAGTAATATATAGTATATATCTATATATAGATACTATATTACTATTTAGATAGATATAATAGTTTAATTTATAAATTAGGCAAAGTAAGAGATTAGTAATAACAATAATAAACTAGAACAATGAGAATAATACTCATTTTTTAAAAATATATATATATATTTTTAGTTTTAGGTGGAACAATATCTTTATTTTACATTTATGTGGTGCTGAGGATCGAACCCAGTGCCTCATGCATGCTAGGAAAGCACTCTACCACTGAGCCACGATCACAGCCCAATAAAATATTCATTTATAATGAAATTAAGAGCATCGCCAGGATTGCACTATGGGGCTATCATTAAGTAAAATAAGGCTTACTTAGACAAGAGCCCTGCCATCCCATGACAGCTAATCTGATAACTGAGGTGTACTGGGAGACTATGGATGGGCAGTGCAGGCCCATAGGCAGGCGGGGCGGAGGGATGATATGCATCCTGGTGGGGAGGCATGAGGCTTCATCATGTTATTCAGAATGGGGTATAATTTAAAATGTATGGATTGTTTCTGAAATTTTTCATTTAATATTTTCAGACTAAGATTGACAACAGATAAGCAAAACCACAGAAGTAATACTCAGCTGAGGGGAGAACACAGTGCTTGTAGAGATGTCTCCTAGAAAGGAATTTTATAAGCAACAAATTCTATTTTCTTGGTAGGAGAACAGACATTTTACTTACTCTAGGACAGCGATGAGACTCTCACAACAATCTGACAACTGACTGGGTCTTAAAGGACAAGAGGCTGGAGAGAAAAAAAAACACTGATGCACACAGGTACTCAGGAACACAGTGTTACTGTCAGTGCTGAAATATTGGACGGAAAAATACCTGAGAGCAGTGGTATCTGAATCACGTGCTGCCAAGCTTTGCTGAAGTAGGGAACCTGCAGACATAAGCGCATTAAAGAATTCACATCCAGGACATTATGAACTCACACAACCATACAGTTAAAGCTTATGTTCTGGATGCTAAAACCAAATCAGAAGCTGCTATCCTGCTATCTCCCTGTTGGAGGTTATTAAGATTCTAGGATAATTTTCTTCATGACTGTGTACTTTAGGATCTTTTTATATACTCTTGGCTGATTCATACGTTCCATTTGTCACAAAATGTCAAAAACTCAACTCAGAAAACAAAATTAACACTAAGCCTATTTTGTGTCAGACATTATGCTTGGGCCATAGGAAAGGAGGAAGGGGACCAGAGAAGGAATTTCAAGAAAGTGAGTAAGAACAGATTCCCAAGGGTAAAAGAATGCTTAAGTGACTTCTGCTACACTTTACACCATATTATGGAGGATAATTAAGAAAAAAAATAATGAGCTGCCTCAAAAGGTGAAAAACAGAGACACTATAAGACAACAATCCCACTCTTACATACATACTCAAAGGAAAACTTATGTCCACATAAAAACTGTATACAAATGTTCACTGCCATGTTATTCATAACAACCAAATTCGAAACAGTCCAAGTGCCCAACAATTGATGAATGGGGAAATAAAATGCTGAACAGTCCACCCTCTGAATCCTCAGATTTTACATCCAGGATACAATCAACTGAGTGTGGGACATGCTTGCAGGGGGAAAAAAAATTGTGCCTTTACTGAACATGTACATATTGGCATCAGATCTGCCATTTTAGGTCGGGAGCCATTTTTATCTAGCCAATTTTATCCATTTTATCAAAACCTAGGGACTCCTAGGTTTTGATTTAGGAGCCCTTTTATCTGGAGATAGTGAGGTAATGTTGCTTAGCCTCCCCTAAGAACATGTCCCTGCTAAAGGGTGAACCCCACCCCAGTCCAAGACGTAATTCCTAAAGCATGCCTGTGAAATTCCTCTCACAGGCTATAAAGCTGCTCTGGGAGTGCCCACAGGCTGCTGCTCTCCTTGGAGGGACAGCCTTGACGGTTTGCTCCAAGCTCTGATTCCTGTGTGTGGTGTGGTCTTTAGATTTTGTGTGGACTCTGCGAGTGTCCTTTCAGTACAGATGTGTTTCCTTGTCATTATTCCCTAAACAGGACAGCAGAGCAACTATCTATGCAGAATTTATATTAAATTAGGCACTGTAAGTGATCTAGAGATAAAGCACACAGGAGGGTATGTGTAGGTTCTATGCAGATGCTCTGCCATTTTCCATAAAGGACTCAAGCATCCAAAATGCTGGTGTCCACAGGGTGGCAGCAGTGCTTGTGGTGCCCTAACACCAATCCCCTATGGATAAAGGGTCAGCAGTATATCCACACAGTGGAACATTACTGGGTAATAAAAGAAATGCTGTAGGGGCTGGGGCTGGGGCTCAGTGGCACAGTGCTCCTCTAGCACATGCGAGGCACTGGGTTTGGTCCTCAGCACCAAATAAAATAAGTAAAATAAAGGTATTGTGTCCAGCTACAGCTAAAAAAAAAAAAAAACTTGAAAAGAAAAAAAAGAAATGCTGTAATGTAGCATTATTCTAAGCGGAAGAAGTCATATACAAAAGGCTATAAATTATATGGTTCTATTAATACAAAAATGCCAGAATAGATAAACCCACAGACAGAAAGTAGATAAGTGTGTGAGGGCTAGAGGAAGGAGAGAATGGGGAATTGCTACTAATGGATATGAAGTTTCTCTCTGGAGTGAGGAAAATGTTCTAGAACTAGAAACTGGTGATGGCCACACGACTATGTGAATACATTAAAACCCACATAACTGTACACTTTAAAAGGGTAAATTTTACCTTAGTTTAAAAAAACTCTCTCATTCTCTATCTATATATACACATAGACACACACACACACACACACTTATAACTCTTTCAATATGGAACAATCTCCCAGATACCACTGTTAGATGAAAACAGCACTTTGTCTAGATAATGTAATTGCATTATTGTGTATATAAGTATACATACACGCCTATATGCTTATACAACAGGAAAGCTCTAGAAGGACATGTGAGAAATTACAAGCAGTAGTTACCTCTGGGGAGATAACTGTGAAGAGAAATAGTAAAGGAGAATCTTTGTGTTTTACTCAGTATATTTCCATATTCTGATATAGTAAGCTCAGAATAAACTACATATTTCTATATAATACATGATGATACACAGTGATAATGCATACACAAGTTGGAAGATTTAGAAAAAAAAATAAATGAGACATGGTCTCCGACTCTGAGGATCTTCAAGGCCTACTAAGGGCAGTCGAACATAAACAAAATGAATGACTCTGTGACCAATGTTAAGAGCAGAGACCAAAGGCCATATGAAGGTGTGGCTGACAAGGCCTGGAGAACTCAGGAGAGCACTGTCTTTGAGGAGACAAGATGTGAGGATTCTGGAGCATCATCCTGAGGGCTAATCTATACTGTTCTTTTCTTCTTTCCCATTCTGTTCTTTACTGAGGACCTGACTTTTTATTTTAGGGCACCTAGCAGTCGAAGGCTAGCAAAGGCAAAGACGAAATTTCATGATATTTACTTTAAAAAATTACCTACCTGCCATAAAGAATGGAAACTAGAAATGGCTGCTAAAACTTTCCTTAGATAAGGAACCTATAAAAAGAAATAAAATGAAAAGTTGTAAAGATTACCATGATGAAAAATTTCAACATGAAATATCAGTTTTTCTTTTTTTAATTTCTTGTAGCTATAGATTGATACAATAGCTTTATTTTATTTATTTATCTTTATGTGGTGCTGAGGATCGAACCCAGGGCCTCACACATGCTAGGCAAGTGCTGTGCCACTGAGCCACAACCCCAGCCCCGAAATATCAGTTTCTTAATGCTTTAAAAGCAATAACCATAAAAGCCTATCTTCTGTTAACACTGCCAGAGAAGTTCACTTTAAACCCATAAATATCAGAAAAGGCTAGGATTCCAAGTATTTCCAGCACAATGCAGGTCAATTTTGAATTTGCCCTTTCTCCGGCCTAACACCATTTTTCTTCAGCTTGGCAGGAGCTCAGTGGCTGTGGATATTTTCAGCATGTACCTGCTCAGTAACTGGTGCCAATTTGAAATGTGTAAGGGATCCTATGTACGAGTTTCCAGAAATCCTTAGTCTTACCATATTGAAGCCAAGAAGCTTTTGCAGGAGTCCATTCCAAAGTTGCAGGTCACAGATTTTGTATTCTAAACAAAGCTCTGTTACCAATCTTACCGCCTAAAGCCAAACAAAAACAAATTGGAAACAAGAAAGAAAAGGGGAAAAAATTAATCATGTTGTTTTGAGGCATCGGTAAGTTCAAAGACCTCTGAAAAAGGTAGGGCAGCTTAATCCAAGATGGGCACATCATCTACAATGTCTATTGCCTAATTCAATGAAGGCTTCTTTCTAAGGAAAGAAATAGAAATTCTTCTTTGTCTTTCTTCTACCTTAGAAGTTTGCTTGCCCTGGGATCCAACTATCTCTGTCACCAAGTTCCTAAAGGTAACTAAGTAAGAGAGGAAGGATACCCCTCCCCATCGGGAGACAGATGGCCTCAACGCCCCTGACAAGCCTTGGAGGGGACTAAAGTGCTCTTTTTAATATTGGCAGGGACAATGGCCAGTGGGCTTCACGGGAGCAAAGGGGAGTTTCCACGTTGCCCTGTCCATCCACATGCCAGGACAGGACGTAGGAAAGTCCAGTGGACCTGCTCAGGGAGAAGGGGTCTCTCAGGACCCTGAGCAGTGGTGAGCACCTGAGTGGCTGCAATAGCACAAGTGAAGACCAGAGCCCAGGTCCGCTGACCCTACATACCATAGGCTCATGCCTGTGGTTCTTCCACAGGCCCTTGACCATTCCTTCTTTAGGACTGTTGCAAAATAATTCAAATGTGATGGGGATATTCAACATCTCAAAAGCTGCCAGAAAAGTCATACATTTCAAATAGGATCTGGAAAACAGAAGTATTTGTAAGAATCATTCTCACAGGCCACATTCGCATTAAAAAAAAAAAAAAAAGCAAAAGCAACTACAAGGAGGTATGTAATGAGGCCGGTTTGTTGTTAAATGCTCATTCTGGGCTTTAAATATATTCTCAGAATGTAACATTAGATAGCAATCAATTTCAAGAAGATGGAGAAAATATTCAGTTTCTAAATACTCCTAAGAAATGATGTTGATAAGATGTTCCCAAAGGCCTATTTCCCCTTTGCCAAAATGTCAAGGCTGTCAAGGCAACAGAACTACATTGACATAGGTACTCAAAGGCACTCTAATAAATTAATAGACTTTAAAGTTACCGTTCAACAAATTCTACTTACTTTACTTCTTCAATGGTTTTTTTGAAGAGAGATTTTATAGTTTCCTTGTCAGCCAAATAGAGGAGACACTGAAGAGCTCTTGTTTTGTAGGCAAAAGTTAACTGACGCATGCCCAATGTCTGTAAAACCAAAAAAGGCTTGGATATGGACACACTGCATGCTGTAGTTGGGTAAATGGGTGTCAAGCTAGGCAGCATAAGCAACATCATTCTTTTCCCCCTTCAAGCCCTTCAGGAATGCACAGTGGGGAACAGTGGTTCTCAGTGTGCAGTCCATGGACCTGGAGAGGTACTCCTGACACTTCAGGAGGAAAAGGGCCCAAACTATTTTCACTATAATACTAGATTGTTTGCCTTTTAGAGTTGATATTTGCACTGATGGTGTAGAAGCGGTGGTGGGTGAAAGTGCTGGCAAATAGAGGCAGGGACCCCCCACTGTCCCAGCAGCTATTGTATTCACACGCACACCACATGCTCCCAGCATGAAATACCAAAGCTAAGCTGGGCATGGTGGCCACACCTGTAACCCCAGCGACCTGGGAGGCTGAGACAGGAAGACCACAAATATGACACTAACCTTGGCTACTTAGATTCAGTCTCAAATAAAAAACAAACAAACAAAAACCTCACAAAGATGACTTTCACATAAGAATATTTTTGATCAAGCACTGAAAATTGACTTCATAGATTGGGGATGTAGCATAGGGGTAAAGTATTTACCTAGCAAGATTGAAGTCCTGGGTTCCATCCCAAACACCACACACACACACTCTCACAATTATTAAACTACAACTCTTGGATATGTATTATATTAATAAGAATTCACATTTGAATACTTGTTGATATTGATTAACCATAATGTATTCATTAATACTCTGTATGGAAGACAAAGTTCACATACAGCATGCTGTAACAGGAGGAAAAGTGCCATCAGCTGAGCTAAGCTGACCAGCCACTCATCAGGGAATACCATTTCTGCTTGAAAGAACGACTGAAAGACAAGCTAATGGGCAAGGAACTCACATTCAGCACCTCAGACTCTCCCCCTTTCCTCCTGAGGATCACTTTCCCAATGGCTCTGTACCCTTCCTCTCTGCTCCAGCTGCCCTAGAGAATGTTTCTGTACACAAAAGCCTGATGTCCAAAGCAGCTGTGCTGCCTTTAGCAGAGTCTAGCTAGAGTCTACTGGGTGACTGAAGCCGAAGCCGGGTGATGGAGGACAGTGAGGCTGAACAGGGACTCTTCTTAGGACCAGTCTGCTTGGTGCCCTGGTATGAGGAAAGCAGACTGACCCAGAGGTTAATAATCCCAAACACCTCAAACCTGTGGGAGCTGTCAATGGGTCACCATTCGGTCTGCTAAGTGGACATTACAGAGGACAGTGCTAAATGGAGCATACTGTATTTAATAATCCTTGTTTATAAATTAAAATAAGTACTTATGTATTTTAATAAGTGAGCATTATCTGAATTATCTATTATAAAATTGAACATGGTAAATATGCAGGAAAAACATGTTAAGCTAAGATGCCCCCAAGGTTCTGATTAAGTTTATAGAGCTTACAGTTGTAGCTGATGTTGCGCATACAAACAGTATTCTTGAACTATAATCAATCGGACGAGACTGGAGGAGATACACGACTCTGGAAAAAAAATTCAGTTACATTCATTTTGAAACCTAGTGATAGATTACCCAACAATAAAAGACATCAGGCATGTTGGCCAGAAGGATTATGATATTTTTGTTTTCCCTTATAAGATACTTAATCTTTTCTTGAGTTCCTTCATAGCTAAAGAGAATAATATACACAATAAATGCCAGGCCTCAGCATCCTAATCTATAAAACAGCTAGCCAGTCTCTGAAATTTAAATTCTCTCCATTTAAGAACTTGATGTAAACCATAGCTGTGAAGTACACTGACTATTACTCAAGTGAATTTCTGTTTTAGGAGTACCCAGGGCCTTGGAAGGGGCACATTTCAACCTGTAGCCTCAGAGATGGTGGGCCACTCCCAGGAAGGGCAAGAGGAAGGAGGCACAGGGAGAAAGGTGGAGTGAACTCAGCTGGAAAAGGCAGGAAGTTTGCATAAAGGGTGCTTTCTGAGACTTATTGTCCTATTATCTTTTCTCCTTGAATTGTTTCTGTTGAAGACTTGTCATCTGGCTGCTACAGCTAGACACACCAGGAGCTCTCTCTTGCTTGGACAAAGGTACAACTAACTGCTCTAAAAAGATCAAGCAAGGAGATGGGAGTATAGTTCAGTGGTAGGGCACTTGCCTAGCAACATGCAAGGTCTTAGGTTCAATCCCCAGTCCTGGGGGGGAAAAATGACTAAGTAAGGATGAGGAGGGGGTCCAGAGGCAAGGAAGACAGGGAGTGGGTGTTAGGTCAGCTCTGCTCCAACTAGGAGAGATTATTTTCTTGGGCTTCTCTATGCAAGTCTCATCTTACAATCAGATCTCCAGGGCTGAGGCAGGGTGCAGGGCCTTACACACTCCTTGACCTACTTTTGACCTAGGTTAGGAATGGTGAAAAGTTGGCATGTGTGCCACCATGCCCCCATGCCTATGCCAAGCATCATTAATGAATTACCACATTCTTTCTGACTCAAGTCCATATACAGTCTTCTCAAGAGAGTCATCCATGAACAATCACTCAGCTTGTTGGATGAAAGCAACCTATCTTTCTTGGTCTCAATGTTAGGTCAGAAGGACAAAAGGAATCTGGTGGCCCATATTTGAGCCATCCCAGCATATCAGGGTAAGAGAGTACAGAGGCGTCTGGTGCCAAAGTCCAAGCTAATAAGAGTAGTCCTTTACTTGAGATATAAAGATAATCTAGGAACCCTTGACATCTGCAGGAGCTTGAGGGTTTAGAAATTCTGGGTCTCTGATTTCTTTCACCAGAGACACTTATAACCTGTATCAATGAACTATTCTTCTCAGAGACTCTGCCCAAAGTTATATCTAGTAAACTTTTTAAAAACCAATGTCTGAAAAATTTACTGGTAAGATTCCTATTGGACATCAAGGTTAATGTCCATGTAAGCAAAGGAAAACAGAGTACCTTCGTAGTGCTTCGTCTTCTTGAAGTTCAAATAATTCTGATGGTTCCTTTGAAAACAAGGAAAAAAAGTTAGAAACTTAAGTTTGTGACTATACAAACTTTCACCCTATGAAAATCTACATAAAAAACTCTATGTACAAAATTATTTTATGAAAAGATTTTTATTCAAATGATGATTTTTATCACAACCACTCACACAATAAATACTTACTGAGCACCTACTATGAGACAGGCCCTGTTCTCAGTATATGGGTTGCCTGAGCAAACAAAATAAATATTCCTGTCTTTCTGGAACTTAGATTTGTTAGAAAAAAGAAAATTTTTTTTTTTGGGGGGGGGGACCAGAGATTGAGCTCAGGGGCACTCAGCCACTGAGCCACATCCCCAGCACTTTTTTGTATTTTATTTAGATAGGGTCTCACTGAGTTGCTTAGAGCCTCACAGTTGCTGAGGCTGGCTTTGAACTCGTGATCCTCCTGTCTCAGTCTCCTGAGCTGCTGGGATTATAGGTGTGCACCACTGTACCCGGCTTTGTTAGAAAATTTTTAAAAGATAAGGGCTCCAGGAATTTTAAATTCATTAATTTAAAATTAATTCATTAATTCAGCACATAGTCATAAGGACCTACTAAAGTACAATCATGGTTCCCAGTGTGAAGGAACCTTCCGTTTGGTGTTTGAATTTACGTGTAACTTGAAACATCTCTAAATGCTGGCTTCTATAGGCAACTACAGATTCTCTTGGCCAAGATATACTTCTAATTTCTGTCTTTCAACTGACGCTAAGTCCTTGCTTTTGTAAATACTTTTACAAAAATACTTCTTGAATTGAATAGTAAATGTATAAAAACTATAAATTAAAAACTTAGCCAGGCATGGTAGTACATGTCTGTAATCCCAGTGACTAGGGAGGCTGAGGACTGCATGTTCTAGGTCAGCCGCAGCAACTTAGTGAGACCTTGTCTCAAAATAAAAAATAAACAGGGCTGGAGATGTAGCTCAGTGGTTAAGTGCTCCTGGGTTACATCCCCAGTACCAAAACAACAACAACAACAAACCACCATCTAGGGCTGGAGCTATAGTTCAGCAATAGAATGTAGAATGAGTACTTAGCATGCTCCAGGCACTGGGTTTAATCCCCAGCATCAAACAACAATAAAAATGATAATAATAATTTAAAAAATAAATGCCTAATGTCATGCCATGTTAGCTATACTATTTGTTTATAGGTAGATTCTTTTCCAAGGATATTTACCTTAGTAGATAAAGAATTACAGAATTTACTTATTAAATTCTACCTAAAAATTCAGAATGATGTAGAAAATTCTGGATTTTTTGGTACCAAGGATTGAAGTGAGGGGGCATGTGACCACTGAGCCACATCCCCAGCCTTATTTTATATTTTATTCAGCACCCTACTTTTGCTGAGGCTGGCTTTGAATTTGTGATCCTCCTGCCTCAGCCTCTCAAGCAGCTGGGATTACAGGTCATCTGGCTGCTACAGCTAGACACACCAGGAGCTCTCTCTTGCTTGGACAAAGGTACAACTAATTGCTCTAAAAGGACCAAGCAAGGGGTTGGTAGTGTAGTTCAGTGGTAGGGCACTTGCCTAACAATGTGCAAGGTCTTAGGTTCAAGGCGTACGCCACCACACCCGGCAAAAATTCTGGATTTTTACCACTGAATCCCATCAAAAATTTTAGATGTTAATTACACTATTTCTAAGAACGACATTATGTGCTTCCTGGTGTGACCTACTGAAACACATCACCTATGTACTATTCTTGCCTAAAATGTACAACCTCAAAGCTGTGCATGGTAGTACACCTCTGTAATCCCAGTGACTCTGGAGGCTGAGGCAGGAAGATTGCAAATTCGAGGTCAGACTGGGCAACTTAGTGAGATCCTGTCTTAAGAAATGTGTTCAATCCTCAGTATTGCAAAGAAAGAAAAGAAGGGAAAAGAGGGAAAAAAAAAAAAAAAAAAAGCAAAGACCAGAGCCCCGACAAACACAGAGCACAGCTGTGGATCAGGTCCTGGACCCAGGGGCTCGGGAGTGTCATAAAGAATGTTGTTGGGACAACTTAAACTGTGAGATGGAAGTGGAAATCTGAGTGTTGCATCAACACCAACTTTTTTGGTACTGGGGATTGAATCCAGGGGCATTCAACCCGGGGCTGTATCCCAGTCCTTTCTCTAATTATATTTTAAGACATTTTAATTATATTTTAAATATTGCTGAGGGTTGCACTCCCTTCTGCCTCAGCCTCTTGAGCAGTTAGGATCACAGACCTGTGCCACCACCCCCAGAGACAATTTTGTTTTTTTATTTTGACAATTATGCTGTGGTCTAGAGAAAATCCTTGTTCTTATGGATTAAGTGTATAAAAAACTTAATCCATAAGAACAAGAATTTTAAACATTAGGGGGGAAGGGGCATGACATACATAATTTACTCAAATGGGTAGAAATCTGTGAATATAGAAAGTGATGAAGCAGGGCTGGGGCTGGGGCTCAGCGGTAGCGCACTTGCCTGGCATGTGTGAGGCACTGGGTTTGATTCTCAGCACCATGTAAAATAAATAAAGGACTATCAACAACTAAAAAAAAAAATTAAAAAAAAATTTAAAAAAAGAAAGTGATGAAGCAAATATGGCAAAATGTTAAGAATAACGTTTCATTTTGAATTATTTCAAAATAAATAATTAGACACATGAATCCAAGTCAAAAAATAGACTACTTCTTTTACACAAGATTATGTCTGAAATAAATCATAAGGTAAAACACCTAGAGGGCTGTACTTTGCAGGACAGGTATTCAGCCTCTGTGAGGAGCCCTCAGCTGCTACTCCATGACCCCTGGGGCCCAGTGGGTACCTACCACACCAGGTGCTGTCGAGGGGCACAGCCATTTTTCCAACAACATGTCCCATATCTTTTCCAAATTAATTTCATTCACTTCAGCTATTTCTTTAGCTGCTGCATGAATATCTAAGATATCCAAGATAAAGAATTTTAAAAAAGAGTAAGTTGAGTTTTTAATATTAGATAACCAGAAATCAAAACAATAGTTATTTCTGGACCCAAAAATAGCTTGGTTCTCACCAGGATAATCCTTGCCAGATGAATTTTGCATTCTTTGATTTATGCTGGGATGTTCATACAGGCTGACAATGAGGTGTGCCGGCTTCCCGATCGCCCTTAAATATTCCCCAGTGTTCAGCTTATGAGCTATGAGCACAGCCTCTGTGCCTGAGCGCCGGAACTGCAGATGTAGCTTCTTCAGCAAAGCCTGAGCCTTTTCACGCGTTTCATCCTTTTGAAAAATTGTAAGCAAAAAGAAAAGACTTAATTTATAAATCTCACAAAACTTATTTTGTAAATCTCAGCAGAGGCTAAGATTCCATCTTTATCGATCATGGCCCTCCCTTCCTCAGCTGTATGCTGAAGCATCTCCCATTCAAAGCCATGGTCTTCCTCCTCCACTTCAGGCACCAGAGCAGGATGAGAAGATGTACTAGGCAAGCACAGTGCAAATTAAGGAGAGCGCAGAATCTTCAGTCTTCTAGTTTAGACACACCTGAGGCGGGATGTTCTGTAGCCATCTCTCAGCTAAATACAGGCAGAACTTCAAACTAGACATCTTGAAGGAGCCTAAAAAGATAAAGAGATCTATGAACAAATCTGAATCCTTTTAAGACAATGTTGCTTAGTCAAATGATCAAGTACTTTTAAAGTATACAAATGGGAACTCAGTAAAAGACAAGGTAAGCAGGAGAGAAGATCAAAGCAAAAAGCCAGAGTCCAAGAGGACACTCGTTAGCTCCCAATCCTGCTCCCGAGATTCTGATGTTTCTTCCAGAAGTTTCTCTTGCCTGTATGTGCATGTGTGACCATACCATCTACCACTACACCTCATTTCTTGGCTGTCTTTACAAGTTAGATACACACACAATGAGCTGAGTGCTCTGCAGCAGTGAACCAGTGTGAGCAACAGCAGACCATCTCCCTAGCAGGGCAGCTGGGACACAAGTCAAGTGGGAGGGTCAAAATCTGATTCTCTTGCAGTTTTGTTTTGTTTGCTTGTGTTTTTGTTTTACTTTTTGGAGAAAAGACAGTTTATGTGAAGGAAGATTCTTGCTCATGAATTTGATTCCAGGGACTAGGGCCTGGGGTCAAGGGTGACCTGAAGTATGATCCTCAGCTACTTCGTGTCCACAGAGAGCATGTGGAGCCTCTGTTGGTGAAAGTATTTTGCCCTCTTGTGGCAACTCTTGTTAGATTACACCCCTGCACCCGGTACCAACACTCCACTGCCTTCTGAATAGTCAGCAGGTCTGTGACTCTGTCTTGGTTCATTTTGTCCTCTCCAGCACTGATTCCTACCCACATGCTTCAATGTCCACTCATGTTCCTGGTGTGGTCTGGATGCCACTTGGTCCACGAAGCCACTACTTCATTCTAGGGCACTGTCCTTGCTAAGGAGTGAAGGTATCTGTATCTGTGCCCCTTGTTGCATTGTATGCCAATGGGAATTAGATATCACTCCCCTTGAATATACAAGAACATGAATTTTATGTGATACTTTGCACTTACTTTGTATGTACTCATTTTGTTGGTGGGCTGTGCAATAACATTTGGCTTATGGACTGATGACCTGTGATTATCAGTCTAAGGCCAGCAGATCCCTTCATTTGGAATATATACATAAAACTTTTACAAGTTATTTTTACTCAAATTTTAAGGGTTTAACCTGGTCATCATGTTAGAAGCTCTGTAGAGCGCTCGCCTAACATGTGCGAGACCCTGGGTTTGATCCTCAGCACCACATAAAAATAAAATAAAAAGATGTGGCCACAGAAAACTAAAAAATAAATATTAAAAAATTCTCTTTAAAAATAAAAATAAATTAAAAATAAACATTTGAAAAAAAAAAAAAAAAAAGAAGCTCTGATTGGCGGCTTTGGGTTTCCTATTTAGAAACCTAAATAAACTAATTAAGTTTCAGGCAGTCTTTCAATGATGAAGATGTTTTTGGTGAAAAGACTGGAAACTGCTCTAGTTGGTGCTTAGGGAAAATGTTTGAATTAGTGTACATACAAGCCATTGACATTTCTTTATATTAATTCAGAAGTTATCTGTCAAATAAATAACAATTTTTCAATTAAAAAAAAACCCCAAAACTATAAGCACACACTTATAATCCCAGCAGCTTGGGAGGCTGAGGCAGGAGAATTGCAAATTTAAGGCCAGCCTCAGCAACTTTGCAAGGCCCTAAGAAACTTGGCAAGACCCTGTCTCAAAATTAAAAAAAAAAAAAAAAAAGCTGGGATGTGGCTCAGTGGTTAAGAGTACCTCTGGGGGTTTAATCCCTACTACTAAAAAACAAAAACAAAAACCAGTTTACCATTTTAAGGCCAATTATAGGAGATTCTGTACCTTCTGGTATCTCCTGGGTGAGAGTGATGGCAATGGCCACAGCCCACTCCGGGTTGACTATAGACAGCAGGTAGGACTCGATGGTCTGAGTGATCTTAGCTATTTCCCTGTTCATCAGTGCAGAGGACTTAGCTGGTGTCAACTTCAGGAGCTTTGGCTTCAAGTTCTTTTCAAAAACATGTTTGGCCGTAGACACGTAGAGAGTGTCTAGAGAAAACTTCAGAAAAAAAGGAAGTTAAATTTTTATGTGAAAGGAATATAAAGTATTTGTCCTCGGGGTTAGGATTATTATATCACGAAGAAGCCTCTTATGAGGTTTTAATCCATTACCTTCATTAATTTAGAGATTAAGAGCAGGGTTGGGAGGGACTCTTCACTGAGCTCTGAAGCTAGAAAGGAAATGAAAAGAATATAAATTGCTTGAGAGAAAACTGTTTGCTAGTTGGAAAAATTCCATATATTAACAAACATACAGAGAATTTTCCAGAAGTTCTGTGCTGTGCCAAATAATATCAAGTGAAAAGGCAGTCTAGTCTGGGCAGCTGATGGCAGAGTGATCACATGCTCCAACATGTATTGGTATTCTAGGTCCACGGGAGGGGAAATTCTTTTGTATGACTCCAAATGTTTCAGAAGACTCAATGCCTGCATTAAAATAAGAAAGCATTTTCCTGTAAGAAGGACCCAATCCTACACTGTCTCAAAGTTGTCTAATTCTGTGCCACCCTAGGTTGCCATTCCTTAGACAGTCTCATTTTCACAAAGACCAGCAAAACAATTCTAGTTTTCCTGTAATCAAATCCTTATAAACCAAAATTGGGCTGGGGATGTGGCTCAAGCGGTAGCACGCTTGCCTGGCATGCGTGCAGCCCGGGTTCGATCCTCAGCACCACATACAAACACAGATGTTGTATCCGTTGAAAACTAAAAAATAAATATTAAATTTAAAAAAAAAAAAAAAAAAAAAAATCCTTATAAACCAAAATCAATACCATTATTGAAGAAATCATAATAGAAAAAACCAGTAGAACCTTGTTGGCAGGATGTTTTGTAAATGAGACTGGCAGTTCTTGATATACTCTTGTTTTTTAGTACAGAGGACTGAGCATAGAGGTGCTTAATTGCTGAGCCACATCCCAGCCCATTTTATTTATTTATTTATCAAGGCTTAGGGCCTTGATAAATTTCTGAGGCTGGCTTTGAACTTGTGATCCTCCTGCCTCAGACTTCTAAGCAGCTGGGATTATGGGCATGTGTCACAGAACACAGCTTTGATGTACTCTTTGAATGTGTTGAGATATTACTATAAAAATACTTGAATTTACTTTATTTTTAAAATTTTATTTATTATTTTTGAGACAGGGTCTCACAATGTTGCCTAGCCTAGTCGTGAACTCCTGAGCTCAAGATATTCTTCCACCTCAGCCTCCCACATAGCTGGAATGATGGCTACACACCATGATGCCAAGCTTGATTTAATTTTAAAAACAGAGGTTTTAGATCTAAAATTAATTTTCTATGTCCTTTGTCCATCTTATGCTTATATTTTCTGTTTTAGGGCTTATATAACCTTTTGAATCAACCATTTTTCTTATATTTTTAAAATCCAATTTTAAAAAATATACAAGGGGCTGGGATTGTGGCTCAGCGGTAGAGCGCTTGCCTTGCACATGTGAGGCCTTGGGTTCAATTCTCAGCACCACATAAAAAATAAAATAAAAATATTTAAAAAATAAATAAAAAATATACAAGCCACTAGAATCAAAATTCAGAAATGATTAAAGAAGTTAATGAGCCAAGCATGGTGGTGCAGGCCTGTAATCCCAGCGACTCAGGAGGCTGAAGTAAGAAGATCACAAGTTCCAGGCCAGCCTCAGCATATGAATGAGACCCTAGCAACTTAGCGAGACCCTACCTCAAAATGAAAAATAAAAAAAGACTGGGGATCTAGCTTAGTGGTTAAGCACGCCTGAGTTTAACTACAGCACCAAAAAAAAAAAAAAAAAAAAAAGTTAAAGAAAGAAAGGGGCTAGAAATGTAGCTTGTGGTGTAGAATGCTTGCCTGGCATGCTTGAGTACCTCAAAAAGATATAAATACATTTTTGAAATGAGAAAAAAGTTAATAAAAGTACTGAAATAGAATTGAGAGTATTGCTGGGTATGGTGGTATACCCCTGTAATCCCAGTGGCTTGGGAGGCTAAGGCAGGAGGATTGAGTTCAAAGCCAGCTAAGCAACTTAGTGAGACCCTGTCTCTAAATAAAAAACAGGGTTGGGGATGTGGCTCAGTGGTTGAGTGCCCCTGAATTCAATCCCCAGTACCCGTCACAAAAAAAAAAAAAAAAAAAAAAAGATTTGAGAGTGCTGAGCCAGGTCTGGTGGCTCACACTTATTATCTCAGTGACTCAGGAGGCTGAAGCAGGAGAACTGCAAGTTTCAGATTGGCCTCAGCAATATAGGGAGAACTTGTCTCAAAGAAAAAATAAAAGGTCTGGGGATGTAGTTTAGTGGTACAGTACTTGCCTATCATGCATGAAATCCTAGGTTTAACTCCTAATAATACTGCAAAAGAAAAATAGAATTAATAGGACCTACCTATTAATACACAAAGTTCAATCTAACTGAGCCCCATGTCCTTTTCTAGATAGCAAATAATGTTGCCTTAATTCTTCACAATTAATGCTTTAGTGACTTCATGCTCTTGAATAGCTGATTAAAATCACCTCAATACAGGAAAAATAGGATGACAACAATTGATAAAATATGGACAGCATGAAAATCTTGGTATTGGATTCTTTTTAGAGAAAAAGATCTAGAATGAAATGTGGAGTTTAAAAGGGGATTAAAAGATAATCCAGAAAGACACAAAATAATGTAATTTATGATCTAAATAAAAACATGAAGATGATTTTTCAATTTTTAATGTATTTGTTATACCTGATTAATATTAATATTGGTTATATTCTCATCAGCTCTTTCTATAATTTTCAGGACAACTTCAATCATTTCATAGTCATAGGGGTCCAGCTGTATAAAACAAAAATATATCATTGTGAGAAGATCCTGTAATGCCAACAGTTTTATTCAATAATGTTCACTGATATAGATTATGAACATAAATCAATACACTACAACTTAAATTATTAAACTAAAACTAAAGCTTTTTTCAAAAATGATCTCAATTTTAGTAAATATGATTTAAAATGTCTTGAAATCAAAAAAGCTACATAAAGTAAAGTTGTTTTAATAAAGAAAAATGCTTTGAGGGTACTAAATACATAGAAACAATGAACGTAGGACAAAAATTTCAATTTGATTTTGAAACTTAAGTTCTACTTCTTCCACTTGATGATGGGAAAATTAGAACAGAAAAAATTGGCCTTTTCTTGGAAATGACTAACTGTAATTGTGGGACTCCATGAAAAGTTTTAGCTCTATTACTACAATACAAGAATTAATTGGGTACTCTATATATAATCATGAAAAGAAGAGACACATTTCTTTTTGTTCTTTGTTTCTGCCCACTCACCATTAATTCTTCTATTTTTAAAAATGCTATCTAAAGTCACATAAAAACTAAGTGTGAATACAGTTTATTATACCTAGAAAATTTTAGCAAGTCTATACAACTTTTGGCTGAATTACAGGCAAAATGTAAAATGAAAAAATTTCCTGTAGCTTTACAATCTCATATTCCCTGCCTTCCAATTTGATCCCATCAAATTACCCAACGCCTTCAAAATTCTAACTCTGATTCCTAAAAAAAAAAAAAAAATCAGACAAGAGAAGGAAAAAATACATGTATAAAGATATTCACCAAAAAAAAAAAGATATTCACATTCATTAAAACAATTTATAATTACACAACTACAAATACTTCAAATGTCCATCCATAAAAGGTTGGTTAAATATTGTATGTTTTATCTATATGATGGAATAATAAATAAATAGGATAGTTACTACTCTAAGGATGGTATATTTAGTATAGAATAGTCATTACACAAAATTACTAATATTTTATATCTAGGGAGAGAAAGTTTCTGATTTATACCTTTCTAATTTGATTTTTATTTAAAGAATGTGTACTATTCTTAAAAATTTGTGGAGGAAAGGCTATTGCCATTTTGGAAAAAAGAAAAAAAAGAAAGAAAAATTGTTGTATTAAATTATATTAAAAGTTTATAAAAATACAACTTATAAATCCAGTTATTTTATGTATCAATTAAGGGTGGGAGGGATATTTGAGATGACCCAATATATTCATTTTCTGTTCATATACCTTATGTAGTATTCCACTAAGACTGATGACCAAATCTTTTGTGCTCGTCAGTAGAGGAACCATTTCGATGACTTTGGCCAGGAGTTTTGAATGCTGCTGCTTTGTAGACTTCCAGTTTGTGTCTCCCTGGCTTTGTTTGACATTAGTGTTAAGAAGCAGTGTTTCAATGAACAGTTGAAGAGCTGCATCACAGTCCAAGTGAAATGTGCTAGAAGAGGTATCAGGAGCAGTGTTTCAATGAACAGTTGAAGAGCTGCATCACAGTCCAGCTGAAATATGCTAGGAGAGGTACAAGTTCCACGCTCATGTCCCCCGTGCATGCATTTCCGTGCCATAGTTCTGAACGCCACAATTCTGACCAATAACTCAGGTATGTGCTCCCATTACTGAGATTTAACCTTCCTAGTGCCCAGCCGTAAGATCAGACGAATTACATATGATTAAAGCTAATCACTGCCTTTTGAAAATCTGATATTAAGCCAGGTGCAGTGGCACACATCAGTAATCTCAGTTACTTGGGAGGTTAAGGCAGGAGGATTACAAATTCCAGGCCAGCATGGGCAATTTAACAGGACCCTGTCTCAATATAAAATTTGAAAAGGATGCTGGGGGCGCTGGGGTTGTGGCTCAGCGGTAGAGCACTTGCCTAGCATGCGCAGGGCCCTGTGTTCGACCCTCAGCACCACATAAAAATAAATGAATGGAATAAAGGTATTGTGTCCAACGACAATTAAAAAAAAAAAAAAAAAAGAGGGGCTGGGATTGTGGCTCAGCGATAGAGTACTTGACTAACAAGTGCAAAGCCCTGGGTTCGCTCCTCAGCACCACATAAAAATGAAATAAAGATATTGTGTCCAACTACAACTAAAAAATAAAAAGAAAAGTTATTATTTAAAAAAAGAAAGAAAGAAAAGGACACTGGGCAGATACCAGTAATACCAGGGATTTGGGAGGCTAAGACAGGAAAATCACAAGTTCAAAGCCAGTCTCAGTGACTTAGTGAGGACTCAAAGCAACTTAGCAAGACTCTATTTTCAAAATAAAAAAATAAAAGAACTGGAAATGTGGCACAGTTGTTAAGCACCCCTGGGTTCAATCTCTAGTACCAAAAAAAGAAATAAAGAAAAAGAAAAAGACCAAGGATTCAGGGATGTAGCTCTTTGGTAAGATTTGCCAATCATGTACTAGGTTCTGGGTTCAAATTTCAGTATCTCAAAAAAAGAAAGGTGTACTTTGTTCCCTAGGTTAATGTGATTTAGATGTGGGATTACAGTAGCTCCCATTACCCATAGTTTTACTTTCCAAGGTTTTGGTTATCATGATTAACAGAAGTCCAAAAAAATTAAATGTACAATTCTAGAAATAAACAATTTATGGTTTTGTTTGTTTGTTTGTTTGTTTTTGGGTACTGGGGATTAAATTCAGAGGCACTTAACCACTGAACCACATCCCCATCCTTTTTTTGTATTATATTTAGAGACAGGGTCTCACTGAGTTACTTACAGCCTCACTAAATTGCTGAGGCTGGCTTTGAACTCTTGATCCTTCTGTCTCAGCCTCCCAAGCTGTTGGGATTACAGGCATGTGCCATGTGCCCAGCTACAACTCATGTTTTAAGTTGCCTGCTATTCTAAGCAAGAGATGAAACCTCATTTATATGTTACCCTCTTGTTAGTCACTTAATAGTTGTCTTCATTATTAGATTGAAAAAAAAAACATAGTATATACAGATAGAGTTTGGTACTTTCCTCAGTTTAAGGCAGCCACTGGAAGTCTTAGAACAATTCTCATGGTAAAGGGCACTATAGTACTGAGAAAACTATCCCCAAGCTTTTCTGATCATAAGAATCATCTGGAGCTCCTATTAAAGATCCAAGATTCCTGGGTCTCAATCCAGACCTGCTCAGGTAGAACTACCAGGGAAAGACCGGGAAACCTGTATTTTTTAAGTCAAGGGCCTCAAGTGATGCTTACTATGAGGCAAGTTCAAGAAATATCACACAGTGAATTTAAAGGGTGACATCATAAGAGAACTTAACTTTGGATTTACTCACTTTGGCTGTGAGCAAAAGAACACAGAAGAAGTCTACCGTGAGTAATGATCACCTGATTATTGTGTCCTTGTAGTAAAGATCACCAGTTGATTAAAATAACAGCAAACATACACTGAAGTTTAAAGAATCACCTGCAGTATTCCAGAATGAGGCTCGTGTCCACATCTACGTTCTCCACGAGAGCTTTAATGAGGTCTTTCTTGGTGAGAATATGTTGCCTGAAAACAGGCTGAAAAGAAATCTAGAAATAAGAACAAAAGGACCCTCTGAATTGAAATGTATCAAAATAAGGACAATGATATGATTTCTTATTTTACTCTCCTTTTTTTTTTAAAGACACTTTTAAAAAAATATTTTTTAGGGCTGGAGCTATAGCTCAGTTGGTAGAGTGCTTGCTTTGCATGCACAATGCCCTGGGTTCAATCCCCAGCACCACACACACACACACACACACACACACACACACTATATATATATATATATATATATATATATATATATATATCTCCATGAGATGGACCCAATACCTTTATTTTTTTTTATTTTTATATAGTTTTGAGGATTGAACCCAGTGCCTCACACATGCTAGGAAAGCATTCTACCAAGTGAGCTATAGCCCCAGCTCTAAAGACACTTTTTTTTAATGGTTCTTTCCACTTTTATTTTTAACATGCTATGCAACTCAGTCTTGGGAGACTTGAGGTATCTGGCTGTGGAGCCAAAACTCCTGAGCCATCGGAACCCTTGCCTCTTTAGCAGCAGGGGTTGGGTGTTAATGACTGTGGAACACACCCCACCACTGCATGGGAACTAGGCTTCCAAACACATAACTGCTTCTGCAGTGGTTACCCTCCTGGATGAGTCAACTGTTTGTAAGTAAAATAAAACTTTACATATTTGGAAAAGAAATCAAGGTTCTGTTTGTTCTTTTACAAAGTCAAAAGTAAGGGTTGTTTAAAAAAAATAAAATAATGGCAGTTTACTTTTCCCCACTAGGTATTCTTAAGAGTATGGAATGCTCGTATACACTCTAACATTAACTAAATAACAGCAGCCAAACCAAAAAAACAGTACAAGGCTAAACACTAGGTCTAAGACAGCATAAATGTCAATTGATACTAGATACATACCTATGAATGAGAAAGCTAGCAGATGAAAATGTCAAGTTTCTCTTTAACTTCCTTAAAAATATATGGAAAAGGAAATGAAGCAAAGGTCCTATTTCCTTGTGTGCTTAATATAACCAAAATTTATGTCAATACATATATTTTCTCTCCCCAAAAGTAAAGGACAATGAAGACTTTGTCTTAAGTTCTCTCACCGGGTTGTTACCAGGATGGATGAAACATCAGAGCAATATGAATACTCACCCCAAGTTTACCAAGACGAATACCCCACTGTGCTTCAGTACTGAGCTCATGGAACTGAAGCCCTATTTCAATTTTCTGATAGAGACTGGCCAGCTGAGAACCCACCAGAGATATTGCCTAAAAAATTAAAATAGGATTAAAATTTGATTGCAAAAAGAAAGAGTTCTACTAACACCTTTTAGATGAAATTGAACAACAAAAATCATATCCTTGGGCTGGGAGTGTAACTCAATGGTAGGGCATGTGCCTATGTGTGAGGCACTGGGTTCCATCCCCAGCACCAAACAAAACAAAACAAAACAGACTACAATCTCCCCCTTGGTGAAAACAGTACAAGGAAAGTTACACATTCCTTGTACCCAGTCATTACTTCTTACATGATGTTTTCCATCCAATAAACTTGTCCAAAACTGACTCATGATTCTAGTGCCTGCCTCCTCCACAGTCAAGGTAAGGTCTCTGATCCCTGAATAGGTAGGGTCATCACCCCTGGCCAGCCTCAATGAGCCATAAAAGATGAATTTTCACCCTCATTAGCCAGTAAGATTAAGGGATCAAAAAGGGAAATGAGATAAAGATTTAGGATAAAGAGAGGAAAAATACTGAGTTTTAAAGGAAACACAGATGAGCCACTGAGATGCAGAAAGTGCTCAGGAACCTGACATGTACCTTGGCCCCTGCCCTTGCAAAATGAGGGAAATGCACAAGTGCAGGGAAAACTGGAATAAAATTGTGTAACTGGACCCTGGCCATCTCCAGTTCAGTCCCCAGCATTGGCTGTCAGTAAATATTAACACTCCACCCCAGTGGGTTGCTGTCTCTCCCTCTGGAAATAATATACATCATAACTTGAATGCATACTCCTGCTTTACCCCAAAGGTGTCTCTCCTAAGATCATTCCCATTCTCCCTTGAGTAAGCATCTACTTTACTAAATACACCTCTGTCCATGCCTATGATAAAAAACCCAAACCAAAAATGAAACAAAAGCTGTTCTTAGTCAGGCATGGTGGCACATGCCTGTAATCCCAGTGACTTGGGAGGCTGAGGCAAGAGGATCACAAGTTCAAACCCAGCCTCAGCAAAATAGTAAGACCCTAATCAACTCAGCCAGACACTGTCTTTCTGGGGGCGGGGGGGCGGGGGGGGGAGCTGTTCTTGCTTAGGGCATACCAGAATTTTGTCATAATTCTGCCATGCTTTATCTATGAGCTTCCAGAGGTTTTCAAACACATCTTCTTGAGGTAACAGAGTGCAGTAACCCAAGGCTAGGTCAAGATCCACCAGGCGACAATTGATTACCTATGGGAAGAAAGTGTCATAAGAAGCAGATTCTTCACAATGGAGACAGAAATAAGGATCTTAGGTTCTTTTTCACCAAACTGAATTATGAAAAAAAATAAGTACTTCATAAAAAATTATTTGTAATAGGACAGTTCCAGTGTTTGCTTAGGTTTCATGTCTTTTTTTTTTTTTTTTTTTATTTTTTGGTACTGGGGATTGAATTCAGGGGTGCTTAACCACTGGGCCACATCCCCAGCCCAGTTTTGAATTTTATTTAGAGACAAGGTCTTGCTGAGTTGCTTAGGGCCTCGATAAGTTGCTGAGGCTAGCTTTGAACTCACGATCCTCCTGCCTCAGCCTCCGGAGCTGCTGGGATTACAGGTGTGTAACACTGCACCTAGCTGGTTTAATGTCTTTTACCACTACCAGAAATTTAAGGAAAGCAACTATAACAAGTTCTATAGGGTGTGAAACTCTTCCTTTTTCTGTATGATTATTTCATCCCTTCTCTGCAAATCTCCAATAATCCCTCCCTTGCCTCATGATCTCATTTTTTTTTTCCCTGAAGTGAGTTTCTTCATCCTCCCCCACCAAATCTACTAGCCCCTCTGCATTTGTGCACCCCATAATGATGTTCTGGTCACTGACAGACTACACATACATCACTGGTCCCCTAAGATTATATGATTGGTTGCAGCCATCTGAGTTTGGTAAATATATTACATAACCACAAAATCAGCTAACAAGGCATTTCTCAGAACATATCTTCACTGCTGGCTCTGTATGACTGTACTCTTCTGTTCCTTCAGTCCCCAACTCTTCCTGGCCAAACCTCCACATATTTACTGGATTTCACCCCTTCTCATCTACTTAAGGGTTTGATCCTGCAAAAGTCCTGTTTTCAAACCATTAATCTTTACCTCTCTACTAACTCAACACTAAAAAAAGAAAAAAAAAAATCATTGAAATCCTCCTGTTACTCCCCTAATTCTCTACTCTCTTTGAAAGAAAATGACTATAGAGATCCTGTTCTACAGGGTTCTCTTGGATATAGTCCAAACAGACCCTCAACCTCAGCACTCCAGTGTTCTTAAAAAGGTCATGACTTATCTGTGCACAGTGAGATACATGCTGTAATCCCAGAAACTTAGGAGGCTAAGATAGGAGGATTATAAATTCGAGGCAAGCCTCAGCAACTTAATGAGATCCTATTTCAAAAATAATATTTTAAATAATAAAGCCTGCTGAGCATGGTGGTACATGCTTGTAATCCCCATATCCCCATTACTTGGGAGGATGAGGCAGGGGGATTGAAAGTTCCAGGCCAGGTGGGCATGGTAGCACACGCCTTTAATCCCAGTGGCTTGGAAGGCTGAGGGAGGAGGACCACAGGTTCAAAGTTAGCCTTAGCAACTTAGCAAGACTATAAGCAACTTAGTGAGAACATGTCTTAAAATAAAAATCAATAAATAAAAAGGGATGGGGATGTGGCTCAGTGGTTAAGCGCTCTTTGGTTCAATCCCTGGTATATCCACCCCCCGCCCCACCCAAAAAAGTTCCAGGCCAATCTGGGTAACTCAGTGAGACCTTGTCTTAAAAAAATAAAGTAATACAGGTTCTTAAAATTTTAGAACAGTAGAACACTGTCATACTGAATCATAGATACTGCTGACCAAGCTAAAAAGGAAACAGGCAATAAATAAACAAGCCACCAATACTTACTTTGTGCAGTAGAATTGTAGCATTTCCCCTGATAAACATAACGGATTTTTCTTTCAATTCCATAACAATATGTCTTGAATTAATTAATGTGGTTTCACCAAGTAACTTTTAAAAAAGAACAAAAGAATCTTTAAGTCCACTTCTATGAATCATTCTAAAAACTTGCCTCAGATAATAAAGAACACAGAAAATTTATGTTTTATGCAAAAAACTTAGCTTTTAATTTATAGTGATAGAAAACTGGAGCTAGGGTGGGGAGACTGACTTGGAAGAGGAAAAAGGAACTTTTAAAAATATTCTTGGAGGGCCGGGGATGTGGCTCAAGCGGTAGTGTGCTCGCCTGGCATGTGTGCGGCCCAGGTTCGATCCTTAGCACCACATACAAACAAAGATGTTGGGTCTGCCGAAAACTAAAAAATAAATATTAAAAAATTCTCTCTCTCTCTCTTAAAAAAAAAAAAAAAAAATCTTGGACTGGGGTTGTGGCTCAGTGGCAGAGCGTTTGCTTATCATGTGTGAGGCCCTGAGTTTGATCCTTTGCACCACATAAAAATAAATAAATAAAATAAAGGGTATTATGTCTATCTACAACTAAAAAAAAAAAAAATACTTAAAAATATTCTGTATCTTGCTGGATGCAGTGGCACAAGCCTGTAATCCCAGCGACTCAGGGAGCTGAGGCAGGAGACTTGCAAGTTTGAGACTAGCTAGCCTCAGTAACTTAGCAAGGACCTAAGCAAGTTAGCAAGATTCTGTCTCAAAAAAAAAAAAAAAAAAAAAAAAAAAGTGCAAATATAGTTCAGTGGTAAAGTACTCCTGGGTCCTATCCCCAGTACCAAAAAACCAAAAATAAACAAAAAAAACCTCTATATTTTGATTGTGGTATTGGTGATAAGAGGGATACAATGGTTGACACATTTAAAACATGAACATTTTAATTTTGAAAGATATACCTCAATAGAGTCAATTTTAAAAAGAAAGAATCGGCAATTAATGTGAATTAACAGAGTCCTGGAAACAGAGACAACTTCCTCTGAGACCTATTTTCATAAGCAAGTTATCAACAGGTGGTTTGTCTTATAGAATCTCTTCTATAATGCTGTTAGGAAATAATTATAATTGGGTAAAAAAAAAAAAAAAAAAAATGGCAGAAGGATACCGCACTAAACTTGGATGTGAAGAACTATCAACCCAACCGAAAACTGTAGGGAACTTATTTCACCTCTCTGAGTTTGAGTTTCCATATTTCCAAAATGGAGACTCTGGGAGTTGTCGTGCAGAGTGAGGATGGATACGTGTGCCAAAGACTGGGCACAGAGGTGCACACCTATAATCTCAGCAACTTGGGAGGCTGAGGTAGGAAGATCACAAATTCAAGGCCAACCTGGGCAACTCAGTGAGGCCCTCAGCAACTTTATAGAGATGCTGTCTCAAAAAAAAAAATAAAATAAAAAAAGACTGTGGATGTAGCTCAGCGATAAAGTACCCTTGGTTCAATCTCCACTACCCATGCCCCCCACCAAAAAGTGCAGGGGCTGGGGTTGTGGCTCAGTGGTAGAGCACTCGCCTAGCACGTGGGAGGCCCTGGGTTCGATCCTCAGCACCACATAAAAATAAATGTGCAAAACCTTGAATTGTACCTAAATTTAATAGATGTTTAACAAATTAACAAATGTCTCTTAAATTTTACACATGATTTAATTTTTTTGCTACAGGATCAAACAGGAAAATGTGAACTCCAAATTCTTTTGTTTGGCAATGCTTTTGTATCTCTATTTACCCAGAGTCAAAGTATTTGTTCTAGAAACTACACCTTCTCACTCACACTGGCATCCATGAAGTTGGACACAGAGTGCTGGAGGCAAGTACCAAAGGAACCAACTACGAATCTCAGTGCCAGCTCCCACTGGCTAGATTCCTGGAGGTTCTGAAGCAGGGTAGAGATGGAACGTATAATAGGAAAGATAAGGTTGTCTCCTGCAAAGTGAAAAAAAGTTTTAATATTTACATGTTTTAAACAGAGAAAGATCATATAAAGAGAAACTGCTTTCAGGAACACTCTACTTTTAAAATTTTTTTTATTTTTAGTTGTAGATAGACACCATACCTTTATTTTATTTATTTATTTTTATGTGGTGCTGAGGATCCAACCCAGTGCCTCACACATGCTAGGCAAGTGCTCTACCACTGAGCTACAACCACAGCCCAGCCTACTTCGTCAATGCAGGTTAACGGTCATGGAATTCATTCTCAGAGTTAGTTAATGACAGAGGTAACAGGAGGCTGGATTTAAACAAAAAATAACTAACTTCATTAAATAATGAGATTTTTTATTATAATTTTACTATTTAAAAAAAATCACCTGTGGATAAAAACTGTTTCTCTATATGGAAGATTAAAATTTGAGAAGATTCATAAGTGTTAATATTATCAGCCAAATCACATAAGCTACTGATCTTCTGGAAAATTAATAATAAAATACTAAATAATTACAAAAAGGAAAAATTCAGATTAATATTCAGATTTTTAAGGAATTCCTGTATTTGTATATTTATAAAATTATAATGTGATATACTTCTGATATTAAATACCTTCCCTAATGGAGCAGTATGGCATACTTATAGAATCCAAGGGATATCTTCTGCTTTCTACAAAAGAAAACAAAAAATTAATACCACTAAATAAAATAACACTCTTATAAAGCAAATACCCATATTTATTTATTTATACGGTACTGGGAATTAAATCCAGGGCATTTCACCGCTAAGCTACATCTCTAATCCTTTTATTTTATTTTGAGACAGGATCTTGCTAAGTTGCCAAGGCCAACCTTAACTTGAGATCCTTCTGCCTCAGCTCCCAGGTCACTGGGATTATGGATGGGTGTGCACCACCATGGCTGTCTGAGATATTTAAATATTGTGCTATTATCAAACATTCTAAAGCAAACTGCTGCTTTAAAAAACAAAACAACATGAACTACACAAACAGAAAAACACACAGATAATTGTAAAACTTGAAAAATTTCCACAAACTGAATATAACAGAACAAGATTAAGATATAGTACATGATCAGCACTCAGAATCCCCCACATGCCCAATATAGTTATTACCTACCCATAAGGGTCACCACTTCCCTGACTTCTAACACTATGGCTTAGTTTTAGCCTGTTCTTTTACTTTATGTGAATTCAATCATACAGTATGCATTCTTTTATATCTGGCTATTTTTTCTCAACATTATGCCTGTGAGATTCATGTACATTACTGTATATAGTTCTAATTTCAAACCTCTAGTTTAAATTTGCATGAAGCAGAAATACGTAGAAAATAACACTACAAGTGAAATTTACCAGCAAGAGGCACAAGTGATGAAATCAACTCATAAATAACTGGTAGCACCATCTGTGACTCCAGAACAATTCCATCTTCATTGAAGAAGTCACTGTAAGACCACTCTTCATACGGATCCTTATGAGTTCCAAAGGAAGCCTAAATACCAAACCATAAGAAAAGACAGAACTGTGTATGCTGCAAAACATAATTATCATAACCAACTAGCATACAGAATCAGGTGTCTTACAGCCAAGCAGTGTTGATGGATAAATACAACTGTGTACACTGGCTCTCTATATACACAGTTCCAGAGCTATGGATTCAACCAACTTTAGAGCAAAATATTCAGAAAAATAAAATTGTGTCTGTGCTGAACATGTACAGACTTTTTTTTTTTTTTTTTTTTGGTTTTTACCCCCTGAGCAATATAGCAGAACAAAGACAGATACACTCTTTGTTTCTTCTGGGCTATGGCATATAAAAATTTCATTTTAAATTAAACATCTAACAGAAGAATAATATCTAGAGAGGCCTCATTTGAGGTCCAATGTTTCAAAAAATAGTGTAAATTAACACCAATAAATGGCTGGAAAAGAGAAGGGGCTTCACGCCTATAAGTAGGTTTTCAGTGTATAATAAGAAAATGTAAGAGATAGACGCAGTATTTTTGTAAACTATGCAAGTCAAATGATACAAAGTGGCACATATGGGTTGGCAGGGGTTTTGTTTAAGGAAAAAAAATTTTAAAGTGATTTACTTTCATTAGGATTCCACAGTCATCCATGTGGCACTGTCTGGAAAGCTCCACGGCTATTAATGTGTATTTACATAGCTCTAAAGCATCTAATAAAAAATCTGAAAAAGAATAGAGAAAAATCATAAGGCTCCCGTTTTATATCTTTAAAACAACCATTTTATAATCGCCACTCAGAATTCTAAGGTTTCCACACAGCTATAACTACTCTAAATGCAGTATGAGTTAGTATGAGTTTTTTCCTTAAGCCAAGTACTGTCAATAGTCAGAAATGACATTGTTGATATTTTGAAGTATTTTAAAACTATAATTCCTAAAAGAGAATCAATCATAGTTGTCACTTTGGAAGGAAGAACTACTATCTCTTGCCTAGTTACTGGAATGCCCAAACATACAGAGAAGGCATTTAGTAGACAAGTGTGCAAGGAACCAGAGAGTACAGTACTATTATCGGTGTTGTCACCTGGACTGCAGATGGTGGCAGCTTGGCATGCTAGATCGTGTATCTCAGAAGGGAGATTCAGTCCTACGGGTGCTCTCATTGGGATGTCATTAGCCAACATCTGACAAAGCTTCTGACACGTCAGGAACAGAAGCCTCCCTGTGTTGGCATTGCAGTGATGCTTAAACAGGTCTCTGGAGGAGAGGAAGTGTGGACGGTTAGAACACTCAGATCACAAGGAAATGCATCAGCCTTTCTTGCATTAGCATATAAGCTGTTACTGACACATAAATGTCTTTAAAATGTTTTCATGGCATATAGTGAACCTCATTTTTCAAATTATTTTAAAAACCATTAAATGTCAAAGGGCACAACACCTAAATTCAATGGTTATGTTATATAACTTACCAGTATTTGTTACATTCCTTCTATGCTACTATATTCTGGCACAGAGGCCACAAATGGGCTCTCGGGGTAAGAAAGCAAAAGTTGCTTTTGAGAAAAAAGGTGTCACTGGTCCTGCACTTGTTACTTTTAGACAAGTGGGGAAGTCAGGGGTCCAGACGTCACCTGCATTTGTTCAGCGCTGTCCTGACATTCCCGTCTTTCAGGGCTCGCAAAGCCAGCTCTGCCTCCAGCTCTTGGGGGGACACCTGTAAGGCCAATGCCTGTCCATGAAGCTTTGATTTGGTGCTCAGGCCCGTCCCCTCAGCAGCAATGGGCTCTCCAGTGCCCCCGGGTTTGTGCCTGGCCTGAACAACTTCATGAGCTTTAATGCACTGTTCACGGAGATTTCCTACCACGGCACTGTTGCTATAATCTTCAAACGAAAGAAAGACCTCAAAGTTCTCCTGCAGAAAAAAAGCAAGACAAAGTTCCAAGTCTGCTTAGTCTATCCTGTGTTCAGAATCATGATTATGTTTCAAACCTCTCCCTTGGAGACTACTCCCTTGTAAATTAAGAATTCTAAATCTTTACATTTCAAGTTACAAAAGTAACTATCATATAAAGCTTGGAAAATAGGACAACATCACTATATCCTGGGGTTTCTGTTTTAGCAGTGCTGAATTTTGAGCCAGATAATTCTGTGTTGTAGGGAGTTCTGAACAGAAAGAGGGAGGGTTTAAGTGTTAAGTTTGGACAAGTCTTCGCTACAGGTTTGAAGAAATCAGATTTGCTCTTTTCCATGACTTCTGGTTGGCTACAAACTCCAGACTAAGGATTTAGTTACCTGACTTAGTAAAAATCCCACTGAAAGTTGCAAAGAGGTAGTAAGGGCAAATTATACCCCCTGTTTTGATGCCATACTTCACAGCAAAACTAGGGTTTCCTAGTCTTTACAATTCTTTAGGATGAATAACATTTTGTTGCACAGGGTTAAGGAACTGTCCTATGTACAATACAGGAATATTTAGTGGCATTCCTGGCCTCTACCCACTACATGCCAGTAGCACTTCCCCACAATCATGATGGCTGAAAATCACTCCAACTTGCCAAATGTTCTACAGAACACAAAACTGCTCCCCCCGCATTGATAATAACTTAACTTAATCAACACTGAACATTTTCTTTCACTAGCATTTTATGGCTATATTGCATAATTTCATTTATTACCTTTTCCAAATAACACTATTTTTTTTAACTTTCCCTGCCAATACCCTGTCTTTATACATATAATAATTATTCTTATTTTTGAACTCATGGTTTCAATATGTTGTCTACACTGGCCTTGAACTCCTGGGCTCAAGTGATTCTCCTGTCACAGCCTCCTTTACAGATGGGACTACAGGTAGGTACCACATGCCTGGCTATAAATATTTTCAAATGGATGCTTCCTCCAAAAAAATACTAGTGATCTTTCCCTGAAAAGGATGAACCATGAGGAAATAGCTGTACTCAGAAATCAATATGAGAGCTTACTACTGATATTTACTGTAGATATGCTGTTGAAAACTCTATTCATTATATATCACAGTACCACCTGGATTAGGAATCAGAAATTTCTATGCTTGGAGAGCCATTGAAAACTTCTGGAAGGATACCCAAGAAACTGGTTGCTGTGGCTGCAGTTATTGTGGGAAACAGAAGAGCTGGAGGGTCAGAGAGGAAAGAGACTTATTTTTACAGTGCTTGTATACTTGTTTTATATATATATATATATATATATATATATATATATATATATATATATATAATTTTTTTTTGGAGGGTGGTCAAAGAATTCTTTATTGCTTACAATCTGAAGTGGAGAGTTAATTTAAATAAGCTTATGTATTTTTTTTTGTTGTTGTGGTAAAATGAACATAATATGAAATTTACCACTTTAACCATTTTTCCTCTTAAAGTCTTTCAATCATGTACTGCATGAATATATAAGTAAACAAAATGTAAATGACTGGTTTCTCTCCTTCTAATGTGCACCTTCTCTGGAAGCAATGTGGCTTCTGCATATCATCAACAGGCATTGGGAGTTTTATAGGATATGTATTTTTTTGAATATTTAAAACTCTAATTTTAACTGCTGAATGCTAGTGAGACAGTATGAAACAGAATAACAGTTTCATAACAGAAGTCATAATAACAATAACTGCACAATAACAGAAGTAAGGGTGCTGAGTCAGACAGCATGAGGAGCCATGAAAGGCAGCAGGGAATGAGTGTCAATCTGATGCAAGGTACTTGTGTTTTGCTAGGCTGGGGATAGGACCTAGGGCATCACAAAAGCTAGGTAAATGCCCCACCACTGATCTTAGAATTGTTGAGCGTCTGAGTACTCCTCTGCAGAATGAGGAAAACAGCCACCTCCACAGCCGATGTGTATATCACAGATACACAATAAATGTTCTATCAACGATAGCAGGATAAATACACATGACACATACCAATAACTTTCAAATTTAAGAAGAACATAGAGAAGTTAACTTATGTTTACTACCCAGAAGCCTTTCACAAAGACAGCAATTAACACAGTAAGTCTCAAGCTTTTGGATCACAGGACTCCTTCATTATGCTCTTGGTTGGATAATTCCACTTGTGTATAGTGAAAATTGGCAAATTTGTAGAGACAAAAAGTAGATCAAAGGGAGTGGGGGAATTGCAATTTAATGGCCACAGTTTCTGTGTGGAGTGATAAAAAGTAGACACATGTGAAGGTTACACAACACTGTGAACAAAATTAATGCTGAGCTACATACAGAAAAATAGTTAAAATGGACAATTTCATATGTATTTTACTAAAATTTAAAAGATTTAATAATGCAATAGGCCCAAAATCATGAATTATGCACTTTAAGTGGATGAAGTATGGTACATAAATTATATCTCCAAAAGTTTTTTGGTGAGCCAGGCACAGTGGGTGTACGCCTGTAATCCCAACAGCTCAGGAGGCAGAAGGATCACGAGTTCAAAGCCAGCCTCAGCAACTGCCAGGCCCTAAGCAACTCAGCAAGACCCTGTCTCTAAATAAAACATAAAAAGGACTGGGGATATGGCTTGGTGGTTAAGTGTCCTTGAGTTCAATCCCTGGTGCCAAAAAAAAAAAAAAAAAAGTTGGTGAGAGAGAGAAAAGTAGTATGTGAAGTATCTGACGGCTAGGACAGCACATTTTAAGCAGGCACTATTTTGAATGCACTCATTGGTTGGGTAACACCATTCGGGGTAGTGCAACATGTGTACCTGTAGGCTGGCCACCATTTGAAATTGTTTCAAGATTTCTTCACATTCATCCTTCTTCTGCACATTGTCTGTAATTAAATTTTTAAAAGTTATAGCAGACACATACAAATTCCCATATACAATGGTTTGAATGTGTACTCAGAATTTCAGGTGTCTGTTAACAGTATTAAGAGGGGGCCTTTGTGAAGTGTCCAAGACCTCTGTCCTCATGAATGGATCACTGTTCATGGATTCATGGAGCAGCTCTGTGATAAAAGCAATCTCTCTTCAGCACTTCCTCTAATTTGCTCAGTCTTACCATCTGACACTCTCTGTCATAGCATGATGCAACAAGAAGGCTCTGATAAGATGTGAGCAGACACCAGCAACATGCTCTTGGACTCCAGAGCCTCCAAAATCATGAGCTAAGTAAGCTCCTAATCTTTATAAATTACCCAACCTCAGGAGTTTTGTTACAGTAATAGAAAGCAGACTATAATTGGCTTTGGTTCTCTTCTAAGTATATAGCATTTTTTTCAGATGCTGATATAATACAATTTAAGTGCAAAAAGAGATCTAATTTGAAATAAGAAATCTAATTACTCTTTCTGGAGGTAAAAAAGGGAAATTTAAGGGTTAAAAGAAAAATGGTCATTGTTCTGAAATAAATTATAGCTTTTTTCCCCCAAGAGTTTTTTTCCCCCCTTTTTTTGTAGTTGTAGATGGACAGCATGCCTTATTTTGTTATTATTTTTTTTTTTTTAATGTGGTGCTAAGGATCAAACCCAGTGCTTCACACATGCTAAGAAAGTGGTCTGCCACTGAGCTACAGCCCCAGCCCCACAAAAGAGTTCTTTTCTTAATTGTTTTAAGTTTAGGATTAAGTAGGGTTTGTTACCCTGATCATAACCAACTAGATGTGAGAAAAATGAGCAATAAGTAAAAGGTACCAAAGCCTAGCACTGAATAGCTTACTGAAGCATACAAATAAACACATGGGTTTTAAATGCTTCTGTTCTTCCACTATTGATTAAAAAAATAATGAGACAGAAAGATTTATAATGACAAAAATGAGAAAGCTCATAAAGACAATAAGAAAGGAAATCTGAGGGTATGATGAGAGGTGTCATTGTGCCCCATCAAAACAAAACCAATACGAGGGAACAGAGGCAGATCCTACCTTTCTGAATGTCACAAAGTATTTTAAGAATATCCACTGATGTCTGTGCCACAGACATTCTCCAGGCCTTGTCCTAAAAAGAAAGATGCAAAATCAAATCTGTTTCCTTTTCTAACCACTTTGGTTGTACATATGCAAACAAGCACATAAAACCATGGAATCTCGAGCTGGGGTGTACCTCAGTGGTGGAGCATTGCCTAGCATTCAAGAGGCCCTGTGTTCTATACCCACAGTACTACAGAAAAGGAGGAAGAAAAAGTCCAGATGGTGGTATCAGACTTGTGTTGAGTTGTGTTGTGTTGTGTTGAGGCTCTGCCACTTTGTAAAAATCTCAGAAAAGTCACCTATCTTAAAAGCCTAGTTTATGAATGTAACCTCTAAAGAGTTAACAATAGGGCCCAGTTCACAATGAAGTGGATTCTCTATTTACAATACTGAATCTAATGCCTACTGCTAATATTAGCATAATGAAGATCAGGTGTTAAAAAACAAAACTCACTTCTCTAAGGTGAAAAATAATTGAATGGACGGCTGAGAGAAGCTGGCAGGCACCTACCCTTCAGGGTCTGAAAATCAAACTACCCTGGATAAATTAGATATTTAATTCCTCATCTCTAAGGAAGTGAACTGGCTCTTTTGACATCATTTCTAAGCCTCAATTATTTAAGATTATTTAGACTTACATTGATCTGCAGATGACATTATTGTTTGACAGTAATCATACCTTCACTGCACAAAATATTGTTTACATATCAAAGGATTGTGAAAAACTCTTCCTCTACAACAGCTGCTTCAGTGAATCCTTCTAATTTGCAGATCCTGGATTATTCATTGAGGGCCAAATTATTTGCTCAAAGTAGGTGTATCTGGTTTTCTCCTATAAACCAAATTTACACAGGAACTTTTACCAGAGGCCACATTAGCAATGAAAAGGGAAGACCTTCCTGTTTGTGAGTCTACCTTTTGTATCCTCTTCAGATCCATAACCACGGGGTTCACGGGTTCACTTCTACTTTGTTAAGTGAAAACCTCACCTCTTTAGAATCATCTGGCTCCTCTTGTAATGCCAGTCGTGCCCAGATGATGACTCTTTCTGCAGTTTTCTCAGCTTGGGCAGGAGGCAGAGACCGCAACAGGAGGAGACAGTCTTCACCCTATGAACAGTGTTAGAAGGGAAGAAAACCTTTTGCTCCCTGCAAAGGGCAGCTCGGATTTACCTCTTTCTTTTCTATTTAAAAATGAAAATAAAGGGAAAAAGAAGAAAAACCTGATTTCACTTACCTAGCATGCACGAGGACCTGGATTTGATGCCAAACATCAAAGAAAAAAAAAAAGTATTCTGAAAAGTAGATTATTGTTGAGCATTTTAAAAAGTCTGAAAATTGCTAGGCACAGTACTGCACATCTATAATCCAAGCTATTCAGGAGACTGAGGCAGAAGGGTCACAAATTTGAGGCCAGTCTTAGCAACCTAGTGAGACCCTGCCTCAAAATAAAAAATAAAAAGGGCTGGAGAGATAGTTCAATGGTAGAGCACCCCTGGGTTCAATTCCCAGTATTGAAAAACAAAAAATCTGAAAATTCTGCCTTGGATGACAGCAAACCATAAAGTAAAATTCAAATTCAATCCTAGGTACTGAAGACTATCATACTTCTTAATAATGCCTATGATTGGGGCTGGGGTTATAGCTTAGCAATAGAGTACTTGCCTCACATGTGTGAGGCACTGGGTTCAATCCTCAGCACTATATAAAAATAAATAAAATAAAGTAAAAATATTGTGTCCATCTTTTTTTCTTCTAAATATTTTTTTAGTTGTGGATGGACACAAGATCTTTATTTTATTTGTTTATTTTTATGTGGTGCGGGGGATCAAACCCAGTGCCTCATGCATGCTAGGCAAGTGCTCTACCACTGAGCCACAGCCCCGTCCCTTATGTCCATCTTCAGGAGAGGAAAAAAAAAAAAAAAAAAGAATGCCTATGATTATAGAATTATATGAAAATAAAGACACTTAAAAATATAAAAGAGAAGATGGGCAAAGTGGCACACCTGTAATCTAGGCAACTCAGGAGGCTGAAGCAGGAGACCACAAGTTTAAGGTTAGTCTCAGCAACTGAGAGAGGCCCTAAGCAACTTTCCAAGACCCTATCTTAAAATAAAAATTAAAAAAAAATTTTTTTCTTAAAAGAAGGGCCAGAGGGCTTCCAAAGTGTGAGGGCCTGGTTCAATACCCAGCACTCAAAAAATCAAAAGATATAGAAAAAGAAAAGCCATGCCTTATTCTGAAATTGAAGGGTTCTACGATATATAAAAAAACATGCATCTAAGTTTTATTAACCATCAGAGTATAAACATCCATTAGCTAATCACAAAATACTTTTAAAGAACTCACACATTAAAAAAGAAGCCATTCAAACAATCCTATGTTTTCATGTTATTACAACTTTATTTTGTGAAAATTAGTTCAGTTAGTTTAGTTTCTATTTTTAAGGATTTTGTTAACAAAGAAGTCCTATGAAATTACTATATAAAACTTTCATACCTGTTCTCTATCAATCAGGTCAATAATCCTTAGACTGTAGATTTCATCATCAGAAATCCTATACGCTTGAGCCACCTTTAAAGCATCTTCTAAGGAAGATGGGACATCCTGCTTGAGAATGTATCTGACTACCCTCTGAAACAGAGATAATAAAAACAAATATAAGATCTCTCGTAGAGAATACAGGAATCACCTACTTACGAGGGCAAAGTAGCCATAAAATTAAAATAATATACCAAAACCTCAACACTATCTCTCTCTTTTAATATTTTTAGTTGTAGATGAACACAACACCTTTTTTTTTTCTTTTAAAGAGAGAGAGAGAGAATTTTAATATTTATTTTTTTTAGTTTTTGGCAGACACAACATCTTTGTTTGTATGTGGTGCTGAGGAACAAACCCGGACCGCACGCATGCCAGGGGAGTGCGCTACCGCTTGAGCCACCATCCCCAGCCCTGAACACGACACCTTTATTTATTTATATGTGGTGCTAAGGATTGAATCTAGTACCTCAGGCAAGCGCTCTACCACTGAGCTACAACTCCAGTCCACAAAACTTCAACTCTTGATGACTAAAAAACTAAACTCCTATATGAAACATTAAAACACAATTTATACTCTGAATTTTGACTGTCTTTTTAATTTACTATCATTGTCCTTAAAACTCTAAACTAAATACTCTTATACCTATAGAGAAATGTAAAGGAGAATCTAACTATATTAACCTCTTAGAATATAAAACCTTCATGAAATTTCCCATGTTGCTCTAGAAACAGGAAAATTAAAGGGAAAAATGGTCTTTAACTAGCACACTCACCATTATTTCATTGTTTAAGAGATTCACCTCTCTTATCCCATAGCCTCGTAAAAGTTTCTTCATTTCCATTAGTTTGTAACTTTCCTGTAGTAACTTGACTCTAAAAATAAATGTACTGGTATTAACATGAATTGTGCTTTTTATGAAATACTTTGGGGCCCAGTAAATAAAAAACATAAATGAATGTCAAATCAAGATGGGAGGTTTATCCAGGGTACAACACACACTGTCTGCTGGGCTGTCCTTACTTGGGATGGTCCATTTCCAGGTGTTGCTTCACCAGCTGCTCCACAGCTGCACTCCAGGGAACCACTGCTGCATACATTATCTTAAGCACAGCATCAAATATAAGCTACAGCAAGAACACATGTGGACAATGACAAGCCCTCAGAGGTACGCTTCATGTAAATTAATGGCACTGCATGCATCAACCAGAATATTTCACCTTCTGACTATGAGAGCACATATTTCTTTCCATTTACACACATAAAGAGCAACCTTATTATTTAGAAAAAATTCAGAAAAGTATTTTATCTGTTCAAAGTTATGTCTTTCTGCTGCCTCTGCAGTCTGTTTAAAAATAGTAATGTCTGTGATTTTATTCATACTGTATTTTGGATGGTAACAGTATTGCAAAGTCAAAATAAAGGCCAAGTATTACTTATAGTCACAGAAACCCTGAAAACAGATACACTCAATTATCCATGGCTATTCTCCTGAGCGGTGGAAATGAGAAAATTTTCACATTTTATTTTCCATAATTAAAGAAAATAGAATTATGAGTGATTTTTATGTTCTTAAATTCTTTTTTCATACTAAACAAATATCATTTTTTCATACTAAACAAACACCACTTTTATGATCCAAAAAAAGCCTTGAGAAATCCAGTGGCCACTGTTTACTTACATCTGTGTCTGACAAACATCCTATCACTGCCATGGCCTTTGCTTCCCATGCTGTGTCAAAAAGCGAGGTGGACTTTGAGCTACATCTTTTCAGTAAATCCTAGGAAGGGATAAACATGCATGTTTATCAAAAATTAAAAACTCTCAGCTGGGTGCAGGGGTGTGGGGCTTTAATCCCAGCTACTCAGAATGCTGAGGCAGGAGGAATGCAAGTTTGGGCCAGCTTGGGCAACTTAGCAATGCCCTATATTAAAATTAAAAATGGATGGGGATGTAGTTCTTTGGTAAAGCACTCCTAGGTTCAATCTCTAGTACCAATAAAAATAAATAAATAAATAAATAAATAAATAAAAGCTATTACTTAAAAAAAGAGTATACAAAGATAGATAAAAGGCCTTTATGGATGCATAAAAGGAAAAAGAAACCCAAAATTCTAATTAGCCACAAATGTGGAACAATGGTAAAATATTACAAAATTATCAAAACTTTAGCTGTCAGTGGTATATAACAGAAAATTTAAAAAACATTCTTTTATAAATTAGAATTATTGGTGCATGGTAACTGCAGAAAATAATGGGTTTCTGTGTGACAGGAAGAAAGAAAACATCCTTTTTGGGGAGGGAGTGGTGGTGGCTGGGGATTGAACGGGGTTCTAGCCCTGAGGTATATCCACAGCGCTTTTTATGTTTTGAGACAGGGTCTGCAGAGTTAAGATGCCCAAACTAGCTCAAATTTTCAATCCTCCTATCTCGGTCTCCTTAGTTACTGGGCAGAAGAAAACATTATTAAAGGATCTTCAAATTAGATCATTATAGTACATTAATATCTACAAAATATAATTGCTAGGCTACAAATATAGGTCAGAGTAGAGCACACACTTAGCATGTTCAAGGCCAAAACCACAGGACCAAAACCACAAAAACAAAAACATAAAAAAACCATTATATTTATTGAGATTATGCCCTATTATTTCACAATAGCCCTTTGGAGAAATTCCTATTATTTTGAGATTATTTTTTTAAATTTAATTTTTTGAGATGAGGTCTCACTATCTTGCCCAGGGTACTCTCAAACTCATGGTCTCAAAATGATCCTCCCAACTCAGCCTCCCCAGCAGCTAGGACTACCAGCATGAGCTACTGTGACTAGTTCATGTTATTCCCTTTCACTTAAGGCCCTCAGTCAGTAATAGAATTAATCCATGTTCTTAACTAATACAATATGCTCTGTGGTAATGCACATCTATATACCAGCATCTCAGGAGGTTGGGACAGAAGGATTTCAAGTTTAAGGAGTGCCTGGGCAACTTGTTGAGATCCTGTCTCAAAATAAAAAATATAAAAGGGCTGGGACATGGTTCACAATTACATCCCCAGTATCACACACAACAAAAGCAGTTGAAATAAAATGTTTCATAAGTCCCAATGGTAAAGCATGACATTCCTTAAAAAGTTCAACATTTAATACAATGATACACAGCACAGACCCCTTAAATAAGAGCAGATATAATGGAAATATTACCTCTATGTACAACAAGAGAAGTTCCTCCTCTTGCAAGTCATGTTCCTGCATGTAAACTCTTATACTCTTCTCTAAGACAGAGGGAATAAGTTCCGGGGCCAACACTCTGTCAAACATTCGGAATACTATGGTGGTTCCATTTTCCTGGATAGTAGACAAGAAAGACGGCATAAATGAAGAATCTAGCCATAACTGGATACAACAAACAAAACAGTATGGATAAGCCTCAAATTTTACCTTCTCAAAATCAGAGAGGGACAATCTGCAGTTATATTTCCTATGCAATGTGATCAATTCTTGCAAGTTGTTTACCAACATACGTAACTGACCTACTTCCTCCGTGTTTTGATAGTCCTTCTAAAACAAAAGCATTTAAACTGTTAAAGACACAGAGATAAAATGTGAGACGGAAACAGTCAAACTTATTTCAAAGAAAATAATGATTATGTACATAAGAGGAAACCTGCAGGTTTGAAGCAATTTATGCTTTAAATTTTGTAGAATTTTAACTGAAATCATCTAGTACACATTAACATAGATCAGAATTGGAAAGAAATTTAAAACAGAAAAATAGCAATATTGGTACACATTTTTCTTTCAGAACCCAAATATAATTGGGTACACAAATATCATCCTGATGGTACTCAATGACCTATATATATATTATATAGATCATGACACAATAGAAAGCTATAACATTTTCTAAAAAGTTACATGCAAGGAACAAGATTTTTTAAACTATTTATTTATTTTTTTGTAGATGGACACAATACTTTTATTTTATTCATCTATCTCCATGTGGTGCTGAGGATCGAACCTCACACATGCTAGGCAAGTGCTCTACCACTGAGATATTCCCCCAGCCCAGGAACAGATTTTTATTGATAAGAGGCAACTAACAGGGAAAAGATAAAGTAGTATTTTTTAGATCAAGACAAAAAAGTTCTTGTATGAAAAAAAATATATTTCAAAGTGAATATCAACAGACTACTTGTGTGTTACAGAAAAAAAAAAACCTCAATTTTTAGAGAGCATAATCAGGAGATACAATTAATAGCACCTATATCAAAAAGTAGGAGGAAATTAATTATTTTGGGGTCATGAAATTTAAATATTATTATCTTTATAACTGAAACTTAAGAAATAATGTGACTTCATAATATATATTTTAAAAGTCACATTTTTCTGGTACTAAAATACTTAATGCTTCAGAGGTGAGATTATATTAAGTCTTTCTTACACATTAATTTATAAGCTAAATTATGGTACTTCTCACAAATTTTAAAAATATAAGAATGTATATTTCTTCTCAATATAATAAATGCATTCTAGTTTTAGAAACCTCAAGGGGATAACAAATGAACTTTAAGAAATCCAGGAGCCAAACAATAAATTTACTTTATTTACCCCAAAAATAGTACCAATCTTCCTGATCTTAGCTCTCCCTCTAACAGTGCTTGTGCAACCCCCCCCCCCCACACACACACATATATAATTGAATGTTGGGGATCAAAGCCAGGGCCCTGCACATGTTAGGCAAGGCACCTGCAGTTCACTGCTGAGACTGTTAGTTCCATAGTTTTCATAATTTAATCTTAAAAAAGAAAAAAAAAAAAAATCAATGATAGTTTAGCCATAATCCTGTTGGATTATCTAAGAAATGCAATCAGATCAAGGGATGGCTTACTAGTTGAAATCAAAGAGGCAGACCTGATTGTTGCAGTCTTTGAAAATGAAATCCTAATGCAGAAAATCCCAGTTATACTACTTAGTAGAATGTTTTTATATTGCTTTCTCTTTTGTTGGTTCAACACAGAAGCAATTTAGTGAGACCCTATCTCAAGATAAAAAATAAAAAGGGCTGGGATGTGGGTCAGTGGTAAAGCACCCCTAGGTTCAATTCCTAGTTCCAATAAAAAAAGAAAAAAAGGCATATAAAAACAGAAAAATTAAAGAAAACGGATAATATTTCCAGATTTCTTTCTATGTATATTTATGCTCTTTAATATTGGAAGGGTTTTGACAAAATTCATTTCTTTAACAAATTACAATATACATAAATGTATAATGGAGTATTTCATGACTAAAAATCCATTCTGTACATCATACCAAGGAAATCCAATGCCAGGAGGATGCCAATCCCAATTCATCTGTTTTTTCTGCTGTGAAAAATACCTCTGCAAGTTGAAATCCATTTTCTGGCCAGTTTGCCTTTAAAAAATATTATAGAGCATTAGGAACAGAGTTTTATGCTATTGGGAGTGTACAAAATGTCTTTTTCATGTTAATTGTACTGGTTTTACCTTATCAGTTAATTCAAGGTTCCTGGCTGCTTGTTCTAACCATTTTGCGAGAATTTTCTGAAACAGACATGTCATTTAAAAGTAAAATTCTCAATAGGTAATCAATAAAATAATGAAAATCCTCTATGTTCATCATTCCTAAATTATTATTTGTTAATTTATTTTTTGTAGCATTGGGAATCAAACCCAGGGCCTTATACATCCTAGGTAAGTGGCATACCACTGAATTATACCTCCGGCCCAAGGATAATCTTTTAAAAGAGACACTTAAAAGAACTAACTTGTGGGCTGGGGATGTGGCTCAAGTGGTAGCGCGCTCGCCTGGCATGCGTGCGGCCCAGGTTCGATCCTCAGTACCACATACAAACAAAGATGTTGTGTCCGCCGAGAACTAAAAAATAAATATTACGAAATTCTCTCTCTCTCTCTCTTTAAAAACAAAACAAAACAAAACAAAAAAAAAAAACTAACTTGTGTTAACATGACTTAGTCTTCAAATACCTAATGAAAAAATAATAAAATTGAATCATGAGGAGTGGAAATACTGGAGGAAACTCACCTGTCCTTCAGGAGCAGTCCTTCTCACAAAAGGGATCACATCATTTTTAAGCCATGGACAAAGTTTTTGCAAAGAGACTGGTGTGGAAATTGAGTTGAGCAAGTTCTCAAGCATCTTCACATCAAATCTGCTTTTGAAATTTGCCTAAATCATGCGGAGTGAGAATTAAGACTTAGCTTACAATTTTAACTGACGACCTCCCAAAAAGCAAAGACCATTTTAGGAATTCATCTCAAGGAATATTTTATTCACTTAATATGAACATTAAAGGTGATTTACTCTATGCAAATGATTCAAGTTAGGGGTCACAATCCCTTGAACTCTCGTATCAGTGACTGCCAGATAGAAACCGGAACCAACAAAGGTGCTGCAGAGGAAAACATAGTTGGAGGTGACAGTACAAATACTAACAGATAATGTGTCCACAAACACTGAGACATTTTCTGAACCTAACATTAGATATTAATATTGGCCAACATTCAGGGATTTGGATGAATGATTTTTTAAAAATTAATTAATTGATTAAGGAATTAAAGAGATGGGGTCTCATCATGCTGCCTAGGCTGGCCCTAAATTCCTGAGCTCAGACAAGCCTCCTCTCTTAGGTTCCTAAATACATGGGACTACAGAGGCATGCGACCGCACTTGGCCTTTCGATAAATACTTTTAACAGGCAACTCCTATACCACGATCTGAATTGCAGCAGGAACATCCTTTCTATCTTCACATCATTCAGAGCCCATCAATTAACCAGTTAATAAAATGTTGTCTAATAAACTAAGATTTGGAATCAATTAAATTCTGATGAGATAAAATCAGGTTCTATGATATCTTCATAGCACTTCCTCTGATCTAATATTGTCAGAGGATTATTTTTCCCTAGGAAAGGTCACACCTTATCAATCTGAAAACTTTCTATTGCCCAGTTACATGTGTTGCCCTGTTAGCTTCCAACACTGAGTCAATAACCCATGTTAGAAACTGGAAAGCTATTAGGAAAATAAAACACAAAATGTATTACCTGATGTCGAAGCCAAAGATACTGTGCACAGACAAGATTTCCTTCTCTTAGCTGTAAAAATATGTCTTTAAGATCATCTTCATTATTCAGAAATTCAATCCAAGAACTACCACTGGGAAGTTAAAGGGAAAAACACAGTTAACAATTTATAAAATTAATTAAGGTTTTATCTTTTAAGTGGATATCCTCATAAAGCAAAAAATGAAAACAATTCCAAAGATTCCACATTGAAAAATAAGTCTCTTTCTTTCCAGATCTAAAGAATTTCTGTCATCTTCCCCAGAGTCCTAGCTTTCTGGTAGGGTTCCTCAGATAATCACTATATACATTAACAACTATTTTAACTCTTAAATGAATAAATTTTTATATGCTATCTAAACATTAAAATTATTATCATCTTGGTGCACATACTAAATCAGTATACATAAACATAATTTTTTTTTAAGGACCACACAGCATTCCATGGCATGAATATACTATTATCTATTTCCCTAAGCTCCCAGAGTTGAATATTGAGATTATTTCTAGTCTTATAACCAACAATGATGCAATGACAATATACTTCTGATTAAAATTCAGATATAGATGATGAATACTTCCTCGAGATGATATAATGACAAATAAAATCCCCCCAAAAGCTTGTCCCATGCTCAGATGATAAAAAGGAACAATTTTTGTTAAAGTCAGGAATAAAAGGATATCTATTAACTAATTATTTAGAAAGGTTCAGGTAATACCAGCCAATGAAATTGGGCAAGGAAAAAAGGAAATCAGAACTTATGAGGCAAAACTATTAATATTTGAATGTGTAATTATACACCAGGAAAAATAGGACCAACTGATTGAATTATTAGTATGAATAATAAAGGAATTCAATAAGGTAGTTCATTTTAAAAAATCTATAGCTCTCTACAGTGTTTAAAAAAATCATGAAGCAAGAATTAGGCAAGAGAAGGAAATAAAAGGGATAAAAATAGAAAAAAAAAAAGAAGTCAAATTCTCACTGCTTGCAAATGATATGATCCTATACCTAGAAATAAAAAAAAAAAAACACCAAAATGGTGCTAGAGCTAATAAACAAATTTTAATTTAGCAAAGTAGCAAGTGACAAAATCAACACACAAAAATCAATAGTTTTCCTATGTAGCAACAATAAATCTGCTGAGGAAAAAAAATCGGGAAACCAATTCCATTCACAATAACCTCAAAACAACAACAACAACAACAAACCTAGGAATAAATCAACCGAGAAGTGAAAAACCTCTACAGTGAAAACTACAGAACACTGAAGAAAGAAACTGAATTAAGACTCTACAAGATGGAAAGACTTCCCAAGCTCTTGGAAAGGCAGAATTAATAGTTAAAATGACCACATTACCAAAAGCAATATATAGATTCAATGTATTACCCACAAATACCAATGACATTTGTCACAGACCTAGCAAAATCCTAAAATTCATTTGGAAGAATAAAAGAACCAAAATAGCCAAAGCAATTCTAAGCCAAAAAAACCAATGCTGGAGGCATCATAATACCTGACTTCAAATTATAATACAGATTTATAGTAACAAGAACTGCATGGTACTGGCATTAAAAACAGACACTTAGACCTGTGGTACAGAATAGATCCCAGAGACAAACCCACACAGATAGAGGCATCTGATCCTTGACAAAAGCACCCAAAAAATACATTGGAGAACAGGGCCTTTTAAAAAATGGTGTTGGGAAAACTGGTTATCCATATGTAGAAGAATGAGACTAGACCTTAACACTCACCCTGCTCAAGTCAACTCAAAATGGATCAAAGACCTTGGAATTAGAACAGAAATATGCAACTCCTAGAAGAAAACATAGGATCAACATTCCAGTATACATGCAATGGCTTTTTCAAAAGAACCCCTAAGATCAGGATATAATGTCAAGAGTTAATAAAGGAGATGGCATCAAATTATAAAGCTTCTACACAGCAAAGGAAACAATTAGAAATGTGAAGAGAGAACTTACAGAATGGGAGAAAATTTTTGCTAGCTACTCTTCTGACAGAGGATTAATACCTAGAATATATAAAGAACTCAAAAACCTACACTCCAAAAACCAAATAACCCAATTAATAAATGGACAAATGATTTAAAACTTTTCAAAAGAAGAAATACAAATGGGCGGGCTGGAACTGTGGGTCAGAGGTAGAACGCTTGCCTCGTATGCGTGAGGCCCTGGGTTCAATCCTCAGCACCACATAAAAATAAATAAATAAAAATAAAGATCTTATGTCCATCTACAACTAAAAGGAAAAAAAAGAAAAAAGAAAGAAATACAAATGGCCATTATTAGCAATTAGGGAAATGCAAATCAAAACTACACTGAGATTTTATCTCATACCAGTCAGAATGGCAGTCATGAAGAATATAAATAATGACACAAATAAGGAGAGGATATGGAGAAAAAGGAATACTTTTGAATTGTTGGTGGGATTATAAATTAGGACAACCACTATGGAAATCAGTATGGAGACTAGGCATCAATCCACCATACGACCACGCCTTAGAACTTACACTGAAAAAGCCATCATACATGAAGTGACATGAAGTGGGACAGAAGAGGCTGGACACCCTAAGAATTTTCAGAAAGCAGTTTATTGGCTGTAGCTGGCCGGTCTACCATGTGGTTCATGTCTGAATCGTTTTCTGGACAGAGATTTGGGGAATTTTTTGAACTTTATACTCAGTAGCAGGAGGGGGGATTGGAGGTTCACGTGAAAAGTGCTTTTCATTCCGTCCTCCAGACCAGACACAGGTTTCACAAGTTTTTACCAAGAAAACAGATGATATCTTTTTGTACAACAAGCTTGCAGAGTCTATTCGATCACACCTTTTGTGTGTAAACCTGGCATTTACAAGAAAGAGGAAGCTTCCAACCACAGTGCCTTCTGCAGACATCCTGCCTTATGATACTCTTTGTAAAAATCTTTTTTTAAAAAAATCTTTATTTTTTAGTTCTCGGCGGACACAACATCTTTATTTGTATGTGGTGCTGAGGATCGAACCCGGGCCGCACGCATGCCAGGTGAGCGCGCCACGGCTTGAGTCACATCCCCAGCCCTGTAAAAATCTTTCTGATGAGAGAAGAAGCTTAATTACAGCAAGGGGTTTTCTGGGTGGGGTCTCTGCTTCAATGTATGCATACCCATGTTAATAGTGCACAATTCACAGCAGCCACATTTTTTTAAATTAGTCTACACTTCTCTTTTTTTAATATTTATTTTTTAGTTATAGGTGGACACAATATCTTTATTTTACTTTTATTTGGTGCTGAGGATTGAACCCAGTGCCTCACGCATGCTAGACAAGCACACGAGGCGAGCACTCTACCTCTGAACTTCAACACCAGCCCTACAGCAGCCAAATTATAGACCCAGCCTAAGTGTCCATTGACAGATGAATAGATTGAGAAAATGTGGTATATATACACAGTGGCGTTTTATTCGACCATAAAGAAAAATGAAATTATGTCATTTTCAGGAAAATGGATGGAACTAGAGACCACTATGTTGAGAAAAATATGTCAAACTCAGAGGGTTAAGGGTTGTATGTTTTCTCTCGTGTGCAGGAAGCTAGAAAGGAAAAAAGAAAGATGTTGATGTGTCTCATGAAAATCAAAGGAAGATCAGTGGAGGAAAGGGACCAAAGGGCGAGAGACGGGGAGGAAGGGAAGGAAGTGCTGGGAAATGATATTGGGCGAATTATATTTTTACAGTGTATATTGTGGGCATGTATGAATACGTAACAACAACAAATTCCATTGGTATGTACATCTATAATGCACCAATAAAAATTGTAGGGAAAAAGATAAATCAAATATAGGAAGTATTCTATAACATGCTGAAATTTCAGAGAATGGTGCTATTTTCATTTGAGATGAACATAAAATGCTTAAAAGCCTCAAAAAAAAAAATGATGGAGGAAAACCCCCCATTTACAATTATGGGAAACATGGTAAAAAATCTGAATAACATTAACAAAAAATATGCAAAATTTATATTAAAAAACATAATAAGAGGGCTGGGGTTGTGGCTCAGTGGTAGAGTACTCACTAGTTTGTCCAAGGTGCTGAGTTGATCCTCAGCACAAAACAAGACAAAAAGAAAATTGCCCAAGGAGGCAAAATTTGAAATACTCTTATATAAATCAATTTACAAAGAACAAAACCCAAGAGAAATAGGAACCAAAGATGTAAAAAAAAAGGAATACTTAGCTCAGTCAAAATTAAGAATCAAGCCAGGTGCAGTGGTACATGCCTGCAATCTCAGAGACTTGGGAGGGTGAGGCAGGAGGATCACAAGTTGAAAGCCAACCTCAGCAACTTAATGAAGCCCTAGGTAACTTAGCGAGACCTAGGGCTGGGGATGTAGCTCAGGGATAGAGTGCCCCTGAATTCAAAACCCAGTCCAAAAAAAAAAAAAAAATCAAAAATCAAAGCCAAAGCAATGCAGCAACTATTTTTGCAATATATTTTTCACAAATCAGATTAATAAAAATAAAATTTTATGATAAAGTCTCAATGAATGAGAAAATGGGCATCTCCTCTCCATTTATCAGAATGAATGAATATATCTGGAGGATAAATTTAGAAGCGTATACATTTGCCTTAGCAATTCCATTTCCAGAAACTGAATCCATATATATACTCATATGTGCACCATGACTATCATTTCTTACAAACACAAGGTATGCTTTCCTTAAAGATAAATCTATTTATCAGGGTAAATTAACAATTAAGAGAAGTGAACTGTTAGACAATATTGTAAGAAAATGAGAAAAAGCAAAGTTGTAAAGATTTCTACTAAAGAAATGACAGCAAGGTTGTTAAGCCTATTTTTTTTTTTTTGCCATAAAGATATATTTTCATCTGATTCAAATGTATGATATGTCAAGGTCATTGTACTGTCATGTGTAACTAATTAAAACAAACAAACAAAAAAAGATATATTTTCCATCATGTGAATATCCTGGCTCCCCCTTCACCAGTTAACACAAATTTATCCAAACAAATACTATATTTTCATGACATTCCAACTTTATAATTAATTCGCAATCTAGAAATGGGATACACACCTGAATTTTTCTGGTCCAAATGCTCCATAAAAAGTAGTCAACTTTGCATGAGCCCTTAGTACCTAATGAAAAAATACCTTGATAAACTGAATGTTATAGGCAATGTATTGAAATAAAAACTATCTGGGTTTAATCCCCAGTACCCCCCCACACACACACACACAAAAAGAAAAAAAAGAAAAAATTAGGGTCCTTCTAGTTCACAAGTCTTATATGCACCCTCATTTGATTCCACATTACAGGTCCATTCCTATTCCTACTGCCTTTACATAACACATACACAAAATAGAATGATGAAAATATCATCTATCACATTTGATTACAAAGGCCTATGCACATTAATCATAGTGTCCTTCAAAATCAGTTTCCTCTATGATTTATACACATGTGCAAGGTGCTAGTATGGGCAAGGTGCTGAGTCCATCCTAGTAAAACTAGGCTGGATTATACTGAACATTTATTTTGAGAATCTAAATGTACTCCTCATGTGCACACACCCATGTATTTTGGCACCATCATAATAATCATTAATGGTTTATATTTATTTGAGTTTAGCAGATAATAGGTACTCTGCAAAATAGTTTATAGAAACTATTTCCGTTTACCTCAGAAGGACTCTATAAAGCAAACATTATTTATGGTCCCATTTTGTAGAAAAGGGAGCTAGGGTTTTGTTTTTGTAGTACCAAGGATTGAAGCGGGGCACTCTATCACTGGGCTACATCCCCAGTCCATTTTTTATTTTGAGACAGGGTCTCACTAAGTTGCCCAGGCCGACAAACTTGTAATTCTCCTCCTTTTGCCTTCTAAGTAGCTGAGATCACAGGTGTGCACAACCATGCCCAAGCAAAGCTGAGGTATTAAAATGATAACTTGCTCTTAAAGAAATACAAAACTATCGGGAAAGGAAAAACACTGTGACAGCACATTCACCCCAAATTAATCTATCAATCTAATGTAATTGTAATTACCTCTATCAAGCCATCAGAATTGGCAGGAACAATTTTATCTTCTTTCTTCAAAAGCTAAGAATGAAAAATAAAAAACAGAACATCTACTATATTAGGTATTTCATAAAAGAGGATGGATTTTCTGTGAATTGATAAAAGATAATATCTTTGAAAACAAATTACGTTAAGTCTGAACAATAAACAAAAAGACTTTTTTAAAAAACAATGCATTACATAGGAACAGCCCGGAAGATTTTGCCCATATGTTATACTTTCATTTTAAGGAGTATGTCAGCTAGAATAACAGTCATTCTCATAGGTCTCTGAGAGGAACAATTTACTGCAAAAATGGCATTATTTGAAATAGCAAAAAAAAAAAAAAAAGTTACAAATGTCTACAAGATAAAAAGATTTTTTTTCAAAATTACTTATTTGTGCATAAGATAAACTAACATGCACAAACATTATAAAAATTACTCTCTACTTCATACCTGTTAGGATAGCCAGTATCAAAACAAAAAGCAAACAAACAGAAAATAATGAGTATTGGGAAGGACGTAGAAAAAATGTGTTCCTTGTATGCTGTCAGTGGGAATGTAAACTGGTGCAGCCACCATGGAAAACAATATGGCATTCCTCAAAAAAATAAAAACAGAATTAACATATGATTCTAGCAATTGCACTTGTAGGTATATGCTCAAAAAAAACCTCAAAGCAGGGACTTGAACAGTTATTTGTAAAACCATATTTATAGCAGTTATTCACAACAGCAAAAAAATGTGGAAGAAACCCAAATGTCCATCAATGAATAAACAAAGCAAAATGTGCTCTGTTCATATACAATGAAGTATTATTTGGCAATAAAAAAGAAACATATCATTGGCCCTTGCTTCAACATGAATAAATCCAGAAAATATGCTAAATTAAAGAAGCTGGACAACAATGATACATATCATATGATTCCATTTATTTGAAATGTCCAGAACAGGCACAACTAATAGAGACAGGAAGTTTGCCTAGGTTGGGAGTTGAGAAAAACTGGAAGTAAATGTAATGAGTATAGGGTTTCTTTCTGGGATAATGAAAAAGTTCTAGAAATGATCATGGTGAGCAGGGCAGAGTGGTACAAATCTGTAATCCTAGTAATTGGGGAGGCTGAGGCAGGAGGACTACAAGTTTTGAGGCTAGCCTATGCAACTCAGCAACACCCTCAGAAACTTAATGAGACTGTTTCAAAGTGAAAAATAAAAAAGCATTGGGGATGGGGGATATAGCTCAGTGGTAAACTATCTCTGGGTTCAATAATTCCCCAATGCTCCTGTCCCCCCTAAAAAGATTGTGGTAAATTGTATGATATACAAATGTTATCAATGAAATTATAATAAAAAATTTAAAAATATTACACATAGAGAATAAAATGGAAGCACAAAAAATGTATATGAATATGAGGTGGTAGAAGAAAGAAAAATAAAGAAAAAAATAAAGAAGAAAGGAATTCAGACAGATAAACCAACTTACCCTGGCTTTAGCATAATTGAGCATTTCCTGAGTTGTTTCATAGGTTATCCACTGGGCCTTCAGGCAATAATTCACTACAAATTCATCATCCTGTTTCACAAATAGTAAGTCATAGTGAAGAGACCTAATGTTGTTGACCAACACATCAGCTTGAGTACTCTAGGAAGTAGCTGGTGAAGCATACCTGGATTTTGTGTAGATTTTCCTTAGCTTCATCTACAAGTTGCTGCCATTTGGCCTGCTCACTGGTATCCACAGAACTCAAAGCTAGTTTCTCCAATATATCATTTGATTTTACCTTGTAAACAAACTGTAATATAAACATACCACAGCAAATAACTTGAAGTACAATAGTATCTGAGGAAGACTTACTCTCACAGCAAACTGTGAGAGATTAATTTACGAATGAATCCTCATGTGGTTCAGGAATGAAGCTTAAAGAAAAGTAACGCTTTGGGCTGGGGTTGTGGCTCCTAGTATAGAGCTTGCCTAGCATGTGTGAGGCACTGGGTTCGATCCTTAGCACCACATAAAAAAAATAAAATAGATAAAGGTATTGTGTCTATCTGCAACTAAAAATATTTTTAAAATAAAGAAAGTAACACTTAGATATCTGAAAGAAATTATGGAAACCATTTTTATTTACTGAGCCTTAACCTACTGTCAAGCAGTATACTAAGACCTTAATATGAGCTAAGACATGCAAGCAACCTAATTGTACATTAATGGATAAATGGATAAAGAAAATGTGGCACATATACATGATGGAATACTATCCAGCCTTAGGAGAGATGAAATCCTGTCATTTGCAAAAATATAGATGAATATGAGGACACTATGCTAAATGAATAAGGCAGGCACAGAAAGACAACGCATGATCTCACATGTATGTGGAATCTAAACAATGGAACTCAATACAGGAGTGGAATGGTGGTTACCAGAGACTGTGGGAAGGAGTAGATAGATAAAGGGAAGATGCTGACTAAAGGTACAAATTTTCAATTAGAGAAGAATAATAATTTTGGACATCTACTAAGCAGAGTAGTTACTATAATTAATAACAATGTATTGTATATTTCCAAATTGCTAACCAGATTTTTTGTTTATTTGTAGTGCTGGGGTTTGAAACCAGGGGTGCTGTTACCACTAAATTACACTCCTAGCCCTTTTCGTATTTCATTTTGAGATGGAGTCTCCTTAAGTTGCCACAGATGGCCTTGAACTTTAGAATCCCCTGCCTCAGCCTCCTGAATAGCTGAATAGCTAGGTATGCACTACCATACCTAGTAAAGAATAGATTTTTTTTAAATATTTTTTTTTTTAGTTGTAGACGGACACAATACCTTTATTTATTTCTATGTGGTGCTGAGGATCAAACCCAGTGCCTCACACATTCATGATGCACGCCCTATTACTAAGCCACAACCCCAGCACCCCAACCCCTGCAAAGAGTAGATTTTAAATGTTCTCATAACACACACACAAAATAGTAATTATGTGAGGTGACAGGAATACTAATTTGCTTGATTTAACTACTGTACAATGTAAATATATATCTCAAAATATTACATTGTACTCTGTAAAGTACATATAATGATTTATTGGTCAATTAAAAGAATTTTATAAATTATCTCAATTCGCACAAACACCTAAGTAGTAAGCATTTTTACCTCATTGTAACAAAACATCAAAGACTTAAGAAAGGTCCAGTAATGGGTATAAATTTATGCAACCAAAAAGCAATGCAGCTGGGTTTTCTTTGTTTTTAAGAGAGAGTTTAGCTACATTGCCCAGGCTGGCCTCTAACTCCTGAAATCAAGGGGTCCTCCTGCCTCAGCATCCTGAATCACTGGGATTACAGGAATGCACACCATGCTCAGCTTATAGCTGGTTTTTAAAAGACAATCACACAATTGTGTTTCATGTCTAGTTTTTTAAAGTCTATTAACAATTCTTTAGTGTCTAGAGTTAAGAACACTTGCTAAGGCAGGAGGAGAAGTTAGAGGCCAGTCTGTGTAATTTGGCAAAACTTTGTCTCAAAACAAAAAAATAGAAACAGCTAGGGTATAGTTCAGTGGCAGAGTACCCATGGGTTCAATCCCAAGTACCAAAAAAAAAAAAAAGACAGACCTAAAATTTCAAGTTCCTTTTATCAACTTAAAAAGACATACTTTCAATATGGTTAAGACCACTCTTATTTTGTTAAATATTTTTTTAGTTGTAGATGAACACAATACCTTAATTTATTTATTTTTATACCCAGTGCCTCACAACCCCAGCCCCAAGACTCCTCTTCTTAAATATATCATCCTCTTTTCTCCAACTGGAAGTACTCCTTATTTTGGTTTTGCACTTGCTACCATTTCCCTATCCCTTCATTCATATTCCTCTCTAAACAATAAACAAAAATATTCTAACTGTTTAAAACCTCATATTTGTTTTTATTCTTTGGTACTGGGGATTTAACCAAGCAGTGCTTTACCTCTGAGCCATATCCACAGTCCTTTTTATTTTTTGAGACAAGGTCTTACTAAGTTGCTTAGGGTCTGGCTAAATTGTTGAGGCTGGCCTTGAACTTGCAATCCTCGTGCCCCAGGCTCCCAAATTGCTGGGATTACAAGTATGCAGCACCATACATAGCAAATCTTATATATTATTTTTTTAAGGATTTTTTTTTAGTTGTTTGTAGACCTTTACTTTATTTATTTACATGCAGTGTCAAGAATCAAACCCAATGCCAGGCAAGTGCTCTACTACTAAGCCATAACCCCAGCGCCAAATCTTATATTTTTAAAACAACACATAGTTACCACCCATTTGGGAAATACTAATTCTTTTCTTCCCACACCATGGATTTAATCCAGGGGTACTTAAATAAGCCACATCCTCGGTTCTTTCTATTTTTTATTTTGAGACAGGGTCTCACTAACTTCCTGAGGCTGGCTTTGAACTTGTGATCTTCTTGCCTTAGCCTCCTGAGTTGCTGGAATTATAGATATGTATCTCCATGTCCAGCTTAAATTTTATAAAAAATATTTTTAGTTGTAGATGGACACAATAACTTTATTTTGTTTATTTAGTTTTCTTATGTGGTGCTGGGGATCGAACCCAATGCCTCACACATGCTAGGCAAGTGCTCTACCACTGAGCCACACCCCAGCCCCAGCTTAAATATTAATTCTTTAATCAAGTACAATTGGGCTATCTCCTCCATTCCTTTCTCTTTTTTTTTTCTTTTTAATTTATTCTTTTTAGCTATAAATGACAGATTTTTTTTTTTTTGTACTGGAGATTGAACCCTGGGGTGCTTTACCACTCAGCCATATCCCCAACCCTTTTTTCATATTTTATTAGAGACAGGGCTGCTTAGGGCCTCACTAAATTGCTGAGGCTGGCTTTGAACTTGCAATCCTCCTTCTTCAGCCTCCCAAGTCACTGGGACTACAGGCATGTGCCACCACACCTGGCTAGAATGTATTTTGACATATCATACACACATGGAGTATAATTTCCCATTCTTGTGGTTGTACATGATGTGGGGTTACACCAGTCATGTATTCACATATGAACATAGGAAAGTTATGTCTGATTCATTCTACTGTCTTTGCTATTCTCAACTCCCCCACTTCCCTTCATTCCACTTTGTCTAATCCATAAACTTCTATTCTTCCCTCCTACTCCCATTGTGTGTTAGAATCCACATATCAGAGAGAACATTCAGCCTTAGGATTTGGGGGATTGGCTTATTTAACTTAGCAAGACAGTCTCCAATTCCATCCATCTATTAGCAAACACCATAATTTTATTCTTTATGGCTGAGTGATATTCCATTGTATATACTTACCACTCTTCCATTCCTTATTTTTTTAGTTGTAATACCTTTATTTTTAAAATTTATTTTAATGTGGTGCTGAGGATTGAACCTCACTCGTGCTATGCAAGCACTCTACCACTGAGTCATAACTGCAGCCCCTCTATTCCTTTTTTTAAATTTTTTATTTTTGATACTGGGAATTGAACTCAGGGGCACTCAACCACTGAGCCATATCCCCAGACCTATTTTGTATTTTATTTAGAGACAAGGTCTCACTGAGTTGCTTAGTGCATCGCTAAGTTGATGCGGCTGGCTTTGAACTCACAATCCTCTTGTCAAGCCTCCCGAGCCATCGGGATTATAGGAAGGTGCCACAATGCCCGGCTTCCATTCCTTCTTAAGAAACAAAATTTTCAAGGAATTCAGTGACTTCCCTATTGCCAAATACACCAATCATCTTTCAGCCTTGATACTCAGATCTTCTCTGTAGTATCTGCAATTGCTGATTGCTCCCCATTAAACTGAAAATTTTCCTCCTTTGGCTTCTATAACTATGTTCTTGTAGTTTCCCTCTTTATTACTTCCCAAATGCATAGATAGCCCTTTTTCCTCTACCCACACATGTCAAGATCTTATGCTTGATCTTTTTACTACACATGTTCTCCAACATTGCTGAGCTCCTCTGGTGTTCCCCACCTCCAGTCAGCCCACCTCCCAGCTTCCTCCCAGACAGCCCTATTTACCAATCCCTTACATCCAATGTTACAGAGCAGAACTCTTATATTGTACTCATGACCTGCTCTTCCACATGTATTTCTGATTTTAGAGAATGGCACCATCATGCAATAATGTGTCCTCTGAGCCAGAGTCATGCTAGTGAAACTTGAGTCCTCTGTCCTTCCTGACATATGATCACTACATTGTGCTGATTCTGCTGCCTATCTCTCTCTATTACCAGCCTCTGTCTCTCTCTCCTCTCCCCTCTGTCTCATACATCTTCACTTCTTGGGATTGGTTCAGCTCTCAGAGAGATGATATTTGAGCTATTTGGTTTACTCTCTTTCAAATAATCATTCCTTTCTCCCAAAAGATAACCTGATGGAGACACTCTCCTGCTTAAGTACTCAGGAGCTCCCCATTACCTCAGTCCCTCCAGCTCTGGCCCATGCTTATACATCACCGCCCCCTTCTGTTCCCTTCTTATGTGACCTAAACTCCAGTCCTGATTCCCAGGAGTTCCTGGAAGCAGCCTAAACCTCACTCACTGCCATCATGCCATTCTTGTCACGACAGTCCCCTTCCCCTCCCTGGATGGTCTGACATACAAACTAACCTCTCCATGACATGGTGTCTCTCTGCCCTATTACAGGTCACTCTTCCCTTTGACTCCTACTCTACCAGTCATGCCTCAGTAAAGGCCTGATCACAAGAAACTCCAACATCTCACAAGTCTGTGTCTCTAAAGCCTCCAGAGTACCAGGAAGTGCCCTTTCAGTGAAGGAGCGAATACAGGCAAAATTACCTCAACATCTAGTCCAAACTGGATGGCAAAGCTCTCAGCTTCAGCAAATCTGTGTTTGTGAAGTAATCGACTCAACCTGGTAAGTTGAAAAAGAAATTTCATTCAGAATTTATTAATGAAGGAATTTAAACTTCTTGTTAAAGGGTAAAGCTTAAAATAAAAAAGTTACCTGTTTTCTGGTAAAGCTTCTGTGAGACACCTGAGCACTAAAACAGAGGTGGTATCCTCAGACAGTCTGAAAAAAGATCATGGTATCAGTGCCCTGGTTATTTAGGGTTAATGAGCAAATTTTAACTTGCCTGTTACTTAACAATTTATCAGATAAAACAAAACATGACCTACTTTGGATCATTTTTGCTAATTCCTTCCAGAAGATATATGGTGTCCTACAAAAACAAAAACATGATTAAAATTCCAAGATAAGGAAAATGTATTTTTATCATCGATAGAATTACAACTGATTCAATTAAGAATCCATCCATCGATGGGTTTTAAACCACCGAGGAAAAACAGTTAAGAAAAAGAATCTTCCCGTGGTCTCAAAATAACACCGCACAAATTACTTATTAATTATAAATAGGAAAATATATCTTTATAAGTGGAAAAATCTGGCAGAAGTGTCTTCGTCGAGAAATCAAATTTAACAACACAGATACAGGACAAATGGGAACTATGAGGCACTTACTGTGATATGGCTAGGACCCAGAATTACCTATGTAGTACTTGTGTCAAAAGAGCTGAGCATGAATCTAACCATGATGAAATGATCAGAAAAATCCACACAGAGGGCCATTCCACAAAACCAGATGCTGGGACTCTTCAAAAATGCCAGTGTCTTAAGACAAAGACTATGGAACTACACTAGATGGAACAACTCCATGACTAAATTCAATAAATGATCCTTGATTAGATCCTGGATTAAAAATTATAATAATAATGGCTTTAAAGTAATTGATACAATCGTGAAATTTGAATTTGGAAGGTATATTTTATAACAGCATTGGATTAATGTTAAATTTTCTGAGTGTGTTAAGTATACTGTAGGAGAATGACCTTATTCCTATTTATTTATTTATTTGTTACTGGGGGATAGAACACAGGGGTGATTCATTACTGAGCTATATCCATAGACCTTTTTATTTTTTATTTTGAGAGAGGGTCTCACTAAGTTGTTTAGGGTCTGGCTAAGTTGTTGAGGTTGGCCTTAAACTTGCAATACCTCAGCCTCTGCAGTTAGGCATATACTACCGTGCACAGCAGAATGACCTTATTCTTAAAATATACTTGCTGAAGCATTTAGAAGTGAGAAGACAGAAAGTCTACAAGTAATTTCTAAATTCTTTAGAAAAATATTGCATGTAAACGTGCATATTAAAAAAAAAGGAGGGCTGGGGCTGAGCGGTACAGCGCTCGCCTAGCACGTGCTAGGCATTGGTTTCCATCCTCAGCACCATATGAATAAATAAAATGAAGGTATTGTATCCAACTACAACTAAGAAAATACTAAAAAAAAAAAAGAAAAAGAAAAAAAGAAATGGAACAAGATAGGTGAGGTGGTACATGCCTGTATTTGGTATGTACTAGATATTTCGAAGGCTGAGGCAGGAGGATTGCCAAGTACCAGGCCAGCCTGAGCAATTTATTTATTTATTTATTGTTTCCTTAAATTTTTTTTTTTTAAAGAGACAGAGAGAGAGAGAGAGAGAATTTTTTAATATTTATTTTTTAGTTCTCGGCGGACACAACATCTTTGTTTGTATGTGGTACTGAGGATCGAACCTGGGCCGCACGCATGCCAGGCAAGCGCACTACCATTTGAGCCACATCCCCAGCCCCAGCCTGAGCAATTTAAAGTCATCCTATCACAAAATAAAAAAATTAAAAGGGCTGAGGATTTAGGTAAGTGATACAGTGTTTGCCTAGAATACTTGAGGCCAAGCACTTGACATGTATTGTTTAAAAAAAAAGAGAGAGAATAAAACAAATATGGTAAAACTTTTTTTAAAAGGTTACAATTTAAAAAAATAGGAGCATCACACTATAAAGTTATGTACAATTATTACATGTTAATCAAAATATTTTAAGTAATGTTTAAGGAAATAGGAATGTTAACTACCTTGATTTAATCATTACACACTTTAGACATGTATTGAATTATCACATTGTAATCTATGAATCTGTACAAATTAAAAATAAATAAAAACATTAGTCCTTCCTAAAATTATTATCTGTATTTCCTATAAAAAAACAATAATATTGAATAAGCAGATGACTGATGTGCTATTTGATTTTCTTTTCTTTTCCTTCTTCTTCTTTTTTTTTTAATATAGAGACAGATCTTGGTCGAGAAAGTATATCTGAGTTAACAATAAATATAAGGGCTGTGGCTGTGACTCAGTGGTAGAGTGCTTGCCTAGCATTGTGAGGCACTGGTTTGATCCTCAGCAGAACATATAATACATAAATAAATTAATTAAAGGTTCACTGACCAAAAAAAACCCTTAAAAAAATAAATAAATAAATATAGTTACAAACTTGAGATCTTTCCAGATATTCCATTAGGATCCAGATATTGAGATTAGTTACACTTAAGTTTTTAAAAAATTAATAAAAAGTAGTTTAAAATATGTATAAACTTACTGTGCTAATTCCTGTTTGAACCAGAGAAGAAATACTAGATACTTCCAAAGAATATAGTATTTCCATTGAAGGTAATGAATAAACCATGAGATTTCTCATCTAAGAGAAATAGAAAAGCAACTAATTGAGTGGGTCATTATAAAACTACACGCACAAAAGAGCACCAGACAATCTAGGTCACACATTTCACACCTGGTACACAAAGCTAAACACAAAAATTCCTTTTCAAGTAAACTTGTTATTGTATTATTTAAATGTTACATATAAAATTATGTTTTATTCCATCTTTACATCTGTTGAATAAAAACCCATATACCTAAGTCTACTCTACAACTTTTATTTAGGGTGAATGTAATCCTTTGTCACCAGGATTATATATATAGACACTTAGGGACTATTTGATTTCTAAAACACTATATTTAAAAAGTGCAGCTAAGATTTATATCACTTTTTTTAAATGGAAAGAAGGAGTTCTATAGAATTCTTTCTGATTTGTGAAGTGTCTGTGTGAACTAAGAGTTTATACATTGTGAGCATTGCTTAACATTTATTTTTGTATTTATAAATGCTATTTCTAATGCGATATAGACAAACATGAAATAAAAATTTCCAGTACCTTTTTATCAATTGCAGTTGTCAGAGCTACTAATTTGAGATTTGTAATCCCTTGCCTAAAAGAGAAAAAACCTCCAAGTAATCAAACAGGCTTTGACAGTTGCTAGATATGTTAAAGTGATACTCTTGCATAAAGTTGCAAAGGATTTACAGAAGAGATGTTGGACTCTTTCTCCATGTTTATAGCCTAGATTGACATTCTGTTTCTAACATAGTTACTTGGAAGATCATAATGTCTAGTTGTTTCCAATGGAAATATGCAGACAAGTTCGTCCTTCCTCTCAGACAAATCACAGTGTAGTTTAGAACATTAGTCTGAACAAAATCAGATAAGGAACCTGGTGCTAAGAGATGGAAAATTACTACTAGCCAGTCATGACATACCAGGTGACTGACGAAGGAGACTCTGCTTCTGTAGTGAGGAGAAACTCCTCTATGTGAAGGGAGGGCCAGTTCCATATGGGAGTGAGCGTGTAGACATCCCACAAACTCAGCACATTCTGAAAAAGAGACATTCTACTTACATGTCTTTTAATTGACTATAAATTTACACTTCAGGACATTTACACACACACATACACTGAAACAAAGCACAGTACACTAGACAGTAATCTACTCCAGGTCAAGTCCTTGTCTTGGTAAGTTTGACAACAATTTTTTTTTAAAATATTTTCCTGTAAATTGACACAATACCTTTATTTTATCTATCTATTTTTATGTGGAGCTGAGGAGCAAACCCAGTGCCTCACATGTGCCAGGCAAGCACTCTACCCTGAGTCACAACCCCAGCCTAGTTTGACAACATTTTTACTTTCATTTTTGTTTGCTGGGGAATGAACCCATGAGTACTCTACAACTGAGTTACATCTCTGGCCATTACTGTTTTTTATTTCATTTAATTAATTTACTTATTTTATGGTACTAGAGGCTAGACCCAGGGACATTCCACCACAGACATTTTTTTTTAAATTATTATTACTTAAATTTTAAGACAGAATCTCATTAAGTTGCCCAGGCTGGCCTCTGGCTTACAATCTTCCTGCAGTAGGTAGGATGTCAAGCATAAGCCACCACATCTGGCTAACTTTTTCTACTGTTACGAGTATCAGGACTAAGGTACAGAGTGTTTGTTTTGCATGCTTTAAGGCCTTAGGTTCCATACCCAGTGTCACAAAAAATGAACACACAAAAACCATAGCATCAACTGCAAATCTGAAGGAGATATATAAAAGAAACATACATCAGTATCAAGAATGAAAAGTAGATTGTCTATCAGCTGGAACTTCTTTGAACCTACAAAAGAGAAAGCAAGATGTCTAAGAATTTATTTCAGTGTTATAGAGTTATCTTAAAATTAGAAACTAACATATTCAAGATAGCAGAACCTCAGAAGTCACCATTTTTCATTAATTCCTGACTTTTTTTTTTTTTTTTTTAGGTGACCCTTAAATACAGACCTCCCAAAAGAAGAATAACAACAGCAACATGTCAAGAACAGTCATGTGTGAACCATCAGCAAACTAATCTAAGTTTCAAAAAATAGTATGTTCAAAGGCCCATTCACCAACCTAAGAATAACAAGAAATCTAGAACTAATAAATACAAAAGTACTTTCTTTTTTCTTTTTTTAATATTTATTTTTTAGGGCTGGGGATGTGGCTCAAGTGGTAGCGCGCTTGCTTGGCATGTGAGCGGCCCGGGTTCGATCCTCAGCACCACATACAAACAAAGATGTTGTGTCCGCTGAGAACTAAAAAAATAAATATTAAAAAAAAAAAAAAAAAAAATTATTTTTTAGTTGGACACAATATCTTTATTTTATTTAATTTTTTTATGTGGTGCTAAGGATCAAACCCAGGGCCTTGCACATGCTAGGCAAGCAATCTACCACTGAGCCACAAAACCCCAGCCACCAGATGTACCAGATGTACTTTCATTGATTTATTTTACCTTTGATAATCTCTGCATCAATATAATTCTTGACCGTCATCCCTTTCTTGGAAGGATCTGGTTCCCATTTTGAGATTGCACAATCACCGGTTCCCTAGAAAAGCAAAAATGATACATCAATTGCAAATTTGGTCCTAAGACCTGAACTTTCCTCAAAATAGAAACATGTAAATTGTGTACATTACTGATTTCAAATATATTTACATATTTAGAGCCCAATCAGCTTTTGTCTCCCAGTTCCTCTAAGTTTCATGAGAATAGAAAGAACAGTGAGCTGTTGATACATTTTAATCACATGAATATTTAATAAGGAGTAAGTATATTCATGCAGCACACCCAAAAGACAGACTCTTCCAGCATTAAAATGTAAATATTGTCTTTGCTAACTATTTTTATTAAAATAACCACAAGTAGCCGAGTACAATGACACAAGCCTGTCATTGCAATGACTCAGGAGGCTAATGCAGAAGGGTTAAGAGTTCAAGTCCATTGAACAACCAATTAAAAAAAAAAGAGTTCAAGTCCAGCCTCAGCAACTTAAATAGACCTTGTGTCAAAATAAAAATAAAAAGAGCTGGGCCTGGGGTTGTGACTCAGCGGTAGAGCACTCGTCTAGCATGTGCAAGGTACTGGGTTTAAGCCTCAGCACCATATATAAATAAATAAAGGTTTTTTTAAAAAAGAGTTGGGATATAGCTCAGTGAGTGCCCCTCTCCCCATAAATAAATAATCGAGTATTTATGGAAAATTCTCTTTTTAAATATTTATTTTTTAGTTATAGGTAAACACAATATCTTTATTTTTTTTATTTTTACGAGGTGCTGAGGATCGAACCCAGTGCCTCAAGCATGGTACATGAGTGCTCGACCTCTGAGCCACAACCCCAGCCCTAGAAAATTCTTACAAATATTAACTTTAAATTATTTAGAACTGTGGTGAGATACCAAACCATATGCACAATGTAGAAGTATAACTGAAAACGGTGGTGAGATATCAAACTATATGCACAATGTAGAAATACAACTAACTGCTTTTTAAAAAAATTTTTTTTTTAGTTGTAGATGGACACAATATCTTTGTTTCATTTATTTTTTTATGTGGTGTAAATGATCAAACCTCACACATGCGAGGCAAGTGCTCAACCACTGAGTTACAACCCCAGCCCTAACTGCTTCTTGATGTATGATATAAATGCAGCAAGTAAAAATGTCATTGTAAATGCTATAATTACATTGAATTTTTGTCCACCCCTTTAATTAGCTGCTTTTCCACCCAAATTCTGAGAAATTATAACTAGTTAATAGAAGTGACATATAAATAAGGAACAGTAACTTTTCATACAAACATAAGACAACAGACTGGGGGTGTAGCTCAGTGGTAGAGCACTGGCCTAGCATGTGTGCAAGGTCCTGGGTTCAATCCCCAGTAGAAAAAAAAGAACAGAACAACAAAAAATGAGACATTACATAGTAAAATGTATCCTTTGAGCTATCTTTCCAACCATGCTTGAAAAGGGAATTGTACTCTTCTAAGTACATTCTTGTCCAGTTTCCCATATTACTAATGAAAAGTATTTGCAAATAGGTTGATTACCCAAGACGAAGAATAAGGTAGGATCTGTTACTACAAGATAAGAATTAATTAGGAATTCTAATTCTTTTGGATCACTGTCTAATACAGAGGTTCTTAACAGGCTTATTTCAAGATTCCAAGGAATTGTGAACCAGAATAGGAAAAAAAATTACATCTTTATTTTCCCAAATCTCCACCTGAAATTTAGTATTTCTTTCACTTATAAATGTAGGCGAAACCTAAAATAAAATGAAATGAAATCCTTAGAACCTTTATTTTGTCACAATAGTAAATACACATTCTGACAGCCTATTGTCACTATAATCTTAAAGTATCGATGGGCAAACAATCTTTCAAGATTATTGATTATTATATTATAATATGATTATTTTTAAATCTGTGATTTCTATTTAGCAACAACATCACAGGTACTGCTGTGACTGGAATTTTTTTGGTTTTGATGTTTTTGCCTATATTCAAAATTCAAAGAAATGCTAAAATTGCAGAGACATACTAGTGAAAATAAAGATGCACTATTTTTCCAAGAGAGAAAATTAGGTTTATTTATTGAGTTAATTTTACTAACTTAATTTTTTTTAATCCCTGTTTGTTATACATGTTGCAAATTAATTTGATAATACATCAGGCACCAAAACTCCACAAAATTTTATAAAAAGAATTACCCCAATTATCACAGGAGTTTCACTTGCTAAATCTCCAGTCACAAGATTGAGACAACCAAGAGTATGATAATTTTCAGTAGAAATAAAACTGGATTTGATTTGTCCTTGTAACTACAAAAAAAAAAAAAATTTAGTATGTTCCATATTCACTTTTTCTTTTTTTGCAGAGGGGTACTAGGGATTGAATTCAGGGGCACTCGACCACTGAGCCACATCCCCAGCTCTGTATTATATTTTATTTAGAGACAAGGTCTCAATGAATGGCTTAGCAGCTTACTTTTGCTGAGACTGGTTTTGAACTTGTGATCATCCTGTCTCAGCCTCCTGAGTCACTGGGATTACAGGCATGCGCCACAGTGCCTGGCTACATTTTTTTCCTTATGCTCCACAAAAATCACTTTAAATCAATCAGATATAAATGTATTTTTAAACAGAAATTTATTAAAATGTCACATCAAGCTAGGCATGCTTGTGCACACCTGCAATCCCAGCTACTTGGGAGGCTGAGGCAGGGGGATCGCAAATTGGAGGTCAACATTGGCAAATTAATGAAACCCTAGCTCGAAATAAAAAATAAAAGAGATAGGGAAGTAGCTCAGTGGTAAAGTGCCCCTGGGCTCAATCTCCAGTATGGAGGATGGGGATGGAAGTCATATTATAGCAGTTCCTAAAATTGCCACCAATATACAGAAACACTGTCTGCATTTATATTAAATTTAAGTTTAAAGAGGACAATATTATTTTGTTTTCTTACCTTTTTGACTGTATCCAAATCTACATTCTCAATTGCTGCATTAAAAAAAGAAAGCAGGCTAAACTTGTGATGTCAATCTATAAAATAATTCAAGTCACCCCTTTATTGTCAAAGTTCATGATTAATAAGTTAAGGCTTACTTTTCAGTATTACCCTTGATCAACAGTATAAATTATAAGCATACATATTGTATTCAGGGTACCAGCCAAGCTGACTGAATGTTCCCCATAGTACAGCTCTGCCCTAACCCCTTTCCATGTTTCTTCCTACCAAGAGGGTCTTCTTATTCTACTGTGAAGCCTTGATCATTTCTCACTCTGCTTTGGAATAGCTCTTTTATTTATCTGGCTCCTTCATTAAACATCAGAAAACTGGATCTTAAACCTTGTGATATACTCAGGACCTAGTAGAGGCCTAGTACATAGGAAAAGTTTTAAAACATTTGTGGAATACATGCTCTGAACCAATTCCTCAGTCTTCCCTGGCTCAAAGGGACATTTGGTCCACACCAATCACTGAATATGTTATCAATTTCTGCTCTACACTATTAACTCTTATATAGTTATTTCCATTTCTAAGTTCATTCACTTCAACAAAAAGCATTTATTTTTCTGCTAGTGTATATCTTTCCTCCCCAACTAAGTTATATATTTCTTGAAGGCTATAACCAAATTATATTTCCTCAGATTCCATAGCAGCTGTAACAGAGGAAAGTAAGTGTATTCTGAAAATTTCCAAGTATACTAGAATAAATGCAATTAAAATACAATATTTTTAAAGAGAATACTTGAAAATCTACCTGGAAAACTAAAAATTACTGCTGAAAATTAATAAGAAAATAATGTATTGCATACCTTGCTGGATTTTTACAAGCTGAAGATTTGTAACATAAAAAAATCCATTATTTGTAAGAAGCAACATATAATAGGTACCTATTAAAATGAAATCAAAATCAGTTTCTCTGAAAGTCATGTGGATACAAAATTTAAACCAGTCTCTAGAACTAATTTAAAAATATGTCAATTTGCTCATTTAAATTCTAATTAAATAATATATTAACATTACAAAGCTTATTTACAAAAGTTGGTTCGTTATTAACTAAAAATGTTAAGTTCTTTGAACCTTTTACATGAAAACTAAACATTATGTTCCAGAAAAAGAGTCAGATATACCAGAATAAATTATATTCCAGTTAATCTTTATTGAAACCAAACTATAATATGCTGAAACCCACAAAAACATTTAAAAAAAAAGTCTTCTTGTAAAAATGAGTATAAAACATTATATTTAGGAAAGCATATATTTAATCCTCTGAAAAGTGCTAAGATAAAAAAATTGCTTCTTATTAACTGCATCAAAATTAATCTTAATATAGTGTAGGTAGTATAATAATGAATTTATACTATTTGTTAAAAATGAGTATGAATTTTTTATTGGATATTTAACAGAAGACATGCAAAATAAATTCAAGAAAACTTACCTTCATTTGAACCATCTTTGTCAATAACAAGATTCTGATAGGTATGCTGATGTTCATCATTAGCTTTCTCAACAAAAGCCTAATTACAAATTAATTTCAATAATAAGATTAAACCCAGAAAAAATGCAATGAGGATTATATTCTCTAAGCCCTGGAATATCAATTATCATTACTAATAATTCTGCCTATATTCCAGATACATCAGTTTTAAAACAGAAAACCACTCTGAACAAGTGTATTAAAAAAATTTAAGCTTAATTTTTCAGTTCAGTGTTTACTTTGTGTTTCTGAAGTGATATTCTTAAACTTAATGTAAAGAAACATTCTTTTCATTTAAAACACTAGTTAATGGTTTGCTAAAGTTTTAGTTATCTAAGAGATTACTTAAAATTTAGATGATCTTACATTAGTAAGTAATGTTTGCTTAGATGCCACATGAATGAGATGTACGTTGCCACTTCTCTCCCCAACCAAAAGAAACATTCCTCCTTGACACAGGCCAGCTACATCCACTTCAGTATCTGAAAATTTTCAAATCGAAGTTTTATTATAAACTGCCTTCAAAACCGCTTATTGTCGGAGCTGGAGTTGTGGCTCAGTCATGGCATACTCGTCTGGCAGGTGTGAAGCACTGGGTTGATCCACAGCACCACATAAAAATAAGTAAATAAAATAAAGGTATTGTGTCCATCTATACCCCCCAAAATATTTTATTTATTTTTTAATATTTTGTTTATTTAGTTGTAGTTGTACACAATACCTTTATTTTTTATGTGGTGCTGAGGATCGAACCTAGGGCCTCCACGCTAGGCGAGCGCTCTACCCCTGAGCCACAACCCCAGCCTCTAAAAAAAATATGTTTAAAAATTGCTTATTGATGGGGCTAGGGTGGTGGCTCAGTGGTAGAGCACTTGCCTAGCACTGTGTGAGGCACTGGGTTTGATCCTCAGCACCATATAAAAATAAATGAATAAAATAAAGGTAAAATATGTCCATCTACATCCAAAAAATTTTTTTAAAATGCTTATTGTAAATATGAAAAAAATGGCAAATTTTGTCACTAAAAAGTCAATGATTTAGGCTGCTTCTAATTATGTTTTTTAAAAAGTTATGATAAAAGTAAAACACAAAAACACTACTAACTTTAATTTGGTCAACAAATATTTATGGAGCAGTTATTAGGTGCTAAGCATTGTTCTGAACCTTTTGCATATATCTGAAAATAACAAGATTCCCACCATCAAGGAGCTCAAATTCTCAGGCAGAAATAGGTGATAAAACAACATGATAAACAAATTAAAGATTCATGAGAAGGTGATCAGTGTTCCAGAAAAAAGAAAAAGGAAAGCAGGGTAAGAAAAGAGCTTGGAAGAACCATGCATTTTGTGGAATGGATCAGACCACTCAAGAAGATTAGAGGGAGGGAGGAAGTTAGCCAAAGGTATAAAGAGTTCCAGACAGTGGCATAGCTGGGCAAGGGTCACCAAGTGGGGGCTTGCCTGTGTTTACACAACAGCATGAAGACAAAGGGAGCAGAGGGGAGAATTAGAGACAAAAGCAACAGCATGAACTGGCTTATTAACTAAAATTATTCAGCAAAAACTATCTCCACACACATGTATTAAGTTACACAGTCCACTAAATCAGTGGTGATACTGTGAATCTTGTGTTCTGATCATGGTAGATATGTTAAGATTCCATGAATAGAGATTTCTTGCCTCTACAATACAAGTAAGATTACATTTTCAGGGCTGGGGATGTGGCTCAAGCGGTAGTGCGCTTGCCTGGCGTGCGCGCGGCGCTGGGTTCGATCCTCAGCACCACATACAAAAAAAATAAATAAATAAAATAAAATAAAGATGTTGTGTCCACTGAAAACTAAAAAATAAATATTAAAAAAAAAAAAAAGATTACATTTTCAGGCTGGAGTTATAGCTCAGTGGTACTGTGAGGCACTGAGTTCGAACCTTAGCACCACATAAAAAAATTAATTAAAAAAAAAATACCTGCCTTCCGATTCCTTTTAGGTTATCTAAATTCTTAAAGGAAATACTCCAAGCATCACCTTTCTTACAGAAATTACTACTCATGAAAGAAAAGCTTTCATACTATTTCACTAATTTCAACACAATCACTGATTAACCGCTTAATTTATTCTTTTTTAAAAAAATGTTCTTTGGTACCAGGGATTGAACTCAGGGGCACTCAACATTGAGCCACATCCCCAGCCCTATTTTATATTTTATTTAGAGACAGGGTCTCACTGGGTTGCTTAGCACCTTGCTGTTGTTGAGGCTAGGTTTGAACTCATGATTCTCCTGCCTCAGCCTCCCTGGGATTACAGGCATGTGCCACCATGCTTGGTTCCTTAATTTACTCTTAAATTCACATTTACAGGTGGGTGCAGGTGCATGCCTATAATCTCAGCTACTTAAGACACTGAGGCAGGGGGTTGCAAGTTCCAGGCCAGCCTTAGCAACATAGAATACTAAAATATAAAAAGGGATAAGGGTATAGCTCAATGGTAGAGAGCCCCTGTGTTTAACCCTCAGTACCATGCCCCCACATAAAAATACCCTCATCAATGGACTGTGGTTGTGGCTCAGCGGTAGAGCACTCACCTAGCACGAGCAAGGCCCTGGGTTTGATCCTCAGCACCATGTAACAATAAATAAATAAAATAAAGGTATAAAAAAAATACTCCCATCAAAAAGGCAGCCTATGAGAAAGTGTAGCAAAGTATATTTGACTTCCAATGTATATTTTTTATTTATATGTGACAGCAAAAAGTATTACAATTCTTATTACACATAGAGAGCACAATTTTTCATACCTCTGGTTGTATACATAGCATATTCACACCAATTCATGTCTTCATACCTGTACTTTGGATAATAAATGCCCCCACCCTTCCCCTCCAACCCCTCTGCCCTATCTAGAGTTGGTCTATTCCTCCCATGCTCCCTCTCCCTATTCCACTATAAATCAGCTTCCTTATAGCAAAGAAAACATTCAACATTTGGTTTTTCGGGAATGGCTAACTTCACTTAGAATTATCTTCTCTAACTCCATCTAATTACCTGCAAATGCCATGATTTTATTCTTTTATTGCTGAATAATATTCCATTGTGTATATATGCCACATATTTTTTATCCATTCATCTACTGAAGGACATCTAGGTTGGTTCCACAGTTTAGCTATTGTGAATTGTGCTGCTATAGACATTGATGTGGCTGTGTCCCTGTAGTATTTTGATTTTGTCCTTTGGATATAGACCAAGGAGAGGGATAGCTGGGTCAAACGGTGGTTCCATTCCCAATTCCAATGTATTTCATTAAACTTACCAAATATAAGATGCAATTGAAGTGATCTACACACACTGTCAAGCAGTATCACGGATTGATCTGCTACAATTATAAATCCATCATTTAAGCTGCATGCTTGTATCTTTGGATTCAGAGAGGTCTGTGAGAGGAGAAAGCATGGCCAAAATTAAAACATTTTTATACAAGTTTCATAATAATTGTCAATAGTATCCTCATGGCCCCAAAGACCCAACTTTGAAACTTAACCAAACAGTCCATCTACCTAAGAAGTTGTTACGGTTTAGATAGGAGGTGTCTCCTAAACATGCCTGTTAATGCAGCAATATTCAAAAGTAAAATGGTTATATTATGAGAATGGTAACCTAATTACTCCAGCCTAGCTTGAATGGACTGACTAGGTGGTAAAGGAAGGCAGGGGAGCATGGCTGGAGAAGGTGAGACACTGGGGTGTCCCTGGAAGGGTGTGTCTTCCCTGTGGTTCTTTCCCCCACACTCTCTCAGCTTCCATCTGCCATGTGCCCTTCTGCCATGACACGCTGCCTCACCTGGACCCAGAGCAATGGAGTCAGCCATCTGTGAACTGAGATAGCTGATACTATGAGCCAAAATAAGCTTTTCCTCCTCTAAGTAATTCCTGTGGGGCATTTTCGTTACAGCGATGCAAAAGCTAAAATATTAGTCATTAAGTTCTTCTTTGTATGGTGTATTTTAAACCCATCCAACGTCCTAAGTAAGGAAACAGTCCTGGAGGGGTAGGGAAGAGTGAGGGATTCCCCCATACAAGTCCTCTTTTTGTAAGAGTAGATCTTATACTATAGGAGACAAAAATCAACATAAATGAGTAAATCAAGATTGGCATAAAGTTTCAGTTTCATGGCTAAGCTTGAGGAGCTGGGGGCAGGGACTATTTAACTGTGAAATGGTAGATACCCGCCCCTAGAGAAAAGAATCTACATAAAGCTGAATCTACTCGACACCAGCCATGAAAATTTCGAGGAAATGCCACACTGACTTGCCCACACTTTCCAACTTAACCAGAAAAGGTGATCTTTACGTGAAGCATACTGATTTTTAGATACTGGCAGCTAAGTCAACATCTTAAAAAACACTATGCAAGCCAAATTTCAGTCTTCAGTTTCAGCTTCAGTTGATTAGAGCTTCCCATGAAGATCTATCTAGAAGGAATTGGAATTTATGGTTGAGAACGCTCAGTTGCTTACTAGCTGTGTGCTTGTGAGCAAATGCCTCAACTGCCTCCCTGTGAAACAGGAGTAAAATAACAATACCTACAATACTTACTGCAGGGAGGTTAAATGAATTAATTCATGTTAAGGGTTTACAAGTATCTTGCACATAGCCTATCTCAATAAATGCCAACTGCTCTTAGTTGTCCCTAACACAACAAGATAATCACTTTATCTGTGCCAGTGTCAAGGGTCACCTTCTCCAGGAACAATTTTTGAAAGTTCCACCATATTTGTATCCCTCTTCTATTACTTCAGTCAGTGAAAAGTTACACCAAAGCACTGCAATGAAGCCACTGTGCTCTGATTCTAGGGATCTGTCCACCTTGTTCTCTCCGTTGAGTTGTTCTTCCTTTTTTCCTGAGGCCCAAGTCAAGTGTAGTCAAGTCAAGAGCACGTTATGAGGTGCTCCTTAGACTGCTAAAACCACAATGAGGTCTCCATCTGAATTCCTACCCGATTAACTGTCTCTACTATTCATTTACACTTAGCATACACTGACTTGCACAGTTAAACATCTTTTTTTCTTATTTTGTTTTTTATGTTTTGCTTAAAAAATATATTTTTACAGCTAAATATCTTCTTTTACTTGTCTTCTGTCTGCCTAACATTAAGGTAAGACCCTAAAATAAAAGGAAAATATGTCCAAGTGCCTAGCATAAGCTCACAGTCATTCTTCAATAGAGACCCTCAGAAGTAACGAGAGGCCTAGGACACTTCCAGTTTTTAAGCCTCTTACTAATATCAAAAAATAAAGAAATGTCTTTTCTCATTACAGAATGTGTGGTATAGCTTAAATGTTTGCTGTTAACAAATAAATAATGTAATGGCAAAAAAAACAAAAATGCAATTTTGGGCCTGAGGATATGGCTCAGTTGGTAGAACGCTTGACTAGCATGCACAAATCCCTGTATTCAATCCCCAGCACCACCCAAAAAATAAAAGCAATTTGTTTGGACTACTCATAAGATAATTAATATTTACATATCATGTGATCCATGGTCAGCTAATAACAGAATAGTCCAACAAAAGGATGTAAGTTAAAAGCTGCATGAAGAATGACTTCTGGGGCTGAGGTTGTGGCTCAGTGGTGGAGCACTTGCCCAGTGTATGTGAGGCATTGGGTTCAATTCTCAGTACCACATAAAAATAAATAAAGGTATTGTGTCCATCTACCAAAAAAAAAAAAGAATGACTTCTGGCCTGGTGTGGTGATGCCTACAGGGCAAAACCCCATCTCCAAAAAAAAAAAAAGAATAATTTCTGATTTATTTTATGGTCGTGGGGAGTGAACCCAAGGCCTCAGGCATAGTATGCAATTACCTCTACCAATGAGCTATATTCCCAGCCCAATTTCTGTTTTTTAAATCCTGTCAGTCAGTTTCTTTGCATACATTTAGAACCTCATTTGAAAAATGTCAAAAGCCTAAATTTTAGGCCCCTTACAAATAAGATCCCCAGAGGATGATCTGTCTTCCATGCTCTAGGAGACATAACTTTGTCTCTAATAGTTGGTCTCTTCTTCCTTTTAATCTTTTTCTTATTAAGAGGATTAAATAATAGCATTGACATGCTAAGGGAACTAGAGGAACCATGGGGTATACTAAGTGACAGAAGGTCAGCTGTACTTTCTTTATAAGAAATCTTTGTTCACCAACATCACCCTATCAGCAGAAACGAAGGACTAGGCTAGGGGTTCAGTGGTAGAGTGTTTACCTGGGATGTGTTAGGCCCTGGGTTCAATCCCTACCACCTTTCCTTTTTTTGGAGGAGCCCCCCAAAGAAAGGGAAAAAAGAAAAAAAAAGTACTGAAAAGGGAAAATCAGAAACTTAGATGTTATCTCAATACTTAAATGAATAATAAATTAATTAATTAATTAAAAAATAAATAAATAACAAAGACTAGGGATGCAGCTCAGGGGTAAATGGCCTCTGGGGTCCAATCTCTACTACCAAGAAAAAAAAAGTTGTCAATGAAAGAGTCATTGTCAAAATCTTACCTTTTCAGAGGAGATCTTTGCAAGCAAATCTACTTGATACAAGGAAGTTCCATTTTCATTTCTTGACCCTACACTTAGGTATCCACTTCCTGTATCATCACTTGTTAGCAGCTCAATATCATTCCACATGCTTCTGGAACGGAGTCAGGAAGCACAGTCTTTCCTGTGACAACATGTAAAATTACAAATCAAATTATCTTGTTGCATGGAATTCAGGTCCTTGGGAAGTGTTGGGAGTTGCCCCAGCTCCAAAGACTAACCTCCCCATCCCCTGAGAAGAGCTGTCCAATGGTGAGTCCTGGTGACTCACATGATCCTTACCCACCAATCAGAACTTCCCCATCACGGTCCAATGGTGAGTCATGCTGACTCACATGATCCTTACCCACCAATCAGAAAGCACCCCATGCTAGCTGCCAAAACCGTTAAACTGTTTCAACCGTCAGACCATCCCTGGCTCTATAAATATGCAGAGCTGCCTCAATAAACGGGCATTTTCTCTGATGGCAAGCCTTGACCGTTCTTTCATTGGTGCCGAAACCCGGGAAGGGGAATTCCTTGCTGCTCAAGGGCCCCCTCTCTCAAGGCTTGCCGTCCTCGTCCACTCTTTGGAGCTCTGGCTCTTCAGTAGGTGAGTTCCCTATTGGGTATCCAACTTCAGATGGGCTACACAGGGGCTTTGACCGTGATCATCCGGCAAACCTCTGACGCCCAATCTGGAGGACAGAACGTACCCCACCACAACCTTCACGGTCACGGTGGACTCTCTGGAACCCGGTTCTTGAGCAGGAGGTACTAAGGGGTGGAAGAACAGGCATTACCCCCCCCCAACCACCCTTGCCCTCTCCTGACCTATGGGGGCCTCTTCTTCCCTCCCTGTAGACTCCCCCTTATTAAATTCTGCACACAAGATTGACCTTACTATCAATTAGACAATCAAAATCAATGGCCCCCAGGAGGATCCCTAGATCCCGCAATTCTCAGAGATCTGTTTAACTTCTGCAAGCACTCGAAAAAGTGGAAGGAGATCCCCTATGTTGAGGCTTTTTCTCTTCTTCGTTCTCACCCGACCTATTGGGCAGATGAACCCCCTCCCTACCGACCTCCCCCGTCAGCTCCGTCCAGCCCCTCAGGTGTTCCCCCTGACTCGGCCGACACCTTTAGTTCCCCCTAAACTAGGTCCTGCTCCGTTGTCCCACAAACCATGCCCCCTTAAGAGAGGTTGCTGGAACTGAGGGCATTATCCGGGTACATATCCCGTTCTCTATGAATGACCTCATGCAACTAGATTGAAGGTTGGGCTCACTCACTACAGATCCCACCACTTACATTAGAGAGTTTCAATGGGTCCTCCAGGCTTATAGCCTCACTCACCATGATATATACATGTTATTGGCTAACACTCTCCTTCTTGAGGAACGTACCAGAGTCTGGGAACTTGCCAGAGCCCATGCAGATGAAACTCACTGAGTTAATCCTAATCACCCTCCGGGGTCACTTGCTGCCCCAGATCAAACTCCTGACTGGGATTATAATACACAAGCTGGCATACAGAGTAGGGAGTGATTCTCCGCATGTATTATGACTGGGCTCAAAAAGGCGGCACGTAAGGCTGTCAATTTCCAAAAATTTCAAGTGATTATTCAAAAGTGAGAGGAGACCCCATCAGAATTTCTGGATCGGCTTACAAAAGCCCTTCAGCAGTATACTAACATAGATCCCGAAACCCCAGATGGACGTCATGTCCTTATGACATATTTCCTCTCTCAGAGCTACCCCAACATCCGGGCCAAACTAAAAAAGCTCGAACAAGGCCCTGCCACCCCCGAGACTGAGATCTTGGCAGTAGCCTTTAAAGTTTTTCACAACTGGGATGAGGAAATTGAGCGCCACAAGCACAGGGCAAAACACAATAAATTTCAAATGCTTGCCCAGGTGCTGCAGGGTGCTTCCTCGGGTTGCTGCCCATCACCGAAACTCCACCCCCACCCCCGCTTCAAGTGTGGCAAGGAGGGATGTAGGGCCAAGGCATGCCCCAAACCACGCACTCCATGTAACCCATGCCCTAAATGTCAACAACAAGGTCATTGGGGTTCTGACTGTCCTAGATTTCATAAGAAGCCTATAGCCAGGGAACCCTCTAACCTTTTGGGCATAGCAATCCAAGATTGACGGAGCCTTGGGTCCTTGTGCCCGACCGTAATGATTCATAAACAAGAACCCAGGGTGTGGATTCAGGTGGATGGGTGCAAGGTTGACTTTCTCCTTGACACTGGGGCTAACTTCGCAGTCCTGATAGACTGGAAACAAAAAGTGCCGTCCACCTCTCCTATTATTGGGGTAGAAGGAAAGACCATCTATCCAAAAAAGATGAACCCCTACCCTCAGCGGTAGGGAAGCCCTTTACAATCCTTAAAAAGGCCCTCCTCCGGGCACCCACCCCCCATCTCCCTGACCTCTCCGACCCTTCACCCTCTATGTACATGAAAAACAGGGACAAAATCTGGGCGTTCTGGGTCAGGAATATGGCCCCACATTTGCTCCAGTGGCCTACCTATCCAAACAGCTCAACCCACCGTCAAGGGCTGGCCCCCATGTCTCAGAGCCCTAGCAGGGGCCATGATCTCCAGAAGGAAGCATACAAGCTTACCTTTGGCTCCCCACTAACCATCTCATCTCCTCACCATCTAAAGGATTTCCTCACTTAGAAGGGGCTACAGTCACTTCCTCCTTCCAGGGTTCTATCCCTCCATCTCTTTTCAGCCCTGCTCTCCATTAAACCCTGCCTCCCTCCTCCCATCTTCTCCCTCACAAGATCCCGTCCACAAATGCCTGGAGGTATTAGAGACGATTTTACCCTGCCCTACCACCATTTCTGAGGGACCCCTGCCCTCTTTGGACCTCGTCTGATTCTCAGATGGTAGCTCCTTTATACATGAAGGGGTTAAAGTAGCGGGGTATGCTGTCGTTTCCCTCTCATCCATCATAGAGGCAAAACCTTTCCCACCCAGTACCACCAACCAACAAGCTGAACTCGTAGCTGCCACAAGGCATGTGAGCTAGCAGAGGGAAAAACCTTCTCCCTATATACAGATCTCCCATGCAGCCATTTGGAAGAAAGGGGGCTATTGACCACCACAGGGACGGCAGTCATTAATTCCACACTTATTTCTGGCCTACTACGAGTCTCCAGGCTGCCTTCCCAACTGGGGATAATCCACTGCGAGGCCCATCAAACTGACTCCTCCCTTACTACTATGGGGAATTCCAAGGCTGATCAAGCGGCTGGATCAGTCGCCCTACAGAGCTTTACCTCCTGTCCGCTACTCTTCGTTACCACCAGGGATCGGCCCAAAGATCCCCAACAACGCTTCCAGTTCCTTCACTCTCTATTCCACTCTAGTACAGAGTCTCACTACTTTCCTTCACTCCTTTTTCACCCTTTCCCCATGCGATAAGACCCTCCTACAACAGATCACTTCCGCTTGTCAGAGAACCAATACCAATACTCCATTAAAACCTAAACCTTTCCCTTCTCATCAGGCCCGCAGTCATACCCCAGCTGCAGACTGCCAGATTGATTTCACCAACACGCCCCGAGTAAAAAACAAGGCTTTCCCACTTCTAACAAGCAGGCCTCTATGGTAGTTGACTCACACAATCCCCCATTTCGGGATGCCCACTTCTATCCAATCAGACAATGGCCCAGAATTCACCTCGGAGATAACTCAGGGACTGGCTCAAGCGATATCACTCCCTTGGCATTTCCATTGCCCTTACCACCCCCAGGCTTCCAGAAAGGTTGCAAGGACCAATTGGTCCCTTAAAGAGACCCTCACCAAGCTCACCATGGAAATAAGCCTGGACTGCATAAAGGTGCTTCCCTTGGCTTTAATGCAATAGTAAACAAGTTGAACAAGTGTTGGCCTTGCCCAAGAAGCTTTCTAATCTCTCACCTTTTGAAGTCATATATGGCCGTCCCCTCATTCCTCCCGGACTGCCTACAGAACCCCTACCCATCTCCAAAACCTATGCCCTGCCCCTCCTCTTCCATCTATGCTCTGAACTCTGGCGCTATCAAGACTGGCTCCTTCCCGACCCTAAACCCTACCTCCTTAACACTTGGTCAACTTGTTTACTATTGCCCCACTTGTTTACTAAATCCCCCTCTGAAACCAAAATGGAAGGGCCCTGCTCAGGTGATTATGTGCACACCCTCAGTGGTCAAACTCAAACTACCTAATAACCCACTTACCCATGGATTCATATTTCCAGACTTAAGCCCAGCACTCCTATACCTTCATCAGAAGAGCCAACGATCGTCACCTGTCATTAAGTACTCTTGTCAATGCTCCCCCTTATTTCTGGCCCCTCTTGGGTCCTCTCTTTGCCCTATGTCTGAAGATTCAAGGCAAGTGACCCTAAGGGCCCCCTCCAGCCAGACCCCCCCCCCACTTGCTTGAATCTGGCTGGAAGTGGGACCATTGTATGTTGTCCTTCTGACAAAACACTTAGGTGTCCAGAGCATGGTGACCCCTGAATAAGTGTGATCATAAGAGAGCACTTTACCAGTTGCCTTCTGGGCCTAAGGAGGAACATGTGTGTTTTGTTTATCCTCCCAGTTTTGTAAGAATTTCAAGTATCAGTATTTAAACTTGAGGTGTTTCACATAAAACCTGGAGAGATCTGACTGCTCTCAAAGGGAAATATGGTAACAATGGGCCACTGTTCTCCCTTGGCTGCCTTCGAGAAAGGCAAAGAGAGAAGCAAGCTGGTACACCCAGGTAGGAGAAAGTTTGAAGAACAGCCTTAATAGAGAGGGGAGGAAGCTAGATTAAACTAGGAATGAAGAGTGGAATTGAGGGTGTTAGGTGCAGGACAGGGTGGTAACTTTGCCAAACAAAGTTAGCTGCAGAATGACCTGGCTTCTCAAACCCTGTCTGGTTCTTTATCACCTATTTGCTTCAAGCCCAAATGCCCAGGCCTCCTGCTCAAGGTTGAACACTTAACCTGCCTTGTGCCAACAAGGCAGCTTGCAGACCCAGAGACCCCGTTAGATTTGGGCTATAAAAACTCCCTGTTCCCGTTCCTTCCCCCATCATAAAGTTATTCAGACTCAGGTGGGTAAAATTTCTAATCAAGCTTTTAACCAGCTTCTCCTCAGGAATTACCAACTCCTGGCTACTGATGATACTTCCAGTCCAGACCTATGCCGAATGGACTGATGTCATCATGGATCTGTGGTGGCAAAGAATCTTAGTTGGTACCAGTCTTCTCTGCCCTCCTGTGGGGGCTCCTTACTTCCCTCCTCTCTTTCTCCCACACCACCCCATTTCAGCAGGAAACAGCCAGAATAAGTCGATGCCCACTCTCATTTAATAACAAAGAGGGGGGAATGTTGGGACCAGGCTCCAAAGACTAACCTCCCCATTCTCTCAACCCCCCAAGGAGAGCTGTCCAATGGTGAGTCCTGCTGACTCACATGATCCTTACCCACCAATCATAAAACACCCCATGCCAGCTGCCAAAACCCGTTAAATTGTTAAACTGTTTCAAATGTCAGACCACCCCAGCTCTATAAATATGCAGAGCTGGGCTGGGGATGTGGCTCAAGCGGTAGCACGCTCGCCTGGCATGCTTGCAGCCCGGGTTCGATCCTCAGCACCACATACAAACAATGTTGTGTCCGCCGAGAACTAAAATAAATAAATATTTTTAAAAATTTCAAAAAAAATAAAATAAATATGCAGAGCTGCTTTAATAAACAGGCATTTTTCTCCAGTCATTTTCTCCAAAGGCAAGCCTTGATCGTTCTTTCAAGAAGTAAAAAGGTTTACTCAAAAAACAGAAGCCAAACCTAACGTCAACACATACAAACTTTGGTCATTTGAACCAATAAGATAAATGGAAATAGAGCTATTATCAGAGAACATCATATTGGTTTATACACACAAATCAACAATTTTTTTTTTTTACTTGTATGTTTATTGCTGATGGACCTTTATTTTATTTATTCATATGCAGACTGGGAATCAAACCCAGTGCCTTAGATATGCTAGGCAAATGCTATACTACTGAGCTTTAACCCCAGCCTCAACAATTCTCATATTACCAGTGCAACCTAGAGCTACTACTACTTTGTGCAATAACAGCGTAAAATTATGTCAAATTTTCACTTGATATAAACCTTTAATCACTATAGCAATAAAGAGTGCAGGTTCTAAAGTCAGAGTGTCTGGGATATCATAGGATCTAAAAGTCCAGATAAACTTTTTTTAAATGCCCATTAAGGTTTCCACTGTACTGCTACACATTAAAAAAAAAAAAAAAGGAAGAGAAAAAATTAGATTGGTTTTCTGATTTTGTGCCAGAGTACATTTGAAACTTTAGGGGAGTCACTTAACCATCTCATTAGCAAAGATTTATACAATCCATATTATCAGTGGTCTGAATGAAAACAGAACATTAAGATGAAAAACAGTCCCCTTATCAAGACTGGTGGGAAATAACCAGATAATTAGATTTTTTTGTAAGAAGTGAGTTTTAAAATAAAAATATGGGTGAGGGATATAGATCCATGGTAGAGCTCTTGCTTATCATATACAAGGCCCCAAGTTTGATCACCTCAGCACCCAAAATATTAAATGAAATCTATAGAAGTATGGTACAAGGGTGAAACAATCTTTAAGTTGATTTTTTTTATGAGTGGCTGGTTGCCCATGGACAATTACTTTAATCTTCATTTTCCCCAATTCTCTAAACTACAAAATAGGAATGTATTGGGACCTACCCAAATGAGTTGTCTTTTGAGTTTTGAATATTCACAGAACAAGGCTTGGTTCAAGGCAAACACTCAAGTCTACCTGTTTGCTAATTTGTTATTAGTGGAAGCAAGTAACCTTTGGTCAGGGAATTTAAGGTCATATGACTTTAAAAATAGGAAAAGGGTTTACTAAGAATGTAAACAAGTTAAAATAAAGCACATCAGCAAGCAAGAGAATTGTTGTAATGGCTGATATTTGGAAATTAAGAGGAGGTTAACATAGGAGAGACAGGTTGGGATGAATACTTTTTTAGGTCTCGGTTTCCTACATATGTGAAACAGAAAATAAGTTTATATTCTTGTAGGAAGAATAAAACACAAAATAATTAACATGTATGGAGTGTCTTCACATGCCCAGCAGTTTTGCAAGCTGTATTAATTTAATCTGACTTATTTTACAGTTGAAGTACAGAAGTCAGGAGTTAAAGAGTAGACCACGGTCACCTAAAGGAAGTAAATGCTGTAAAGCCGGTAAGTGTCCTTTTTAATTGTTAGACTGGCTTTTGACAAAAATAAATAAATGTACAAGTAATCACCATCAGTGCTCAATGTTTTGAAGGAAACAAACAGTGCTCAGGTAAGTGGGGGAAGGGTAACTTAAGAAAAGCCTGTTGGGGAAGGGAAAGAGGTGCCATCTAAGCTGGGAACTAAATAGCAGGAAGCCAAATATGCCAAGCTCGGAGAGAACAACGATTTAGGCACCGAGGACAAAGCTTAAAGGGTCAGAGGGTGGAGAGAATTTAGAGCAGCTGCGGGGTCCCTGCAAGAGTGGAAGATGATGTAGAGATAGGTGGAGCCGAATGAAATCTCCACTACCAGAAGGGATTATCCTTGGTGCAAGGAGGATACTAAACAAGAGTGATATGATTTCATAGTCGTTTGGAGAGCACTCTGACTGCAGGATGGAGAACAGATTAGAGAATATGATAATAAGCGAGACAAAACACTGTTAATTAGGTTTCTATACATAAACCCTCTCGGATACCTCCGCCAGCAAAAACTACTTCCAACCTCTCTCCCGCCAACGTCTAGCGGCGAAAACGCCCTGCAATGGGTTGAAGCCGCTATTTCCACCTGGTCCCATCCCCAAGTTCCCAATAGCAGCACGGAAGACCCTGCTCACCTGCAATTGAAGAAACTAAAAGGAAACACCAAGTATTCCACCCCTCTTCCTGACTCACACAACCGCCCCTAATCACTTTAGGTTCTATCCCACGGGTTTAAATTGGCGGGAGAATAGCAATTCCAACCCCTTCTACGGCGGCCGAGGAAGGCCAAGATTGTTGTTTAATCGAAATAGGAAGTCGCCCCACCTTAGACTGCATTCATTCCTACCTCCCGACAGCGCATTCTAGGGTGTATTGTTGGCTCCGCCCCCTTCGCTGGCCTTATGCACCTCCTTCGAAAAACCAACCAATCACCGCCTAAAGCCTCGTTGCTATAGATACTCATCACCACCCCTTTTCCTCCCAGAAAGCTGCGCGACGCGCCGGGGCCTCATCCCCTTTTTGCCATCCGGGTCTCTCGCGCGAGCGCTTTAGTCTGTGGCGAAGCTTCGGGGCGGCCGGTACTGTTGAAAGCGGCAAGTGAAGGTGCCGCCTTAGCGGCCGGGTTCTGGACTATGGCGGTAGGTACCAACTCATGAGTTTAAAGTCAGGGATTTTTTTTTTTTTTTTTGTAGTTTCGAAAGAGTAGGTGAACGGCCTCAGGGCTGTTGCCCGCGCGCGTGTGTGTATGGACAAAATGGCGCCGCGGCCTTCTTCTGCGCCCGCCATCATGGCTGCCCGCTATCGGGAGGGGGAAGGAGGGCGGCGTCGGTGGGGGTGGGGAGCCGCAGGGAGTGCCTTTTTTCCAGAACTTTCCTTATCTCTTCCCGAGTCCGACGTTCCTTTTGGCCCACGGGAATGTCCCCAGCTTAGCTTAGATACCCTGTTGGTTTACATTGAGTTTTCTTAGGGCTTGAAAATTTGTATTCGCAGAGCAGGAAGAGGCTGGAGAAGAGAGAGAAATTAGAAGTCATCTCTAAATAAAAGTATGGGGTCCAAAAGGCGGTGTGTGTAGGGGACGGAGTGTGAGGAGTCCGCCTCTGGTCTCGGGGTGCGTTCGTTGGGTGGGATGGTGTATTCCTTGCACAGTTCCTTTCAGTGCTCGCCCGTCGGCGCCCAGGTCTGCCCTCAGCCAGGAGCTGGGATGGTCTTGGGGAGAGAGCGAAAATGCCACCGACTCGGATTCGGAACTGTGATTCCGGCATGATCCGAAGGGATCGTGATAAAATCGGTTTAAAATGTACATTACAATCCCAACGTATTAGTGGCTGTGTTTCTCTAAATTTAAGACCCTTTCGTTGACCCCAGTAAGAACTGCAGATAGTAAATCACCGGTTCGGAACGCTAAGCCTGCCCCGGGTATAGGATGCCCACTGCCGAGGGAGTATGTGATCGCTTAGTTTTTGGTGAACCAGTTAAAAGGAAAGTGTAAGCATTTTGCATTCCTTTTTACTGACGAAAAGGATACATCTTTTTATTTTAGAAAATAAGTAGTACTCTTAAGCATAAAGTTTACTCTTATTAATGCTCTGTTCGGTATTGCTTTTGGCCTCTTGGTACACTTAAAAGGTAGTTTTAAGTTGGTTTGGTGCAAGTGGTGGGAGGATTGGGTATTTTAAAAATATCATTTAGGGGCTGTGGCTCAGTGATAGAGCGCTTGCCTAGCACGTGTGAGGCCCTGGGTTCGATCCTCAGCACGACATAAAAATAAATACATAAAATAAAGATTTTTTTTTTTTAAGTAACATCATTTAAAGCGTTTGTTTCAGCACGGCCTCGTGTGATTAAAAAGACAATGCCTTGGAGAAGTGGCCTAGTATTAAATTCGATGTTTGCCTTTGCACTGGAGAAAGATTTGTTTTACGTGTTTCCAAGTACTGCTAGGGTTTTCAAATCTTAAATTGTAGAAAAGAAGTGTTTCTGATGGAGTCAATCAATAACAAAGGTAGAACTCAGTTTTGTGGTATTGGGAGTTAACCCAAGGCCTGATGTATCCTTGGTAAGGATTCTACCACTGAGCTACACAAACCCCATGCCATTTTATTTTTATTTTGAAACAGGGCTTCCCTAAGTTGCCTTAATCTCCCAAGGAGCCCGGATCATAGGCCTGCACCAGGGCAATGGCTGGCTGCAGTCAGTATTCATGTGTAGATTTTTGAATTGAAATGAAATTTAGAAATCATCAGAATAATTTTAATAATCAATTGATTTTAGTTTTTCTGGATGTCTTCAATATGCTTCTATAGAATATCCTCGAATAAAACATGCATATGCTGTGGCCACCTAGCATGTCCTTTTTTTTTTTTTAATACCCTGTTTTTTAATTAATTATATGTGGTGCTGAGGATCGAACCCAGGGCCTGGCACGTGGTGGGCAAGTGCTCTACCACTGAGCCACAACCCCAGTCCCCTATCATATCTTTTTTATGATGGCATAGTGTTAGCTTTTCTGTTGTACTTTTACAGATGCAAATGGCTATTTAAGTTATTGTGTATCGCGTGGTAGTTTTCCTATAGTCAGGCTTCTGTGCTATTAAGTATGTAGTTAAATTAACTTTGGGCCGGAAAGTTATTCTAATTGGGCTAAGATACTGTCTTTTCTATTATAAAAAGTTGTTTTCGGGCTGGGGATGTGGCTCAAGCAGTAGCACATCACCTGGCGTGCGTGCGGCCTGGATTCGATCCTCAGCACCACATACAAAGAAAGATGTTGTGTCCGCCTAAAACTAAAAATATTAAAAATTTTTCTCAAAAAAAAGTTGTTTTCATGTGTGTGATGGTACATGCCTGTAATCCCAGCAACGTAGATTCTTAGCAACTTAGGGAAACCTTGTCTCAAAATGAAAAATAAAAAAGGACTGGGGATGTAGCTCAGTGGGAGAGCACCCCTGGGTTCAATCCCTAGTACCCAAGGAAGAAGAAAAAAAAGTTGTTTTCAGTTCTCAACTTGGTTATCTACAAAAGAAAATGTTATGTACTTTGTAGTTTAGGTTTGAGGTGCATTTAATTTACCAAGTAAAGGCTGTACAGGTACTTATCATGTAATAAGTTAATTTGAATTAACTTGTGAATAATGATGACAACAGGATCAGTATTATCCTTAATTGTTGTGGTACAGCATTATTTATTAACAGTAGAGGTAGCAAAGAGAGATACATTATCATTTAGAGGCTTAATACATAATTTGTGTTTCAATTAAACAATCTTTTTATTGCTGGGTTGTAGCATTGTATTGATAGTTTTGACCCTTGGTGAATACAGGTTGAAATAATGCAACTTTTTAACATCTCATTTTATTCTATATTCATTTTCTGGTCTCATCTTTGAAGAAGTTCCATCATTGTGTGATTCCCTATTTACCCAATCCAGATTTCTTCTGATGTCCTAAGTGAAAAGTTGGTAAAATTTCTTAAGGGCCAGATGGTAAATACTTTTGGCTTTGTGGGCGATGTGCCACATTGTTTACTTGTTTTTATACTCTTTTAGAAAAATGAAAAATCTTGGCTTTAGATTATATAGAAATAGGACAGTAGTTTGCTAACCCCTATCCTAAGTCAACTCCCTGTATTGATTATTTTCATATTACCTTGTTTAACCACTATGCATTTTGCACATACAGCTGGATCTGCTTCTACTCCTTTTTTATAAAAAGCTGTCTAAAGAACATTTAGAATTTAGTGTTCTTGACACTTTTTTCCTATTTCTCCAATTTGAATTAATTTCTTAATGACATTCTTTTTAATTATAATTAGGATCAAACAATCCAGCAGAACCACAGAAACAATTTTAATGGGAAACTAATTCATTTCTTCCTCAAACATGGATTAATTTATGTGCTGAGTGCTGTTAGGAGGAAGTCAGATAATTGCCTCCTATAAACTACAAAACTGATACATAGGTGAAGGAATTTCCTTCAGGTAAATCAAGTTCCGGAAAAGAATGTGTATGGTTGGTTGATTTAATTTTAAAGTTTATGTAAAGGTCTGGGTATGTAGCTTGGTGAAAAAGCACATGCCTAGCATGTGTGAAGCCCTGGGTTCCATCCCCAGCACAACAAAGAAGTAAAACTTATATTGCTGTAATTATACTTATAAAGTGTTTCAAAGCAGAAACAATGTTTCCAAAGCCCAGAACACAAATGATGAGAGGCAGGCCATGTTTTGCTGCAACTCTGTGCCAAGAGGCTATTTTCATTAAAGGGGGTTAATGAAATTAAGAATGGGTTCTCTTAGATAAGTTAATATTCTGCTTATTTTATGATATTTAGAAGTATTCCCTCTGCTGTAAATAAGTAATGGTCTGAAGATACAGCTCAGTCTAGAGTAGTGCTCACCTAGCCAGTGCCAGGCCTTGTGTTCAATTCCCAGCACAGAAAAATAATAATGATAGTGGTTCTGATCAGAAATTACAGGTACATCAGTCTAAATATATATGGTTCTCTTTGGATAGTTGTTTTGAGTCGTTTAGGCAAGTTATTATACTGCATGTATTTAGCTACTTGGAAGTAAGCTGTTCTGATTTACTTTTTGTAATACTCAAGGATAACTATCTTCTTTTTTACTTTTAGGCTAGTGATACAGAACGAGATGGACTAGCCCCAGAAAAGACAACCCCAGATAGAGATAAGAAAAAAGAGCAGTCAGATGTATCTGTTTCTCCTAGAGCCTCAAAACATCATTATTCAAGATCACGATCAAGGTCAAGAGAAAGAAAACGAAAATCGGGTAAGACATAAATTTGTTGGTAGAATTAATAAATGTTCTTTTAATTGAAAATGGATAATGAAAGTATATTGGTTATTTTTTATTTTAAGATAGGGTCACCTTAAGTTGCTTGGGGCCTCAGCCTCCTGAGCTGCTGGAATTGTAGACACCTGCCACTTCACCTGGCAAAATAAATATATATTATTTGAGTTTGAATGTTTCTGGATTTGTTTTTGCATTGCTTAGAACTGAGGGCATTGTCTATGACAGGCAATGAACTACATCTAACGCTGTTTTAAAATCCTTGTGAAGCAAGGTATTTAATGCTTACAAATACTCCATATTCCTTAATTTTTCTATAAAGATAAAACTAAACTGATAGAGAAAGTGTGGGGTTTTTTGCTATTTTTAAAAAGTTAGTGTTGAAATATATGTAATTCAAAGAAAAAGAAATTAGTATCATTACTATTGAAGGAAGAGGTTAATAAGTGAGAGAATAGTTCGGAGTTTTAAAAAGTTTTTAACACCTAAGCTGGGCACTGTAATTTCAGTAGTGGGGTTGGAAGTTCAAAGCCAACTTAAGCTACTTATCAAGACACTGTCTTTAAGAGAAAAAGGAGGGCTGAGTTTGTAGATCAGTGGTAGAGTGCTTGCCTAGCATGTGTGAGGCACTGGGTTCAATTCTCAGTACCACATATAAATAGATAAAATAAAAGTCTATTGACAGTTTAAAAAACGTTTATAAAAATAAAAGAAGGGCTGGGGATTGTAAGACTCAAATCTTAACGTCATTTATCCCTTTTGTTCACAGATAATCATCTACAAAATATTGTTTTGTCTGTGTATTTGAAACTGGTATTATCATAACCATTTTGTTTTCCTACATTTCTTTAAAATATTTTTAAATTGTAGATGGACACAATATATTTATTAATGTGGTGCTGAGGATCAAACCCATTGCCTCACACTTGCTAGGCAAGTGCTATACCACTATAGCCACAACCCCAGCCCTGTTTTCTCACATTTTTTACTGGTGGATTATAATTATACATAGTGGAATTTGGTGTCACATATTTGTACATGCACACAATATAATGATATAGGCTGGCCAGTCATTCCCCAGTATTTCTCCTTTCCCTCCACTTCTTCCCTCCCTCCATCACTTTTCTCTGCATAATTATTTTTGAATGGAAATTTTTCTAAGCTAATAGCATCCTTTAGACTTCTTCAATAACATACCAAATATAATCCAACCTGTTTATTTTCTTTTTCTTTCAATTTTGTTGTCCTAATTGTTTACTTCATAAATTTGCTATGTACTAGAAAACAAGATGAACTAGTCAGCATTTTGTTGAAATATTGGAGAATTTGTGACAGAAAGGGAGTATGGTGGTATACACCTGTAATCCTGACTGCTCACAAGGCTGAGAATACAAGTTCCAGGCCAGTCTCAGCAACTTGCAAGACCTGATCTCAAGGACTGGGAATGTAGCTTAGTGGTAGAACATTGACCTAACATATGCTGCGCCCTGGGTTTGATCCCCAACACTGTAAAACAAAAGTATTTGTGACTTAAAGACGGTGTTTGTACTGTTGGCTTAATTTTTTTTTTATTCACATTGTTTGATATTCTTAATATAAATAATTCTTCTCCTGCCATAAAAAGTATAGATATTGGAAGATGAACAGGTAGAATTTTTTTTTTTTAATATTTATTTTTTAGTTTTTTCGGTGGACACAACATCTTTGTATGTGGTGCTGAGGATCGAACCCGGGCCGCACACATGCCAGGCGAGCGCGCTACCGCTTGAGCCACATCCCCAGCCCCTAGAATTTTAATTGTAGTTGGACACAATAACTTTTATTGTATGTGGTGCTGAGGATCGAACCCAGGGACTCTCATGTGCTAGATGAGCACTCTACCACTGAGCGACATCCCTAGCCCATGGAAGTTATTTTTGATAACAGCATTGAAATTTATGTTTATGTTGAATTATTGTTTGTGTTCACAGATAATGAAGGAAGAAAACACAGGAGCCGGAGCAGAAGCAAAGAGGTAATTAACACTTTGTAGTGAATAGGTACTTTAAAATACTCGTAAAGTATCTGGTAGAAATGTTTGTGTGACTATATTACATTGTTAAGGTAAGTACCCAAACTTGAAATTTAAAAGGTTAATTGGGTTATAAAATAAGCATGATTTGGATTCATCCTTTTTCAAGAAGATAGTTGTTTATATGAAAAGTGCCTTCAAAAACTTAATTTTATTATATTGTGAATATATTCACAATAAAAATTTCATATGAAGAATATAATTGGTTTTTTTAGGTCTGTCACACAGAGCTTCCATTAATCTGAGGTCCCGAGTCTCCTTAGCCTGACAGCTGCTCAGGATTTTTAAATAGCAGTCATCTTTAAGTAGCAATACCCTAGATATCTGTGGGCTACTTTTTCTTCATGGTAGGTAACAAGAGTTCTCTTTTCTTTTGTAAGACTTAATGGCATTATTTCCCTGGTAGTGTTGAATTTTGAAGTACAGGGGTAAGTAAGGGACAGTAGGAAAGGTGGCAATGACAACAAAACTTGAGGATAAACAAAAGGCAGCAGTTATATTTCAAAGGAGTTTTAACTTGCTCACCTGAGAAGACAAGGAATGAGCCAACAAGGAAGAGCAGATGTAGCAACAAGAAAGGGAGAAGAGTCTGATGGGGGCTGGGCAAGGGACTCCTAAAAATATGGGCAGGGACTTCACCTCTTCCCCTAATGGAAGCTCTGTTAAATTTTTAATTTAGGAGAGTTTTTGTGAAAATGACTATTTTGTTTAGCTCACATGATAACATTTCTATAATAAATCATACTCAGCGTGCTAATGCGCGAAGAGACTGAACTGAAGACGCTGCAGACTCAGATAGCAAAATAATAAGCCTACTTCATGATAAGGTAACTATTAGTCATTCAAACTCCTATTTCCCTTAAGTATCTTAAATCAGTTAAGGGTTTTAATGTTTTTTGTTTTTGTTTTTTGTTTTGTTTTGTTTTGTTTTTTTAATTAGAAATGTTATGTTTGAAAAACTGGTTTGAAATAAACTAAAACTTTTGGAAATTTAACCATTTAAAACTTTTCCAGTCTGCCACTATATGGCAAAATCTAGGAAATTTTCTTTTGTAAGGTCGTATCACAGAGAACTGGCAATGAAACTAATATTAAGCTTGTGTCTCCAGGTCTCTTATTTTTCTGCCAAGTAGAAAATCACTATGATCATTTTCAAACGTATCATCATGCATGTTCCAAAATGATTGGCGAAGTTTTTTTATTTTTTTATATTTTTAACAATAATTAATCTCGAGTGAAAAGAAATATACTATGGTCTGTTTTGGGAAACAAATAATGTATTTTGGTGGAGAAGTGGTGGCCTGGGCATCAGACGAACTGGGCTCCAGGTCCCGTTCAACTACTGTTTAGCTTTGTGACTTTAGAGATTAGTTTAGTTACACATAATGTAAGGGGATTAAATTAGAGGATATGTGTTTCTTTTCAGATTTAAAATTTAGTGACAATAGAACGCTTGGAATTTTAACATTTAACTACAAGATGGGTTTGATAAATCTTAGTGTGGGAAAATGTTTAGCACTTCCTACTTTGGTATTTGTGCAATAAAATAGGAGAATTGATCAATACACTTTTAATTTTAGCTGATTCTGAATGCGTATGTATTTAAGTCTTGATTTTAATCAAAATACGGGGGGATAATGTGTTGTATGATGGCATAGGGATTAACTATTTACTCTTAGTTTGAGTTTTTAAAAATTAAAACAGGTACAGTTGGCATTTTGTACTGCAGGTACACAAGATGTAGTAGAACTCTAAACATTGGAATTTGCAACATAAATTGCTGATTCACAGTTAAGACATTGGGAGAATACAAAAGCTAATTTTAGAGACAATGTGACATGCAAAATAGGTATGAAAAGGACACATAACTGTACTTTGAAATCGTACAAAATTTGTTCACTAAAATTAATTATACTTAGCTTTCCATTTGAAATGCATTTTCTAGTGCATTTCTTTATGTCCTTATTGTTTATTCTTTAAACTTAGTATTCTCTGGATTTTGAGGTTGATGTATAGATATGGTCTGCATTTTTTTTTTTTTTTACAAATGTTAGGGATTCCTCTATATCTGGTATAATGGTTTTCTGATATTTCAGTTTCAAAAATCATTGTTTTCTTGTGGTATGAATATATCTTGGGGGGAAACTGTATTTTGTGTTTATTTTAAAAATTAGTAATTAAATCTGCAACATTTGGGTGATGTGAAACTAGATCATTTTTTATTTGCCACACACTCCTAAGGTTACTAATGTTGCATCACAACATTTTTGTCTACTGATACCCATACTAACTCTTTTTGTTGCACTATTTTCCTGAAAGAACCAACTTCTTCTTAAAACAGGCAAGAAGACATGAATCCAAAGATAAATCTTCTAAGAAACACAAGTCTGAGGAACATAATGACAAAGAACATTCTTCTGATAAAGGAAGAGAGCGACTAAATTCCTCTGAAAATGGTGAGGACAGACACAAACGCAAAGAAAGAAAATCATCACGAGGCAGAAGTCACTCAAGATCTAGGTCCCGTGAAAGGTAAGTAGTTTTGGTATTATCCATAAGCACTTTATGTTTCACTTTAAGTTACGTAAATTTTCTCAGTAACTTGTTACTAGGGAAAAAAAATTTATTTATTTTAGTTGTAGATAAATGTACAGTATCTTTATTTACTTTATGTAGTGCTGAGGATCAAACCCAGTCCTTCACACATGCTAGGAAAGTGTTCTACCACTGAGCCACAACCCCAGCCCCTGGAAATTGATCATTTCTTACTAACTTTAATAGCTAGAACATTTTAGTCTTTGCCTTATGGTAAATCCACAAGTGATGTCCAAGATCAAAGGAGTGAGAAATGGTTAACATGTTCAATTGATGGGTAGATTTTCTTCAGCCATTTACTGAGTTTTATTTTATGCAGTGAAAACATTATATTGTTGAGTTACTTAGATAGTTTAGGCCAATAAAGAGAGAGTCCATTTACACCATTGATGTAGAAGGTGTTTGTTCCAAACTCACCATTTAAGTTTTTTTTTTTTTTTTTTTTTAATTGTTGTTGTGGTAGTGCTAAAAAAGAATTTTTAGAAACTAGGTAATGGTTGAAATTTGGAGATTTTGGATTTGAGAAGCTAGTGTTTAACATACATTTGAATTTTTTCTGTGGGTAGTAAGTGGTGATACCAGACTAGTCCAGATTTAAATATGATCTTTAAGCTTTATATATACTGTGGTAAAGTTCAGGCTTGAAACTGAGTTGAGGAAGGATGCGTTGAACATTTTGACATGTTATAGGTTTTCTATTCCCATTGAGACTTCTTCATATAATAATGAAGGTTATAAGTCCTTCAAAAACCTCAGCAACCTTTTTTTATAAAGGAAAGTTTATTGCCTGTCTTCATTACATTATTACAGATAATATTCATAATGTATGGAATTGAAAACTCTTTAAGTTGCATACTTGAATTTCAGGCGCCATCGTAGTAGAAGCAGGGAGCGGAAGAAGTCTCGATCCAGGAGTAGGGAGCGGAAGAAGTCACGATCCAGAAGCAGAGAGAGGAAGAAGTCTCGATCCAGAAGCAGGGAAAGAAAACGGCGGATCAGATCTCGTTCCCGCTCAAGATCAAGACACAGGCATAGGACTAGAAGCAGGAGTAGGACACGGAGTAGAAGTCGGTAGGTACTCATTCTGAATAAAATCTGGTAGACACCTCATTGGGCGTGTGTGACAACCCAAGAATGTTAATAGTCAACCAGTTTTATTTACATATTAAGGTAGAATTGTTCTACTTATAACCTCACTAATAAAAAAAAATCTAGGGCCTAGCAATATGGTGCATGCAAGGGGCTGGGGTTATAGCTCAGCAGTAGAGCACTCACCTCGCATGTATGAGACCCTGGGTTCAATCCTCAGCACCACATAAAGGTAAATAAGTGAAATAAAGGTATTGTGTCCAACTACAACTACAAAATAAATATTTATACTAAGTGCTAGAGTGAGTAATGAAAAGGGATGAGACGTAGCTCAGTGGTAGAGTATCCTTGGGCTCAATTCCCAGTACATGGGGTATAGGGAATGGTGAAGGATCATTAGTTGGCAGTGTAATTAGTAGGACAGGAGGAAATTTTAATAATATTCTTAATAGAATTTTCATTTAAATGCTATAATTAATATGTATGCTAACTTACTAGTATTCATAGTAATGCTTTTAATTTATTGAAGAAATACAATTGAAATGCAGGTGAAGATAGACCTATGTTTAGATTTTTTGCTTATCCACTTGTTTGAACTTTTATCAAATCAGTGTCAGTTTTTACTCGGTTGTTTTTAGTCTGTCGTATAGTAATTTGAACTTTAATACTGACAATGAGTCAAAGGTAACTGAGGCAATCTTTTAATCACTTTTTGGGCAGTTTAGGACTTTAATTTCGGTAATTCTTTTAGTGATAACTGATTTTCTAAAAACATCCTCAAATTAATTGTAGTTTACTATACTAGAGCCTGGCACAGTGGCACACACCTATGGTCCCAGCTAGTTGGGAGGCTGAGGCAGGAGGGTTCTAATTTGGAGGCCAGTCTCAGTAGGATCCTGGTTCATAATAAAAATTTTTTAAGGTGGGGACAGGGCTGGAGAAATAGCTCAGAGGTAGAATGCTCCTGGGTTCAGTCCCCAGTGAAATAAGATTTGCAAATATTTGGCCTTTCATTTCCAGTTGTGTAAATATTGACCTATATTGTGAATAATTACAAGGTTAGTCTTTGCAGCCTTAGTTGGTATAATCTGTGTGCTGTGATGCCAGCCTGTAGTCCTGGCTACTCGGGAGACAGGATCACAGGTTTCCGACCTAAGAAACTTTTGAGACCCTGTCTCAAAAAATGAACAGGCTAGGGTGTGACTTAGTGGTAAAATGCTTGCCTGGCATGTGCAAGGGCCTGGTTTCAGTCCCTAGTGCTGAAAAAAAAAATAGAAATGCCTGATGAGTTGCCAGTGTGTCCATCTAAAATATGGAGGTTAAATAAATAAATGGGCCATAAAAATAAGAAACTTAAGAGACAGGTCTCACTTAGTTGCTTAGGGTTGTTGAGGCTGGCTTTGAACTCAGGGTCCTCCTGCTTCAGCCTCCCACGTTACTCGGATTAGAAGCGTTCACCATTACACCCTGTGTATCATTGACTGTCATTAAACCATGTAAACAATTTTTTAAACAAAATTAATTATCATAAGACTTGTAAAATGGCATTTATTACAGAGATAGAAAGAAGAGAATTGAAAAACCAAGAAGATTTAGCAGAAGTTTAAGCCGGACTCCCAGTCCTCCTCCCTTCAGAGGCAGAAATACAGCAATGGATGCACAAGAAGCTTTAGCTAGGAGGTATGTATGTTTTGTTTTTTAATTGGTTTTTCCCTTTCTACGTTTAAGTAGATGCCAAATTGTGTGGACAAAATGAGTCGTAAAGTCAGTATACTTCAGGTAAATTAATCATAAATTGTGATACCTTTGTATTAAGTTTTTAATTCTCACCTTAGATGTTTGCTTGCTTGTGCAAATAGGAGGGTTGAGATGTCTGAAGCCATTCTTGTTTTTTTTTTTTGTCTTCATGATTAACTGGTTATTTTTTCCAAAGAAATATAGTCAAACCACTTGTTTGCTTTTTTTTTTTTTTTTTTTTTTTTGAGCCTTATGTCATCTTCAAGGACTGTTTTACATCTAATATGGTTTTACCTTTACTTGGTGGTTTTTCTTTCTCAAAACAAAACCAAAGAATTCTTTCAATAGTTTTCTTAAGGTTGTAGCAAATAATACATATACATTATAAGCTAATTTATTATCTTGTAACATAGGGAGAACATTGTATTTCTTAAATTTTCTACTGTTTCAAAGAAGAGGGAACCACACACAACAACGCTGACTGAAATCTGCAAAATGCTCCAAAGAACTGCCTCAAATGAGGCAAGTGAAATAAACTCCCAACACATTTTCGGTTTTCAAAAATTCTGAAAATTAAGTTCTTTGGATTTGGGGTTTTGTTTTGTTTTCCCCTTCGTTTTTTTTTTTTGTTTTTGTTTTTTTTCCTTGTGAAATTGAGTTTGTTGTTTTTGTTTTTGTTTTTTGTTTTTTTCTCATTATAAAAATACAGTTATCACAATGTAACCTGATGTGCTGCTGCCCTGTGAACCCAGCCTGGCAGAACTCCAGCTGAACAGCAGCAGCAAAGGTGTGAGCTCACCCCTTCTTCATTCCATTCACCTCAGTGAATGGTGTTAATTCCAGACCTGCAATAGCATTTTGATAGAACCAATACTACTCATATTTTCTTTCTGAAACTAAAATCAACATCATTAGGAAGTGATTTACTCTAAAATCTAAACTAATTTATGATAATTGGTTCATTAACTTTGACAAAGTATTTTCTAAGCCCTAATTTTGACTCTTTAATTTACATCTATACCATAAATATGTTGCACTTTTCGTTTTTGGATTTACTCTGAAGTAAAACTTTTTGATTTAGCCACTTAGCGGTCTTTCAGGTATGACAAATTCACATTAAATCCTCTTTGGGCAATTTAAAGTTGTTTTGGAAATATTTTTCTTACTTATGACCGACCTACATTTTCTTGTTAAGCCACATCAGAAGTTCTTATTATTCTCGGGGACAAAAAAAAGTCTTCGACTGTGTTTCTCACATATGTGCTCAGTAAAAAAGAATGCTTATATATCATAAACTTTCTTTTTTATAAATTTCAACAGTTGTTAAAGAATATAACAATTGACTATCGTTGTTTTTTATTAGCCATGTGTCCATCCCCCCAAAAAATACCTTTTCCCCAATCCATGCCTGTTTATGCCACGTTAAAGATGAAGAGTGGCATTAATTTATTATTGGTAAATTGAAGAATCCTTCTGACAAAAAGGGTTTTTCTCTTTCAGGAACTGATCATGAAGATAATGTTACTCCTTTGCTGTATAAGAAATAAATTTGCACATATTCATAATTTCAGTGTGAAGTGGAATTAATTTTTTTTGAATGAATTTATATTGCCTGTGCCTTTGCCAATGACAAATTTCTTCACCTGCTAAAAGTAATTTCCTAATGCAGCCACTACCATCCCCCTTTTATTAGGTTATAATAAATAATTTAGCAGGGTTTGCTTGCCCTTTTACTTACAGCTTTTTAAATTTTTATTTAGGTAAAGACTATAACAAAGTATTTGGAAATAAAGAGCATCGTTAGAATGATTGGGTTGGCATTCTATCATAGCATTTTATCTTTACTCTAGTTGTCAGCCCTGTCAAAGATTGATGAATTTTAAAGTTTTAACCATTTCTTTAGTGTGAAATACATATTAAATTTCTAGTTTTTGACACTTCATTCAATTCAAAAGTGTTCATAAACAGTATTGTATAGCATGTGCCAACAATTCTGCCTACTCAGGAAGTTAAGGCAAGGAGGATTATTTGAGCCTACGAGTTGCAGGGCCAGCCTGGGCAGCATAGTCAGACCCTATGTCATAAAAAAGCAAAGAGCATTGAAATGTTCTTTTGATAGGAAGAGGATATTGAATAATTGGCTCAATTTAAAGTTTATCAAGTATTTTGTCTTTGTACATATATAAAGGTACATAGTGAATTTATATTAACTGTTTAAATTTAATTGTCTTTGACAGATTGGAAAGGGCAAAGAAATTACAAGAACAACGAGAAAAGGAAATGGTTGAAAAACAAAAACAGCAAGAAATAGCTGCAGGTAATTTTTTTTTTCATTATACATATATGGGTTTAACCTTTGTATATATTTTTAAAACTAATAGGAAAAAAAAATCAACTGTGATTCCCTAAAATACCCGTCAATACACTGTAAACATTTTTAGTGTTTTGCCACCTAATAAGTTCTTTATGAGGTTAGTTGACTTTTATCATTAGCTCTACCAGTAAACTACATGCCTAGTCCCTTTATGCATATATATTTTCATTTTGTCCATTTAGATAATTTGAAAAGTGAATAATGACTAATCTTATTCACTTAGCCCTACAAATGTCTTCTATTATGAGTTTGAGAATGCAGCTTATTTAAGACGGTAGATATGTATTAAAATATAATACATATCTACCTTCTTAATAATAATAATACATATGTATTAAAATATAATACACCTGGCATAAAAGGTGCTTGAGAATGAAATTTATATCTATGAAATTGAGTCTAGAAGATGTTTTATTTTGACATTCCTAATAAAGAGTGGTGCTTTTTTTAATACTCCAAAAGTTTATGTACTGCCATTTTGTTTCTAATAAAATAATTAAAAGACTTTCATAACTGAGTTCCTGCAATGTTAGTAATTTAAGAACTTTTCAAGTCTCTATACTCTGGACTGAGAAAAATGAGGGATTAGAAGGGTCTTGCTGTTCCAAAAAGACATATCACATGGAATTACTTGGCTTGGTATATAACTTTAGGACATGGCCTTAGTATTGGTTGGATATGTTTAATATCTGTTTAATGTTATTTGTTTCAAATGAGATAGCTGTAAAAATACTTCGGAAAACATGACCATACAATTATTAAATACATTTTAATTATAGTTGTGAATGCCATAGTTGATTTCCATTGAAATCATACCTTCCTCCAGTTTGTATAATTCTTTTCATCCTCTTGAGAAATGTTTGATGTGTAACTACATATTAGGGAAATACAGAAGCATTGGTGAACACGCTGAAATGATGTTTTATAAGGTAAACTTTTCCGTGTATTTGTTGGAAATAACCCTGCCATTTTCATAAATTGAAGGATTTTTTTTTTCATGTAAATGTATTGATGCAAATTATAAAATTTGTCTTTGAAAACTCATACTTACATCCTCTTCAGCAGCTGCAGCCACTGGTGGTTCTGTTCTTAATGTTGCTGCCCTATTGGCATCAGGAACACAAGTAACTCCTCAGATAGCTATGGCAGCTCAAATGGCAGCCCTGCAGGCTAAAGCCTTGGCTGAGACTGGAATAGCTGTACCTAGCTACTATAACCCAGCAGCTGTGAATCCAATGAAATTTGCTGAACAAGAGAAAAAAAGGAAGATGCTTTGGCAAGGCAAAAAGGAAGGGGTAAGACCTCCCAAATTCTTTATTATTTATCCCTAATTAGCAATTGCTTAGAGAATCAAATTTCTGTTGAAAAATGCAAGTTTGAGCTTTTCTCTCTTCTGAGAGCCTGTTTGCAGTAGTCTAATTTGAAGCAGTAAACATGAATGATTGAACTTAAAAGCTTTCAAAAAGAATCAGTTACATTTATAAAGGGGAAGAAATGCTACTTGGTTTAGGTATTTCATTAATGATATATTATGAGGTACTGCCAAGCACAGTGTCACATGCCTGTAACTGTAATTCTGGCTACTTGGGAGTCTGAGGCAGTGGTATCAAAAGTTTGGCGAATTTGCCAGACCCTATCTTATAAAGTTTACAATTTTGGTCTCAGGGACACTCAACCACTGAGCCATATCCCTAGCCCTATTTGTATTTTATTTAAAGACAGGGTCTCACTGAATTGCATAGCACTTGGCTTTGCTATCTTCCTGCCTCAGCTTCTCGAGACACTGGGACACACTGCCTGTGTCACTGCACCTGGCTTGCTTCATTACTCCATAAGATAAATCTTAATATCATTATAGATCCATTAACAGAAAGCCATAAATGCTGCTCTTTTAAAATTATGTTGCTGAGAGTGTAAATATCCTAATAAAAGGTATTTATATTTTCCATATTCTAAAATGTAGTGTTTCTTAACAGGACAAATCCCAGTCTGCTGAAATATGGGAGAAATTGAACTTTGGAAACAAGGACCAAAACGTCAAATTTAGGAAATTAATGGGTATTAAGGTGAGTTTTACTTTGTATGAAGATTCACATTAAGCCGGGAGGCTGAGTCAGGAGGATTTCGAGTTCAAAGCCAGCCTCAGCAATGGTGAGGCCCTAAGCAATTCAGTGAGACCCTGTTTCTAAATAAAATACAAAATAGGGCTGGGGATTGGCTCAGTGGTGGAGTGTCCCTGAGTTCAATCCCCAATACTCAAAAAAAAAGATTCACATTAAACCTATTTTGGCAGGGGCAGGGGTTGTAGCTCACTGGTAGAGCACTTGCCTAGCATGTGTGAAGCACTGGGTTTGATCCTTTATCTTTTTTTTTTTTTTTTCTATGTGGTGCTGAGGATCAAACCCAGCACCTCGAAAGTGCTAGACAGGTGTTCTACCACTGAGCCACAACCCTAGTCCTGAAAGTTTTATATCTTAAGTTTTAGGAAATTGAGGTTATTACCTTATCATACTTTCCCTCCACCCTTTTAAAAACTAACAAGCAATACCACCCCTTGGAGTACTCATAGCCTTGATTGATACTTCTCTGTAGTGTTTATACACTGTCAAATGTATTTTGATGCTTTTTGTTTTGTTTTTGTTGTTGTTTTTTAATGGTACTGGGGACAGAACTGAAATCCACTGTACCACTGAGCCATACCCAACTCCTTTTATGTGTTGTTTTTTGTTGTTTTGTCTTTTTCCACAGTTTAAATTTTATTGGATCCCACTATACTTTGTATGTTTAGAAAGAACATTGTCTTGTACTATATGGGTCATTAATGAATGGATGGAAGCCAAATGAGGTCAAATACAGTATTTTGAAAATACAAGTTAACAGTCACATCAAGTGAGAGAATCATCTCTTATTTTCATCAAAATGCATTTTAATATTTTGTCTACTATTTAGAGTGAAGATGAAGCTGGATGTAGCTCTGTTGATGAAGAAAGTTATAAGACTTTGAAGCAACAGGAAGAAGTATTTAGAAATCTAGATGCTCAGTATGAAATGGCAAGATCACAGACCCACACACAAAGAGGAATGGGTTTGGGTTTTACATCTTCAATGCGAGGAATGGATGCAGTTTGAAAAAAGATCACACTTTTAAAGTTTGGGACTTTATAGACTTCTTGTTCTGATGTCAGGTCCTTGTTCACCAAACAGCTAGCATTCTAGCTTGCATGGGTGTTGCATTGACTTTAATTTATTGAAAAATACGATTTTTGTAAATATCAGATCAGTGATACTGGTGTTAGTGTTGTAATCAGGTTAAACCCACTTCCATTAAACTTGACAGGACTATAGAAAGACAATATTTTTTAGTTCATTAATTCTACTTTTCAAAAATATATTAAAGCTGCAGGTGGGATAAAATCTCATACATAGATTTTTTTCGTGTCCGCTGTCTTGTGTACTTTTGTACTTAACCTTGTACAGTTATTTTCATCTCTTGAAACATGAAAGAAATGTTATGTAGATGTTCTTTAGAAGATCTGACCATTTGGTACATAATCCAGCAAATAAGCTGGGTGGTGATGATAATAATAAAAATGGTTTTCTCAAAACTGGTGTTAATTTAAATTACCTGGTATTCTTGTTTGAGTTTATGGTTTCTGTAGCATTTTGCGATTGCTATTAGAAAACACTGGCTAGAAATTCCTTTTTATAAACAAAAATAGTTAACTATATGCTATAGGCAATACCATGGTGAGCAAAAAAAAAAAAATGTAAAGGGAAGAGGAACAAACAAATCTATTAAAATATTTTTTGTTTTTTCCTACTACTATAAGGGACAAAATTGGTGTACAGTATTTGTTAAATATTCCATGTTATTCAGGAAATAGAATAATGCATTAAAGGGATGTAAGCACTTTTATTTTAATAAAGTGCCTTATAACAAGTCATTTGTATGCCCTTTGAAGTCTTTTCCAGCATAAACTGATCTAAAATAGTAGAGGACAACTTTGCTCAATTGAACAGGGCATAAATCTGGGGATGAGGGGGAAACATTGGTAGTTAATTCACTTTCATTACAACAAAATAATAAAATTTTGACATACTTAGAAAGTTAAAATTCTTTAAGAAACTTCACAGTGTATCAAATAGTCCAGTACAACAAGGAAGACTGCTTTATAAGAATAAGACACATTAAATTTTTGGCACTGAGGATTGGACTCTACAGAGTTTGAGCATGCTAACTACAGGCTCCCCATTGAGCTGTACTTTCATATTTTTATTTTATAACGTCTCTGGGTATTTTTGTAAAGGCTTACTCATCTCAGCATAATAATTCTGTGGAGAAATGGAGTTTTTTTGTGCTTTAATTACCCAACAGCTTTCTGAATAAATGACACCATAGATCTTTCTTTGGGGAGTCATTAATAAATATATTTCTCTGTTACTTCAATTCATGGCTGGCCTAGGAGCACACTTCAGTGGTGCTTAGAATGTGCAAGGCCTCAGGTTTTATATCGAGATCTTCAGGGGGAAAAATGTTCATTTCAATATTAAATATTCATGGCCATAGAAGGCAAAGTAGATAAAATTCCCTATCTTACAGTATTTAAGGAACTGGCTATACATGGTGAAAGAAACCTGTCCTCTGCTCATTTTTGGCAGCACTACACAATAAAATTTTTTTTATGTTAGCCAAATGTATAAACAGTGAAATTATTAGTATGACATGCAAAACACAAAAGTCAGCAATGAGAATTCTTTCATACTTTGGGAAACCAATATATATTGCACTTTATACATCTCAATTGAGATGTTTCAAGAGTTGTTTTTTGTGGTACTGAAATTGAACCCAGAACTACTTTATTACTGAGCTATATCCTTTTGTTTCAAAACAAACTATCCAGGCCAACCTTGGACTTGGGAGTACTACTATCAGCCTGCCAAATAACTGGGATTAAAGATGTGTACCACTGGACCTGATGCATTTCAAGTTCTTAACACCATATGTAACCAGTACTAACATTAGTGCAGGTTGAGGGTGGCTTACAGGTGGTGGTAAATTCCACAATTACGTCACCAAAAAACATTATTGGAGCTCTGGAGAAAAGGAGCTGTTTTTACTAAAGTTTAGAAATAGGTCCATAGTGGGAGCCATTTATGGTTTTGTATTTCCTTAAACCTTAACACTTGTCTCCAGGCTGTTGTTGTTTTCAGTTCCAAAGCCTTGTGCTCCTTGATGTTGGGTTTTGTATTTGAGTACAACAAGGATGTAAATTGATGCACAGGAGACATTTCAAAGAAGTGGCTAGGTGAGTCAAACCAGAGGGCTATGCTAATATTTGAGACAATCCCTGTCTCACCAAGGCCTGAGGATGCAGGCCAGGGGTAACATGCCACAGGGTTCTTTTCCAAGTACCATCACCTGCCACAGTCTGGCTGGGCAAAAATAACCGGGAGGTCGAGCCACTTGTAGATTCAAGCAGGAACAAATTTGAACTCGCGTGAATGCCACCCACAAAACCCTCCAGGGACTCCGCACCCGAGCTCAACCGGAACTCAACCAAAGAGTTCAAAAATAGCAGGCATCTGAGGCAGCAGGAACCGCCCCTTCTGGCAAAATGCCAGGCACCATCTTGACCTGGCCATGGCTCTCAACATCTCCCCCCTTTTGATTAAACACCAAGTATGTGGCTTAGGGACCGTTCCTGTCTTAGGTTGTCCAATACTACATATGGTCCTTACCCGTCATCGGATGAGCTGACCTCAAGGCGTCAGCCTCCTGCCTTAGGTTGGTACCATTGCAATTGGGTCTTACCCGTCATTGACTACCGGCCCAGCATTTAGCCACACTTCTGGATAGTGGGGTTTACACCATAAACAACCTGCTACAAGCAGAAAAGGGAGGATACAAAACGCCATGACACCAAGCCAATTGACGGCCCCTTTTGGAAATTGTACCACTGATGACATCATCAGCAAAGATACCCCGGCACTACCACAATTCACTGCACCAACAGATAGTTCACAATGCATACAAGTGATACACAGTCCAGGCAAGTTCTGCAAGCAATTCAAAGCAGAGGAATCCATTAATATGTCCATTTCCTCCCAAAGTAAATCGACTCCTTGATTGAGTATCACTTGTTGAATTACATTATTCATTGATGCATCAGTTTATACAGTTTGTTGTGATAGCTATCGCAGAAGCTGTAGTTTGGTTTTATCTTTCTCTTCACCGGCACTGGGATGAAGATAGGAATTCTGGCAGTGATGGCTAAAAAAAATTATGTAACATTCCAGCAGACACTAAAAAAAAGCAATTTTCTAAACAATTTAGTATCCTGAATAGAATTAGATATAATGAAAAGGAAAGGTGAAAGTAAACAAACAGATCTGTTAACCTCCTTTTTGTTCACATTTTAAAACAATCCTCAACAGCTGTTTTCCCAATTTAAATTAAACCATTTAAATCATGTGAATAATTTTAAAAAATATTTGGATCCATTTTTTCATGAATGCTCCTCATATATGATATATGGACATACGCACATACAGACATACAACACAAAACACAAGTGTGCACACATAACACAATACACACAACACATAATAGTAAAGGCCTTGTAGCTTTTTACAGGTGAAATGCCCATTGCAATGCTCAAAAACTCCACAGTCAAAAAATAAACTGATCAGAAAAACATTAACCTAGGTCTGTATGAGCTCAAAAAACAAAACTTCATGATGTGGGAAAGGGCAATAATAAAATAGATATTGAAAAAAAGCATCCTGGTTACCACCTGGGTTTGACTCTTCTTTTGATATCCCATCCTTTTTCCTGTAACTTGCATATGGGTCTGAAGGTATTCCCACAAGCAAGCCCCGGGGTTTCTTACATTTGAAATAAGCCTTAATGGTGTTCATTATTCTTTAGCCTCCTAGTGTGGGAGAACCACTGTCGCAGATGTAAGAATGGCCAAACTGGAGTTCTGCATATCAGCTGTTATGGATTTGAGCCAAATCATCTTCATTTTGGTCTGTAGAAATTGCTTTAGTTAGTCTCTCTGGAATCCAAATCAGCTACTGTTCTCCCTGTGGAAACACACAAACAGACCCCTGACTCCAGATAATCACTGGGTCAGGGCCTTTCCATTGTCCTGTTAGAATATCCTTCCAAAGTACCTTGGGCTTATGTACATTTTTTGGACACATGTGCTTTCTACAGCACTAAGCCCTGATGAATCCAAATTTAAAAAGTTTAGAGTAAAAAGGGTTATTTTAAGTTTATCTTTGGGGGATATATACCCCTTCCCAATTCCCTCTTTTTGCTTTAATAAGTACATTTTAATAGTTCAATGAGCTCTTTCAACTATGCCTTGTCCCTGTGGATTGTATGGGATTCCTGTTATATGAGTAATGCCAAATGATGAGCAAAATTGCTTAAAAGAGGTAGAAGTATAGCCAGGGCCATTATCTGTTTTTAACTGTTTTGGAAGGCCCACAGTGGCAAAATTTTGTAAGCAATGAACCATAATATCTCTAGTTTTTTCTCCAGCATGAAGGGAGCCCATCAAAAATCCGGAAGAAGTATCAACTGTAACATGCAAATATTTTAACTTTCCAAATTCTGGCAAGTGTATGACGTCCATCTGCCAAATATGGTTAGGTATCAGTCCTCTAGATTTGACTCCAAGATTAACTCTTTCTCCTGATCTAATATGTCTTCTACCATAATCTGAACTGAAAGCTTTGGACTAGGCAAACAAAATTGTATCATCATCCATAATGGCAATGTGCCAACTGGCAAAGTTCCTGGGTTTTTCTTTTCCCTCTTCCTTAAGTCTTCATCATGATGGTCCCATTGTGATATATTCAACAACTCCTCCTTAAAAAGCCATGGGCTACATTTTTGTATTGTATCAACGTATGCCCTAACTGTTCTTGGTTTTACTGGAGCGCCTCCTTCCTTTAGCAATTTACTTAACACTCTTTCTGTTTGTTTTTTGCTAATTTCTGACCCCATATTTCTGCTACAAAGATAACGCAACCCAACAAGATAACACAAAACAAAACCGAAACAGAATGAAACAAAAACGGAACAAAAATGCATTGTATCAATTTTCGTATTTTCTTGAAATGTATATCCATGGTCTATCTCTATCTCTTCCTCAGGGCCGAACAACTTTTCTACCATCCTTTTTATTTCTAGGGGCAGGCAGCTTGAAACAGAAACATTACAAATCAAAACAAGAACACACTGTTTTATGAAATGGTCACCCATTCTCTCACCCTGCCCTCAGGGGAGAGCAGTTTCACTTACCCCCAAGCTTCAGGCGTTCCCCGAGCGGGCCACCAAATGCCGCAGTCTGGCTGGGCACAAATAATCAGGAGGTCAAGCCACTTGTAGATTCAAGCAGGAAAGAACTTTATTTTCAAACTCACGCCACCCACGCGACCCTCCAGGAACTCCAGCGATCTCAACCAGCCCACCAGAACTCTCTAGGAACTCCATGAGAGCTCAAAAATAGCGGGCACTTGAGACAGCAGGAACCGCCCCTTCTGGCAAAATGCCAAGCACCATCTTGACCTGGCCATGGCTCTCAACAATCACCAAAACAAAACATTTGCTCCCAAGACTTCCATATCCGTTCTGTATTTCAAATGATTCATTATTCAACCAGTATAAATCCTGGCAAATATACATACCAGCTTGTCACTTCCTGTACCTCACTATTAATGAGATATATTGATTTTATCTTTTACATATTCCCTACCTAGAAATAGAACACGTATTATAGTGGCTCATGAGGCTGAGGCAGGAGGATTGTGAGTTCAAAGCCAGCCCCAGCAACTTAGCAAAGCTCTAAGCAATTTAACAAGATGAAATAAAATATTTTAAAATGGCCTGGGGGTGTGGTTCCGGTTAAGTGACCCTAGGTGTGATCCCTAGTAGCCAAAAAAAAAAAAAAAAAAAAAGATCTAGCTAATTCCACTATTGTCACATTTTTCTTGTGCTAGTTATTGCACCCAATACTTTGTGTGCTCTTAGGTTTCCCATGGTCTCACTACCTACGCGTTTTGTTGTTCATTTGTTTTATTTTTGTAGTTGGACACAATACCTTTGTTTTATTTATATGTAGTGCTGAGGATCAAATCTAGGGCCTCACAGGTGCTAGGAAGCACTCTACTGCTGAGTCACAACCCCAGCCCCTCCTATGTGTTTTTAACCCAACACATTTCAGTTCAGATCTCATTTCCTCACTTCAGTGATTCACACTTTACTGAGTTTTTGTTTTGTTTTTGTACCAGGGATTGACCCAGGAATGATTAACCACACCAAGCGACATCCCTAGCCATTTTATATTTTTTACTTTGAGACAGGTTCTTGCTAAATTGCTTTGAGTCTCACTAAATTGCTGAGACTGATTTTTGAACTTGCGATCACGGGAGCCCCTGGGATTACAGGCAAGCTCTACCATGCCTGGCATTGTTGATCACATTGTGAAGAATACCAGTTGAGCTCCGTTTAAGAACACACACATCTGTAACTAAGGTGGTTTTTGAATTGTAGATTCATCTTTACTGCAGGCTTCCTAAGAGTAGGGATTTATTTTGCTCACTCTTGCATCCTCAAGTCCTAAAGGAGGTTTGGTAAATATGTGTTGTACGTGTGATTAAACGAGAGAAACCACAGAAGACCTCATTAAAGAAAAAAAAATCTAAAATAGTCTAATAATCTACCTAATTTTACATAAAGAAGGAAACAATCCCAATAAACTAGCTTGTCTAAAGCTGGAGTTCTTTCTTCTCTTGTTGCCGTTTAGCAGGCACACCAAAAAGCGTAATAAGTCTTGCGTCGTGCTCTGATTTCTGAGCCTTAAGTGCCTAACAGGGCCAATCCCTATTGTTTTAACGCATTCTGATCCAGTCAGGCTTTCTCCACGTTTCAGAAAAGATCAATCCCAGTATGCAATGCAAACAATGAGTTAACAGTCGCTTAGGAACCATACGTCCCGGCATGCCACGCTCTCTGGCGAAATCGGAAGTGGGCTTGAGCGGCGCCGCTGCATTCTGGGAACTGTAGTCTCTCGGGGCCGGCCCCGCCCCAGGTGCAGTTTGGGCGGCCGGCGTGTGGAGAACACCCTACTCGCTGTCCCCGGGCGGCCCGAGCCTGGAGAGCGGAGCCGCCCTACAACCTTCGTCCCCTGCCTCGGTGGCCCGCTCCGCCTCTTCTCTAATCTTTCCCACAACCCAAGATGGCGGCGGAGGTGGATTTTGGCGACCTAGAGCTGTTCGAGGCTTTCGATCCCCCGGAGGAGTCGATTCCCAAGCCCGTTCACACCCGTTTCAAGGACGACGACGCCGACCCGGAGGACGAGGACGGGGTTGGTGACGCGGAGCTGCGGGAGAGGCTTCGGCAGTGCGAGGAGACCATCGAGCAGCTCCGCGCCGAGAATATCCTTCCGGTTGGCCGGGCCCTGTCATCGCGGGCGCGGGTCCGTGCCGGGCGCGGACGCGGCGGAGATTCCACAGGGGCCGGGATTCCAAGCCTTTTGCCGCCCCCGCGTGCGGGCTTTGCGCAAGCTGCCCCGAGGCCTCCGCGCAAACCTCGGTGTTGGAAACCCGTCTCCTTAGGAGTCCATCCTTGCAGCCCTGACTGGGTTCCGTTTTTAGGGTGATTTTAGACTGCTTAGCTGTTAGATTGCAGGCAGGTCCTCACGTTTATCCCTCTGTTTGACTTCATGATCCAATTTCATTCAGTGCAGACAAGCTCAAGTTGAGACAGTCTTACTATATAGTATGTTAGGCGATACCGAATACTGAGCGCTTGGATGGCGGCGCAAAAGCAGATGGTCCTAGGATGCAGAGTTGGGGGTCTTGAGGAATCCGGTCTTGCAAAGAGATATAGTTAATTGCTTGTTTAATTAGGATTGAGAATTACTTTTAGAGCTCTTCCACCTTAAGCTAGGTTGCATTTCATTGCTTTGGGGGAAACGTGCCAAATGAGTTTCCGTTTGGCTTTAGTTACCTGATTACATTCTGGATTTGCTAATGTGTTTTCATTATTAGAGTTTGGAAAACTATATATAGATAATTTTGGTTCAGTTTTCCTTTTGAAATTTGCAAGGATCCTTAAGTGTAGAAGGTATGTCAAGCTTTTAAGGTTTTTGAAGTCTGATTTTTTTTTTCATGTACTTTTTATTTTTTTAATGGTGCTGAGGATTGAACCTAGAGCCTTGTGCATGCGAGGCAAGTACTCTTACCAACTGAGCTATATCCATAGTCCCCTAATTTTTTTTCTTATGAAAAATTTCTCACGATACGGACAGTTGGAGGACATTTATAATTACATCCTAGATTCTTCAGTTGTTAACTGTTTAATTACTCTGCGTTTGCTTTCCTCCTATAATGAAGCCTTGACTTAGAATAAGTTTCCTAATTGGCTGTTTAAACTTGTGCCATGGACACCGTTATTTGAATAATGGTTTAGTCTGCTAGACTTTTTAACTTCAGGATTGTGTTTTAGAATATACGTCCGGGCCTGGTGGCACACGCCTGTAATCGTGGCTGAGGCAGGAGGATCGAGACTTCAAAACCAGCGTCAGCAATTTAGTGAGGCCTTAAGCAACTCAGTGAGACCCTGTCTCTAAATAATTAAATACAAAACAGGGCTGGTGATGTGACTCAGTGGTGGAGCACCCCTGAGTTCAGTGCCCAGTACCCCCCCACAAAAAAATATATGTATATTCAAAGGGATGTAAATGTTTTTGGCTTTAAAGCCAAATGCCTTGCCTGCAAACAAACAGGTGCTTAGTAAGTATGTCATCAGCTTTCTGATACCAAAAGTGAGAGTGTTGATAGTTAAGTTGAATTTTGTGATCTACATGATTCTGTTTAATGAGGATTAATATTCCTTAACAAGTAATAACATCAAGAACTTAAAAGAAAGTTGAACATTCTAACTCGACCAAGGTATGACATCTTGAAATTACAACATAGTTGTCCCTTATTATTTATCTGGATATTAATATATAATCAGAATTTCTTTCAAAAGGGGTATACGATTTATTTTATCATTGTCATTTGTTAAACATACTCTAAAGGAATTAGAATACTAGTTCTTTATTAACTTCTGGGTGTAAAATCTAAATTCTCATAAGTGCATAAAACTTTTAAACTGCCTAAGAGAAAGTATTATGAACCACAATCCAGACATTTTTGACTAAATGTTAATAGTTAGTAGTTAGTTAGCAAATTATCAACACAGCTATTCCTATTAAAAAAACATTCTGGGAAGTTTGAATTAAGTATTATAATATTCCTCTAGCCAAAGATTTATTTGTATAATTTAAATATGTTCATAGAAATTATTCAAGACACAACATTTTAGAAGAAGAAAAAGGTTTTTTTGGTTTTGTGTAAAAGCAGCACTCGGGATAGAACCTAGGGATGCTGTACCACTGAGCTACATCCCCAGCCCTTTCTTTTTTTTTTTTTTTTTGAGACTAGGCCTTGCTAAGTTGCTGAGGCTGCCTTTGAACTTATGATCTTCATGCCTCAGCCTCTCAAGTCATTGGGATTACAGGTGTGTACCACCACACCAGCTAGAAATATATTCTTTTTTTTTTTTTTCTTTTTTTGTGGTGCTAGGGATTGAACCCAGGGCCTTGGGCATGTGGGCATGCACTCGACCAACTGAGCTGTATCTCCAGCCCTAGAAATATATTCTTTTAAGGGCTGGGGATGTGGCTCAAGCGGTAGCGCGCTCTCCTGGCATGCGTGAGGCCCGGGTTCGATCCTCAGCACCACATACAAACAAAGATGTTGTGTCCGCCGAAAACTAAAAAATAAATATTAAAAATTCTCTCTCTCTCTCTCTCTCTCCCCCCCTCCCTCTCTCACTCTATCTTTAAAAAAATATATATATATATGTATATATATATTCTTTTAACCTGTTGATTTATCCTTTCCTTCCTCCCGTGATTTTTAAAGAAAATAGCCCTTAAGGAAGGAAGCTTTTTGGTTAAAAATTAAAAGATTATACTGGGGATGATGTCCTGGGTTTGATCCCTAGCACAAAAGAAAAGACAGGAAAGATTAACTGTGGTTCTTATTTTTTGCAGAAACATTTTTTTTTAAATGTTGAGTAAGAGGGCTGGGGATGTGGCTCAAGCGGTAGCGCGCTCGCCTGGCATGCGTGCGGCCCAGGTTCGATCCTCAGCACCACATACAAACAAAGATGTTGTGTCTGCCGATAACTAAAAAAAATAAAAATATTAAAAAAAAATGTTGAGTAAGAGATACCTCTGTGTAAAATCAATCATTGAAGTAGATATAGTTGGTGAAAACCTAGATTTTTCTTGAGAAAACTGAAATTCTTGGTGGTTCTTCATCTTATTTATACTATATTATTAATATTATATATTATCTTTAGTAATTAAGAATTATTAAAACTGTTTTATATATATGTATATATACACATATTACTTTGATATCTTCTAAGAATATATTTTAACTTCTGTTTTAGTGGAATATTGGTGAACAATACTAAGTTAGATGGACCTTTATTACAAATTCTATTTATGAACAATGCTATTTCAAAGTAAGTAATTTTCTCTTCCCTAAATATGCATTAATGTCTTCTATAAGTATGCTGTTTTTGTATTTATATTAAATTTGTTATTTTACTTAAGATCCTCCTAGAGTTAAAATATTTGAAATAAAGATTAAAAGCAAGGCCATGGGAGTTTTATAGACTTGAATTTAATCTGGACTTCTACTTTCTATATCTGTGAACCTAGGCAGGTCATGGAACCTTTCTATGTCCTTAGTTTCTTATATGGGAAAACAATATACTAATATTGTTTCCTCTTAAGTAGCTGAACGAGCACCTGTAAGAGCTTACTTCTAATAAGAATAAGGACCACCAGTATCAGAATAATAATAATAATAGCCATTTCTGTCCCAGAATCAGATAACTGAATTTTCTATCAGGTAACTGATCTTTAAAACCTCCCACGTTATATTTTTCTTTCACAGCAAAACTAGACCTGTGCAAGCCTTCCAGCATGCTGGAGTTTGGGTAACTCAGAGCATTCCTACAGTGCTTGCTAGAGTGTCTTGAAGTGGTTTGAGGCCTTGCCCTGTCCCATCCTCAGAGCTTGGTCGTAGGCATTTCAGACAGTTGTTTTCCCCCTCCCAAGTCACTTAATTCTTTTTTTATGTGCTGGTCATGGTAAAGAAGATAAAGGGAACACATGCCACGCTTCATCTCAGTAGAAGTGGAAGCCAAGACTCTAAGGGTGGGGAAGGAATCTGTATGGTAAATGCAGTAGCCTCAGGAAGGTGCTGGGCAGAGCTGGCCTTTGGCACATTTGGCCTGAGCCTGAGACAGTATGGCTGCCCAGTTAAAGCATAACAAGATATCAGTTCCTTTGACGTCTCCTATATGGAGCATTATAGAATATTTGATGAATATAGTCAGTTACCTGGAGTGATAGAGAAAATAGTATATTTTTCCTGCAATATATTTTGGTTTTTAATTATTTTTTTCTAGTTTCATATTTAAATGGGTGGTTCCTTATATGTGCATGAAGAATTTCTGGGAGGAGGATATGGAAAAACTGAATATATTATCTTTGTGTTGCAGAAATAGGTGATTAGGAAACAACAAGGGAGCTTTTTATTATGTAATCCTTTTATTTCTTTGAATTTTGAGGCATTTATTTTGGGGGTCTATTCAGAAGTTAAGCATATAGAATTTATAAATAAAATCCATTCTATACACAACTGTTCAGTGCTCTCCTATGCCAAGTACTATATTAGGTTATCTGGTTAACTTGGCAACAATGTATATTTTTCCTAGGGAGCAGGTTCCTAAGTGTTACAAAGAGTTGGTGATTTGATAAACCTCTGAAAATAAAACAAGATTAAGACATGACACCTTATAATAAATAATGCAGAAGATTTCAGTCTATTAAATGTTTTTCTCTGGGTTCTGACCATCTTGTCCTCTTACACAGGCAATATCATCAAGAAATAGAGGAATTTGTTTCAAATTTAGTAAAAAGATTTGAGGAACAGCAGAAAAATGATGTGGAAAAGACTTCTTTTAATCTTTTGCCCCAGGTATTTCAAATTTAAGAGTTTTTTAAGATGAGTAGGTTGTTTTTCACTGACAATTATTAGGCCATGGGGATCCTCTTGAATCCAAACCACAGTGACTGTTAAGATTGCCTGTTCACCTTCTCTTGTTCCACCAGCTTCCTTCTCCAGAGTCTGATCAAGGCAGCCACCTGGTTTTCCTCTGGATGTGGCCTCTTTGCTCAGGATCAAATTCAGATTTGACTACATCTAAAGGGTTGTTTTTTTTTCCCCCTTGTTTCCTAACTTGGATACGTGGTCATGAGCAGCAAGTTAATTTCAGCAGCTCTGCATGGTGGCACATACCTTAACTCAGTGACTGGGAGCCTGAAGCAGGAGGATCACAAGTTCAAGGCCCAGCCTCAATATCTTAGTGAGATCCTCAACAACTTAACGAGCCCTGTCTCAAAATAAAAAGGAATGGGGATGTAACTCAGAGGTAAAAGTACCCCTAGGTTTCATCTCCAGTACCAAAAGATAAATAAATAATAGAAATGATTAAATATAATAAAGAACAAGGACTGAGGAGACTGGAGATGTAGCTGAGTGGTAGAGCATTTGGCTAGCATGGTGAAGGCCCAGGGTCGTTTGATACCCAATACTACAAGAAGAAGAACTATTGAAAATGTAGCTGAGTGGTAGAGTGTCCCTGGGTTTGATTCCCAGACTAGGGGGGGAAAAATCAGAATTATGATTTCTAGGCCTTTTTGGGGAGGTGAGTAACTGGGGATTGAACTCAGGGGCACACAGCCACTGAGCCACATTCTCAGCCCTTTTTTTGTATTTTATTTAGAGACAGGGTTTACACTGAGTTGTTTAGCGCCTCACTTTTTGCTAAGACTGGCTTTGAACTTGCGATCCTCCTATCTCAGCCTTCAAGCTGCTGGGATTACAGGCGCACCCGGCCTCTGGGCTTTTTATAAATTAAAATTTAAGATATATAGAATCACTCAAATAAGGATATATAGCTGTTTATCATCAGGGGTTGGAGAATGAATTGTTCTGATTAAATTTTTTTATCCTCTGTTTTTATATATCATATAGAATGTTTATTTGATTAATGGATTGATTGTAGTATTGGGGATTAAACCTAGGACACTCTACCACTCAGATATATCCCCAGCCCTTTTAATTTTGTTATTTTGAGATAGGATCTGGCTAAATTGCACAGGCTGGCCTTGAATTTGTGATCCTCTTGCCTCAGTCTCCCCAGTAACTTGGATTATAGTTTCCTCACTATCCTGGCTCATACAGGTTTCTGTGTTTTTGTTTTTGTGATACTAGGGATTGAACCCAGGCATGTTTTACCACTGAGCTACATCCCCAGCACTTTTTATTTTTAAAAAAATAAAAATAACTTAGGGTCTTACTAAATTACTCAGGCTGGCCTTGAACTTGAGATCCTACTGCCTCATTCTCCCAAATTGTTAGAATTATGGACTTGAACCGCCATGCCCAGTTTCATGTACAGTTGTTTTGTTTATTTAGAACCCAAAGCTGCTTTGTCACTGAGATACATCCCCAGTTCCTTTTTTTTTTTTTTTTTTTTTTTTGTGGCGGTGGTGCTAGGGATTGAACCCAGGGCCTAATGCATGCTAAGCAAGCACTCTACCAACTGAGCTATATCCCCAGCGCCCCCCCCCCCAACCTCCAATTCTTTTATATTGAGACAGGGTCTTTCTAAACTGCTAAGGCTGGCCTTCAACTTGCCATCCTCCTGCCTCAGCTTCCTGAGGCGCTGGGATTACAGGTGTGTGCCACTAAGCCTGGCTTCATATATAGTTTTTATAAAGGTAACATTTACCAATTAAACTATGTTTTTTTTTTTTTTTCCCTTGTGCTGGGGATCAAACCCAGGGCCTTATGCCTCCTAGGCAAGTGCTAATTCAAAGAATACTTAAGAATTATATAATTGCTTAAGTCTGAGGGATATATTATCAGTATTGACAAGTAATGTAAAACTATATACTACGTATGGCTTGATTTATTGTTTTTCAAGATAAAGTCTGCCTTGCCACCTTACAGATACAAAATTTCATAAGTTACATTGATTAACACAAATGTTTCAGAAGAAGCTCTTTTTCTCCCCTTTGCCTTCTGAAATTTCTTTGATAAACCTTCCTCACTTACCTTCTAAACTCTATTACCATGAAGAATTTAAGATTTTATGAAACTTATTGACTTGTATTTGACATTTAAAGTTGTTAAAAAATTGGTTACTGCTTTGTAATATATGTTTCTGCTTGTCCTAGCCATCCAGTGTTGTGTTAGAAGAGGACCATAAAGCTGAAGAATCCTGTGCCATTAAAAACAACAAGGAAGCATTTAGTGTAAGTTTCAGTTTTTTAGTTCTGCAAGATATATGTTTCCTGTCCTGTGTTAACTAGGTGTCATTGAAATAATAAATAGGTAGAATCATGTCTTCATATGATCACAGCATTATTTTGTTACAAACAACAGGGTAGAATTCAACCTCTAAATACTATTATTTGTTTTTTTTAATAACTATTGTGTTATGACCTGTAGGCACAATAGACAGACTTTAGAGGACTTTGTTTTTGTTCTAACCAACCTCCCCATATATTTTCAAGGACTAAGATGTAGGAAACATGATTGTTGAATTTATAGAAAAATGAAACAGAGGGAGCTGAATAGCTAATATAACAAATGGCAGATTTGAAATTCAAAATATTGACAGACTCAACTGTTGGGTGAAGATAGAAGCTTATTAGGGGTGACCTACATAAAGGCCTTTCAATATCTATGTAAAATTCTGTAGTGCTGACACAATATAGTGGTCTGACTTTGCAACTTGTAATGTTTTTAAAAGTTGATATAAATGTAGTTCTGGATTCTATTAAAATAAGGCTAGTTTTTTGTGTTTATGGAATATTATCCTCCTTTGATGTACCACAATATTAAAGATAGGGGTCAGCTATGAGGATGAAGAGCCCAAGCTTTACTGAAAAGATTTATAAGGAATGTCACATTTCTGCAAACAGAATGAAGGTTGTTATCAATCACCCTTTATAGTTCCAAGTGAAAGAATTAGAATCAGTGATTAAATTGAGTAGAGGCGCTTCAGTTCAACTCATCTTTTAGAAAGTCACACTAGGGATGTAGCTCACTGGTCACTACATAAGGCCCTGGGTCCAATCTCTCGTGCTTTAAAAAAAAAAAGTGAATTCGGGCTGGGGATGTGGCTCAAGCCGTAGCGCGCTCGCCTGGCATGCAGAAGCGTGAGTTCAGGCCAACCTGGACAATTTAGGAATACCCTGTCTCAAAATAGAAAATAGTGAAAGGGTCAGGATGTAGCTCAATAGTAGAGCAACCCTGGGTTCAATTCCCAGTAGCAGGAAAGGTTTTAAAAAAAAAAAAAAGAATTCAATAGACAGGCCAGTGCTGGAGCTTAGTGATAGAATATTTCATAGGTATCAGGCCCTGAGTTTAACCCCCAGCACTGAATTATTTATTTATTTATTTAGGTGCTGGGGATTGAATCCAGGGCCTTGTGTGTGTGAAGTAAGCACTGTGCCAACTGAGCTATATCCCCAGGCCAGCCCTGAATTTTTTAGTTTTGGTTAGACACAATACCTTTATTTTTATTTATTTTTATGTGGTGCTGAGGATCAAACCCAAGGCTTAATATTTATTTTTTAGGGACTTAAAAAAGTAGTTGGACTCAATATCTTTATTTATTTATTTTATTTATTTTTTTTATATTTATTTATTTTTTATATTTATTTTTTAGTTGTAGTTGCAAACAATACCTTTATTTCACTTATTATTTTTTTTAATGTGGTGCTGAGGATCGAACCCAGGGTCTAGCACATGCGAGGCGAGCACTCTACTGCTGAGCCACAACCCCAGCCCCTCTTTATTTATTTTTGTGTGGTGCTGAGGATTGAACCCAGGACCTCGCACATGCTAGGCGAGCGCTCTACTGTTGAGCCACAGCCTCAACCCCAAGCACTGTATTTTTAAAAAATTGAATTCCCATGTTACTGGAGACAAAGAGTAGGATGTTATCGGAAAACTCTAAAGAAGGATTTCTGAACTGAAGTAGGTAACTTTTCATTTCCCTTCCAACTTTAAGGTTCTGAGATTTAAAGTAACATCCTAGAAATTGGGAGTTTTGCGTATTTATTAATTTAGTCCTTTAAAAAATAGCAAGAAATGTTTACTGAATGCTGCTTTGTGCTAGGAATCATTCTAGGTTCCCGGGAACACAGCAGTGACAAAAAGGGTAAAGTCCTGGCTCTCACTGATTTAAATTCTAGTGAAAGAAAGGAAGGCTTTCCAGAAAAATAAAACATGGCAAAGAGTGCGAGACTATGGGGTAGGTGGCTTGTATGAGTAGTTGGTGACAGCCTCTCTGAGTCAAGACCTGGATGAGCTGAAGGAGCAGGGCTGAAGCTGCAGTTTGAGTAAGAGTACATCAGACAGTAGAAGGAAGGGGAAGCCCACAGGCAGAAGCCAACACTGTATTGCTTACTATGTCCCAGATGCTTCTACATACTTCCAGTATATAGAAGGTGGAGAAAGGAATCTAGCAAAGACCCAGGCTTGGTCAACAAGGTAGGTGTCCTGGAAACCAAGGAAGGAAAATGTTTCTGAGAGGAAGGAGGTATCAGTTCTGCCAACTCTTGCTAATAGGTTGAGGTGAAGACTGACAACTGTGGGTTGAATTTGACTGCATGGAGGTCCTTACAAAGCTCATTTGTCAAGAGGCATAGTGCAGTGATAGCAACAGAACATTACTGAAAATGTTTCAAGAGAGAGTGGCAGTGTTATTACAAAATATATATATATATATATATATATATATATATATATACACACACACACACATACTAGATAAAAGAAAAAAATATACAACATCAACTTTTGGGGACAGTTGGGGAGAACTATAAGTATTACATATAGATGACACTAGGGAGTTAGTTTTCTGAGGTATGACAAGTATTAGGCTTTGTAGGAAAATGTTCTTACTCTTAGAAGGCTCGTACTGAATGAAGTGTCATGATGTGTGCTGCTGACTTTCAGATGGCTGAGCTAAAATGTGTGTGTGTGTGTAAAGAGAGACATGTACAGAAAAATGTCAAATTATTAACAATTATTGAATTTCAGTGAAGGGTACATGAGTATTCATGGTACTGTTTTTTCAACTTGTCTGAATGAAATTTCTCCAAAATCTTGGAGGGGAAAGAAAAGATTGGGAACAAGAGAAATGAAACCAATAAATAGTAGGGCCTGGGGATCTTGGTGCAAAGAAATGGGGTACTGGAGGGACATATAAGAGTCAAGGTTTTTATTTTTTTATTTGAGAGAGTGTAGTTGATAGTAATGATTTAATACAGAGGAAAAACTCAGATGTAGCTTTTACTTACACATCAAAATCTGGCTCTCTTAACTAGAGAGTTGTTATTTCTAATAATTTTATCCAAAAATAAATTGTTAAAAACAGGTAATCATAGTCTTACATAATTTAATGTCTTTTTTTTTCCTGCTTAAATAGCAATATTTTTTGACTTGTCTTCTGCAGGTTGTAGGAAGTGTCCTGTATTTTACTAATTTTTGCCTTGATAAATTGGGGCAACCGCTACTAAATGAAAACCCTCAGCTTACCGAAGGATGGGAAATACCCAAGTATCCTACATAGTGAATGAAGATCTTTTATGCATCTTGCCACTAAGTTCACCTTTAAAAAAGTTTACCAAATTTTACAGACTATGATAACTATTCCTTAATAAAATTCACTAAAGGTACCAGCAAGTCTTCAGCCACATTGTTTCTCTAGAAGGGCAAGAAATACAAGTAAAGGCAAAAAGGTTTGTGTGGGGAGTTGTTTTGTTTTATTCTTTTTGTTTTTTAATACCAAAAGCATAAACTCTTTTAGCTTGAAAAGTTAATATTTTTTATTGCTGGTTTACTGTAAAGAAAATTCTAGATTCAGCTAGAATTCCGATATGTAGACATAGTAAATGTTAAAATTTGATCGTTTATTTCTTGGAATTCATTGGTTCGCACATAATGTGCCTGGGAGGGTGGAAAGAAGTAATTGTTGCTGTCAATGTGATCGCAGTCTTAGAACCACCTGCCTTCTTTCCATGGTGCCTAAAGGAAACACGATGATCGGTTTGACTCAATTCTTTTGTTATTAGCTACTGAAAAAAAATCGGAAGAGGTAGTAAATGAGTCAGGAACAGAAAGGTTCTTGGTTAAAAGACTGCACAGTGCTGTTTGTTTAAATCACTGAGTACAGGAGATCCAGTGTACTCGTTATTGCAGATTATAGTGATCTGTCATCCACTTGCTTTTTTGTCTCTGATAACACTTTACTGTCATCTAGAATTTTAATGATTTGCTTTTATGTTTTTATTTATGAAATTTTTGTTTTCTTGACCAAATAGGCCAAAGCCTCACTGTTTCAATTGTGGTTCTGAAGAACATCAAATGAAAGATTGCCCAATGGTAAATTTCTCTCATATAAAAAAATGTTGTTGAACCAGAGCTTGCTGATGTATTTTACACATTTATGGCATAGTGTGGTGTGAAGTGCTCTTTAACTTGAAATCTTTTCAAATCTGTATTTATAGTTTAAGACATTACATTTTTTAAACAATAATTTATTACAGTACTCTATTTGATATGAATAAATGAGATGTCATGACAGTTAATTTCTAGACAGTTTATTCTATAAACTTGATTTTGTGTTCTGATAACACTGAGGTAATAAGAAATTAAAGTGACTACTTCTTACTTACTTTTCAAAAATATTCATCCTCTTTTAGGCTTGATTTAAACATTGAAACTAAAACAATTTGCTTGCTTTACCTTAAAAAAACCTGATTATTTAATTTCTGAAATGTTTCTAAATTGCTTGATACCATTCTTTTCAAACATTATGATTTAGCCCCGAAATGCTGCTCGAATAAACGAAAAGAGAAAAGAGTATATGGATGCTTGTGGTGAGGCAAACAGTCAGAATTTTCAGCAACGATACCATGCAGAAGAAGTAGAAGAAAGATTTGGGAGATTCAAGCCAGGAGTTATTAGGTACTAATGTCATTTTATCTTAGATATCATTTTTTACTTCCTTAGTATTTAAAACATTCTCTGCCTCTTCAGGAAAATTTTCAGGATGGAAGTGCCCTGGCAAGGTCTACAGAATAATACATCAATTCATTCAAAAACAGTTATATAATGTTAACTATGTGCTTATTAGGCACCATGCTCCATGCTGTGTAATATAAGAATGTTTTAAAATATGAGAACCTTGTTTGTGTGCAAGCAAGAATTCAATATTTTTTCCTTTTTATTTTTACTTAGTGAGGAACTTCAAGATGCACTAGGTGTGACAGACAAGAGTCTTCCTCCTTTTATCTATCGGATGCGCCAGCTAGGGTACCCACCAGGGTGGCTCAAAGAAGCTGAATTGGAAAATTCAGGGCTTGCACTCTATGATGGAAAAGGTATAGTATGTTGAACCAGGATTGAACCCAGGCCTTGCACATGCTAAACAAGTGCTCTACCACTGAGCTACATCCCCAGCACTTTTTATTTTATATTTTATTGAACCCAGGAGCACTTAACCACTGAGCCATATCCTCAGTGCAGTTTTATATTTTATTTAGAGACAGGGTCTCTGTAAATTGCTTTAGGTCCTCACCAAATTGCTGAAGCTGGCCTTGAACTAGCAATCCTTCTGCCTCAGCCTCCTGAACCACTGGGATTACAGGCGTGTGCTACCATGTTTTTATTTTGAGACAGGATCTCATTAAGTGGTCCAGGCTGGCCTCCAACTTGTAATCCTTCTTCTTTAACTTCCCAAATAACTGGGATTATAGGTGTGTACCACCATGCCTGGTGCATTATATTTTTTAGATAATTCAGTACACATTAAATAGACCAGCCATTACTATCCCATTTTCTTGTGATTCTTTAATTAAAAAAAAAAACAGCCAGGTTCTGTGGCACATGCCTGAAATTTCAGCTACCCAGTATGCTGAGGCAGCAGGCCAGTCTAGGCAACTTTGCAAAACTTTGTCACAAAAATAAATTTATAAGGGCTGGAGGACTGGGCCTGTAGCTCATTGGTAGAGCACCCACCTCGCACATGTGAGGCACTAGGTTCAATCCTCAGCACCACATAAAAATAAATAAAGATATTGTGTCCAACTACAACTAAAAAAAAATTTTTTTTTAAATGGGGTGGGGGGCTGGAGATATATAGCTCAATGGTAAAGCACCCCTGAGCTCAATCCCCATTACTGGGGTAGGTGGAGTATTAAAAGGGCTGGAGAATGAAAATGAGATAAAATGAAAATAACAAAAAGTGAAGGGAAGCTTCTGTTTTTATAAATTATTTGGTAGCCTTGGGTATTTGGATAGTATAGGAAAGTAAAATTAATGCTTGATTTATTTAGTAGTTTTCAAAATTAAATAAAATGGCTTACAAATATTCTTCCAAGATGACTCTTATCTGTAAAGTGGTTTTAGTAATATATACCTATTAGGATTCTTGTAAAGATTAACTGAGTTGCCAGGCACAGTGGGGCACAACTGTAATCACAGTGACTTAGAAGGCTGAGTCAAGAGGATCACAGGTTCCAGGCCTCCCAGCTTGGGGAGACTCAGTTTCAACATAAAGAATAAAAAAGACTAGGGATGTTGCTCAGTAGTAAAGTGCTCCTGGATTCAATCCCCAATGCCCCCCCCCAAAAAAATAAATCAGTGAGTTAATTTTTATTTTAATATTTATTTTTTCGTTGTTGGACACAATGCCTTTATTTTATTTATTTATTTGTTTATTTATTTAGTTTTAGTTGTTGATGGATTTTTATTTATTGATATGTGGTGCTGAGAATCAAACCCAGTGCCTCACACATGCTAGGCAAGTGCCCTACCATTGAGCCACGACCCCAACCCTATTAATTTATTTTTATGTGGTGCTGAGGATCGAACCCAGGGCCTCACACATGCTAGGTAAGCGCTCTACCATTGAGCCACGACCCCAACCCTATTAATTTATTTTTATGTGGTGCTGAGGATTGAACCCAGGGCCTCACACATGCTAGGTAAGTGCTCTACCATTGAGCCACAACTCCAGCCCTATGAGTTAATATTTTTAAACCATTTAAAGCGCTATCTGGGGGCTGGGGATGTGGCTCAAGCGGTAGCGCACTCGTCTGGCATGCGTGCGGCCCGGGTTGGATCCTCAGCACCACATACAAACAAAGATATTGTGTCTGCCGAAAACTAAAAAATAAATATTAAAAAAAAAAAAAAAAAAAGCACTATCTGGAAATGAAATATCATCTGGCACATAATAGACACTATGTAAATCTTTATCAAATGAGAAACATTGGAATAGAGCATTAGTCAAATCATAAGGTCAATGCAAAATGGAATTTTAAGCAACTTGCAGAAAAAATTTTTGTAAGGTTTTTACGTAGGGCTGGGGATATAGCTCAGTTGATAGAGTGCTTGCCTTGCATGCACAAGACCCTGGGTTCGATCCCCAGCACCAAAAAAAAAAAATTTTATGTATTTCTTTTTATCAAAGTAATATATCCACACTGCTTAAAAATTCTATTTTAGTGGTTCAGAAAAATTCTAATTAAAGTTAATTCCCAGACTAATTCTTTGGCAGTGAAACACTTTCTAGGTATAGTTCTGGTATAGGGAGGGACATATTAGCACCTTGCAATGTTAACACTTTTCCTGGTCTATAATAGATGATGCTGATGGAGAATCAGAAGTTGGAGAAGTACAACAGAATAAAAGTGTTACTTATGATCTGTCAAAATTGGTAAACTATCCAGGTTTTAACATATCTACTCCCAGAGGAATTCCAGATGTAAGTATATTGTTTTTATTTTGGAATGTGACATAATTATGTAACAGATTGTTCACAGTATTAAATATTAGCTGGCCTGGTGGCACTCACCTATAATCCCAGCTGACTGAGCATCCGTGTCCAGCCTGGACAACATAGCAAGGCCCTTTCTCACAAAAAAAAAAAAAAAAAAGAGGCTGGGTGTGGTAGCACATGGCTGTGATCCTGGGAGCTCAGGAGGCTGAGACAGGAAGATCACAAGTTCAAGGCTAGCCTCAGCAACTTAGCAAGACCCTGAGCTAAGTTGCTTAGGCCCTATCTCAAAAATTAAAAATAGAAAGGGCTGGGAATATAGCTCAGTGGTAAAGCATCACGGGGTTCAATCCCTGGTACCAAAAAGAGAGAGAATATTATTTAAAATATAGCTTTTTTTTTAGTTTTCAGTGGACACAACATCTTTATTTTATTTTTATGTGGTGCTGAGGATCGAACCCAGCGCCCCTCGCATGCCAGGCGAGCGCATTACCGCTTGAGCCACATCCCCAGCCCTAAAATATAACGTATTATAAAAAGAAACTTTAGGGCTGGGGTTGTGGCTCAGCCGTAGAGCACTCGCTCGCCTAGCACATGAGAGGCCCTGGGTTCGATCCTCAGCACCACATAAAAATAAATAAATAAATATATTGTGTCCAACCAAAAAATAAATATCAAAAAAAAAACTTTATGTACTGTAGCAGTTATATTACATTAAAAAAAGTAAATTTGTAACTTATATGTTTAAATTATTTATTGTGTTTGTTTTTATATGGTGCTGAGGATCGAACACAGTACCTCACACATTAGACAAGTGCTCAACCACTGAACCACAACCCAGCCCCTTTGGGAAATAAATTTCTATCTGTAGTAAACCTAAATGTCTTATAACTCTTTTGCTTAAGACAAGGTTTCTCTAAGTTGCTCAGTCTGGCCTTAAATTACAGTCCTCCTACTTCAGCCTTCTGAGTAGCTGGAATTGTAGGCATGCATCACCATACCCAACCTGCTTGTCATTTTTTGTTATTGCTACTTTTTTCTTCCTTTTCTCTCTCTCTCATTTCATCTCTCTAGCTTGCACTCTGTTTTTTTGGTGTTACTGGGAATTGAACAAAGGGCCTCACACATGCTAGACACATGCTCTCTACAACTCAACTAGATCCCCAACCCCTTATTTTTTTTTTTTTTAATTTTGAGATGTTCTCGGTAGTCACCCAGGCTAGCCTTGAACTTGCAGTCCTCTTGCCTCAGCTTCTGGACTTGTTGGGATCACAGGTGTATACCACCACACCTTTTGTCTCTCCCTCTTTTTTTTTTCCCCCACATGGCAAAATTTCTCAATTCTGTATATGAATGTTTTTCCATACTTTTGTTCAACTTTCTTCTTAGGTTCCAAGATTCAACAATTAACTATTGCGTTGTTGTTTTAAATATAACTGTATTCCTAGTGTTCTTGGGAACTAGGCAGTTCGGAAGAAGCCAAAGATCTGAAATTAGAGTCTATGAATAGATACAAATGATGAACTTACACAGGACCGGTTTAAATTGTATGATGCAAACCATCTTTGCTCCTGGAAGTGGGTCCAAGGACCAGTCTGTCAGAATTCCTGGTCCTCAGTAGCAATGCACATCCATGAGTCTACCTTTAGACTTAACTGACTAAGACCGCCCAGTTTAAGTTTCACAAGAGCACAAAGGGATTCTGATGAAGAAAAGCTGGGGTGGTGGCTCAGTGGTGGAGTGCTTGCCTGACATGTGTGAGGCACTGGGTTCAGTCCTCAGCAGCACATTAAAATAAAGGCTTATGTCCATCTACAACTAAACATATTTTTAAAAAGAACAACAACAACTGCTGATTGTGTTATTGGAGATGAGAGAGAGAATGAACAGAGCTAAAGAACACTACTGTACTCTATTTGGAAAGGGAAAGAACAGAAGATTGAAAACTTGGTGTGTGTAGGAAGGCACAGTGAGTGGAGGGCGAGAAACGAGGGCTGGGAGGCTCAGAACAGGTTCTGTAGATGCTGCCTGCAGTAGATAGAACCTTTCAGGCCACTTGGTCTTTCAGTCTTGTCTTGGTCATTTTACAGGCAGATTTTATTCTTCCTTTTACTTGACACTTTTTTTCCCTTAATTTCCAGTGAAGGAAAAGATACAAAAAGCAGAAATGTAATTTGAAATTTTCACTTTCTTCCTTGAAGCAAAATTTCAAAAAATGGCATTTTCCAAATACATACTTTTTTTTTCTTCTGTTTTCATCATTAGGAATGGAGGATGTTTGGTTCCATACCAATGCAGGCATGTCAGCAGAAGGATGTGTTTGCCAGTTACCTTACTTCTAACTTCCAAGCGGTAAATAGATTTTAAAGGTGTGGTCTATAAACATTATGGCATATAGCTGTGAGATTTTGTAACTCATTAGTATCTTATTGCATTATCGTGTTTGTATCTAAATCCCTGTCATCTGAGGAATCAAAAGAAAAACAGTGGGATTCACCAGTTACCTAGACTTGGCTCCATACTGGTTTTCTACATGTCAGTTAAGTGCAGGTTTGTGTTTAGTACTCCATTCGTCCCATCTCACTTGTGTCCATGTGGTTACTCCTTTAGCCAAGCATGAGGTCTGGCAGTAAGCGGTCTTCCTCTCAGTCCAGCCCTGGTAGTCCAAAGAAGCAGAGAAAGGAAAGTAGTTCTGCAGATTCTCCTGCTGACATGGAGCTCGATTCAGGTAGGTCTCATCTCTGGTTTTGATTTCAGTAAGTAGGCATGATGAGTCCATGCTCCTGAGTCCATATAAAGGGTGATATTCCTTTATTAGAGATCAGAGCATCACCACTATCACTGAAGCTGAATTAGAAGCCACACTTAATGTGAGAACCAAGTGGGCCAGCTATCTGAATCCCTGAGTTTGACACTTAACACACCTAAAGGGCAACAGCTAGACCACCCCTCTGATCAGGGCTGCGCTCTGGGATAACCAGTGGACAGCATGTGTGCTTCTGGCAGCTCTGGCCTTTTCCTCTTGCACATGCTAGGCAAGTGCTCTACCGCTGAACCAGAACCCCATCCCATACCATGAAATTTTGACAATTTTGTAATTTCCCAAGCCTTTAAAGCAGTTGACCCAGACAAAAGTATATCCTCAGAACCCAGCATTTCTCAATGTTATCAAAGACCAGGATCCAGTGTTTCCTCAATGAGGGTAGAAATGGTTTCAGTCTCAGACCTGATTACAGACTGTAATTAATAGTAGCACAGAGGAAACACTGAGGAGCCATACTGAATGAAGTTGTAGGTCCTAACAAGAGTGATTTTGAGCTGCATCTCAAGGGGTGAATTTGCCAGGGAGATGATTAGGGGCAGGGCAGCATTTGGAGAGAAACGCACATGCAGAAGCACAGGTACCTGCACAGTGGCTGACAGTGCAACTCTGTGTTTAAGCTGGGCAGTAGGAGATGCAGGGTAGAGTCAGGCAACTCCGGGTCACAGAGGCCTTACTAGCACAGGAAAGGATCAGACTTCATCCCATAGGGATGGGAAGGCACTAAAGGGTTTCTCGTTGAAATGGGAAAGTCCATAGGTCCAGATGATGTTTTAGAAAGATCAGCTAGAGTTCAGAGGACAGATACAAGGAGGATGAATCCACAACAATGCCACTGTTCCTGGCCAGTGATAATGGGCCTGAAATAAGGTAGTGGTTATGGCAGCGAATAGGACCTCAAAGGCCCAGGTCCTGCGGGTAGAAGAGAAAAAAAGAGAGGATTCCAATGAAGAACAGCTTCCATCTGTGATACTCCAAGCAGATAACATTGGTGGTGCCATTAGTAAGAATTGTAAATAGGATAAAAGTCCAGATTTAGGAAAAGGCACTTGGTTATTAGACAGGTGGTAGCTGAGGGACACACAGGTGATACACATACCCACAGGTGAGCAAGGAGTCCAGATTAGAGGTTCATGGGAAATGCCTCAGGTGTCTTCCTGCCTTCATCCTCACTCCACCCCCAGCCTGGCTACACTGTGTAGCCCACCTGCACTTCAGTCAGATTTCCTACTGTGCTGTGCCAGGAACCAGTCTTCAGCCACAGCACCTTCTCTGGGAACTACTCTGTATCTCTTCTGTCTGAAACCATGTACATGGCATGGAGTGGCTCTCCTGGGGGTTTGGTTCAAGAAATCCTGACAGCTCTCGCTGTAGACAGTCTTCTCCAGTGCATTGAGGACATTAGGTCATGGTCATGATGTTCAGTTTTCCTCCTCAAGCCAGTTATTTTTGACTATTGGACCTCTAGATACCTCCAAGTTCAAATAATAAATTTTTGCAAAATCAAATGCTGTTACACCTTGTAAAATATCTCTCAACATTCTCATTTCAGATGTGGAGGTGCCACATGGTTCTCAGAGCAGTGAAGCATTTCAGTTTCAACCGCCATTGCCTCCTGGCACTCCTCCTCCACTGCCACGGGGAACTCCTCCACCCCTCTTTACTCCTCCACTCCCCAAGGGGACCCCGCCACTGACTCCCAGTGACTCACCCCAAACCCGGAGCACAGCTGTGGATGAGGACGCACTGACTCTGGAAGAACTTGAAGAACAACAGAGGCGGATATGGGCAGCTCTTGAGCAGGCTGAGAGCATCAATAGTGACTCTGATATTCCTGTGGACACACCTTTAACTGGAAACTCCGTTGCCTCTTCACCTTGCCCAAATGATCTTGACCTTCCTATCCCAGAAGGGAAAACAGCCGAAAAGCCAACACTGGAGGAGTCTGAGCAACCAGACACTTGTGCAAAGACAGCTGAAGTTGAACCTCCCTCAAGCCCAGCCTCTGAGACCACCCTGCTTTGTCAGAATGAAGAGGAGGAATCTGTAGAGGTGAGCTCCAGAGACGCTCTGCTTGACAGTGGTGATGTCGTAACAAACTGTAACATCAGGAATGGAGGCAGCCAGAAGCACCTTCAAGTGGACACCAGTTCTTCAACAGCCTCTAAAGTTCATAGCCCTATACCTGACATGAGCAAGTTTGCAACTGGAATAACGCCGTTTGAATTTGAGAATATGGCAGAATCTACTGGAATGTACCTCAGGATTAGAAACTTGTTAAAGAACTCTCCCCGAAACCAGCAGAAAAACAAAAAAACTTCCGAATAACTGTTTGTTGTGGCACCAAGAGCCATTTAATTATCTGTAACTGTGTTCTGTTGATGCGTACCAAGTGATGGGTAAAAATTGTTCTCCTATTCGTCCCTCCCTGTTTAAAAATCTATCCAAGGTTGAATTGTGGTCTCAAGTCAAGACTATCTTAAAGAATGGAAAGACTGGGCTCACTAATTTGCTGTATTTTATTCTCACCCACAAAACCTGCAGGGGGAGTGTACATAGGAGCTGGTTCAGAGATAATTTGTTAAGGTTTATACTATTTTTGGATTGTGAGTGTCTGTCAAGAGTGATGTTTTTTATCTGTCTTTTGTACATTGTTTTCCCTTTCTACATTTTGCTAATTATCCTGTATATAAGTTTAATATATCACTTTTAAAAAAAAAATTCTAACCATTTTAAATTCATATTTCAACTCTGACAACCAAATGAGAAAAATCAGGGATGAGCAGCTTTATCCCATTTGGGGTATTTTTGTAAGATTTACATGTATCAATTTTAACGACAATTTTGTTTTTTTGTACCTTCATTCTTCATATAAGCTTACTATACAGTTATGTTCCCTTTTGTGTACAGAGGTTTAATAAATTAGTTTTCATATACATAACCTAAGACTTTGAATATAAAAAAGTGATTCACAGTTAAATTATTAACCTTTTAAATCTGGAAGAAAATTATGTGGTTGCAAAAATTAGTGACAGCAAAGGAAATAAGAAATTGCAAGCTTGGGTGCTTTCAGAGAATGTCCACCTTAAATATAGAAAAGAGCAGAATCTCTTAAAGTAGCTATTTTACAAAAATGAAAAGAGGGCAGCTAACCTTTGTACAAAAATAATATTCTGGATTTGAACCCTAATATTAAGAATTAAACAGTAGATATAAATTAATTGCTTTTGCACATCAGATATAGAAGATAGAGCTGAAAGTATGATTTTTTTCTTTATGTGAAATGCTGTTACATGTTTATAGTTGGTCAAGTCCAGGAACTTATGTGGTCTTGAATTATTAGTCTCAGGTAGTGTTATCCTGCTCCCAGGCCAACAGAGGGAGCAATATAGAACCATTCTGGATTTTTCATTTTTGGGAACTTGAATTATTTACTGCTCTATAACAATAAAGAGAAGGAAAATTATATAAAAGGACAAATTAATTTTAAGGCCCTCATAGAACTTGCTAAAATAAAATGTTAAATACTTCTGACTTTTTTCTCTGAGTTTAAATACATAATAAAGTAACCCTTTAACAGTAGTCGATATAGAGCAGCCTCAACATTTCTGTCAGGCAAATACTACCATAGGGAGGCACAGAGAGGTTAAAGGGACTTGTGAGTTTTAAGATGTGGTTCTTAAAAGACCAACCTTCAACTAAAGATTTGACTGCACCCTAAATCATAGAAGTAGTTGTTTAAATGTCCCTTTAAATATCGCATTGGTAGAGTCCTCTGTGAATCCAGACATAGCTTAGCAATTATTATGCCAGGTGTTGTGTTAAGGTATTTTTGTGCATTGTCCCATGTTTACTATTAACTTCATTTTGTTTAGAGGGAAGCACTTAAGACACAGCTGGTAAGCAACCCCCATACCCAGACTCGACCACTGTACTGCCTCCCTGTCAAAAGCGCTATAAAAACATTGCTTTCTCAAAAAGTGTCTCCTATTTTATTTCTTCAGTTACTTGTTGAGGGCACACAGTGTGCTTTTCGGCAATAAAAGAAGTAACAGAAACTACCTTTCAGAAGATTACACACTTAGTGGGAGAAACACGTGGTTCCCTCAGTTCTTGGACAGCAAAAGTATTTATGAGAAGGGGCCAAGGTGTGGGGGCTGTTTGGGGATAATGGGAGAATCACCGAGAGAGGCCTGCTTGCTTTCAAGTTCCCAAGACCACTGATTCAAGCATTCATTTGGATTTGAAGACTTGCAGGAAGATAACCCTTTAGCCCCAGACAAAATGCACATTGGGATGTACAGGAAATGGTGTGAGTAAGAGAAGCAGCACACTCAAGAAATGTATCATGGTAGAGGGGCTGGGGTTGTGGCTCAGTGATAGAGCACATGTCCAGCACATGTGAGGCACAGGGTTTAATCTTTAGGCCCACATTAAAAAATAAATAAATAAATAAAAGTTACTTAAAAAAAATATATTGAGACTAATGTAGGATTTTAAAAAAAGTATCATAGTAGGAAAAAAGACTTTGAAAGTTCACTTACTTGACACTAAGAATTTTGGATTGCTTTTCTGTAAGATTTGAATTTTGTTAGGCAAAAAAATTATCAGCTAAAGGTCCTGTCCAAGTGATTTTTTTTTTAAGATGAATATAGTGGGGCTGGGGATATATCTCAGTTGGTAGGGTGCTTGCCTTGCATACACAAGGCCCTGGATTCAATCCCCAACACCACAAAAAAAAAAAAAAAAGAAGAAGAATACTATGGAGCTGGGTACTGTGATGCACACCTGTAATCCCAGCAGCTGTGGAGGCTGAGGCAGGAGGATCACAAGTTCAAAGTCAGCCTCAGCAATGGCAAGGCACTAAGAAACTCAGTGAGACCCTGTCTCTAAATAAAATATAAAATAGGGCTGGGAGTGTGGATCAATGGTCGAATGCCCCATAGTTCAATCCCCAGTACCAAAAAAAAGAATACTAGGGCAGAATTCAGAACAAAGCTAGACGGGAAGCACAGTATGGGACACAGTTACTTGGAAGAGGTGCCCCATTTTGTAAATGCATTTGTTTGCTGTGTTTGAGTATTGTGAAGAGGAGAGTGTTGGGTGGAGGAGGAGTCCCTGTTTGGGCTTGTCCCTCCTGACAGGTCTCCAGGTGTGGAGAGGTGAAGTAACAACCAAACACTTGTTCTTCAAGACAGACTTGGAGCAGGGGTGGGATGGGTTTCTAATCTTTGCCTTGGGTTAAAAGGAATGTGAATTGTAGCACAGGTTGCTAAAACAAGGCCAGCTCTTTGTCATCTCCTGGAACAGGTAAGTGGAAAGAAGGTGCTGCCTTACTAAAATACAAAACAACTTTTCAAAAAAGTTGCATTGATCCTCAGGTGATCCAAAATACAGTCTCCCCTCTACTAGTCAGAGCCTAGGTGATTTCCTCTAGTCCTCTGCTGGAATCGGTTGATTTTTCTGTCTTGCAATTTAGAGATCATCAGGAGCACTCAAAATCAACAAGGGCCTCATGAAGAGTTTTAGTAGGAAAGCTGCTCATAAGGCATGGCTCAGGTTTCCAGAAACTGCTATGTCCTCACACAGTCTGCGTTTTGTTTCAGGATTTAGGAAAATGACTTTTCTTTCAACTTAAAGGATTTGTTTGATTTAATATATCAGTTCACTTCAAAATATTCAGGATTAAGTTACTCTGCTAAAGGAAAGTGTTCATGAGTAGTTACAGAGCCACTTCTAAAGTCTTAGTAAATTAGGAGCATGGCTAAATCACCAGCAATGTAGCTAGAGTGAATATTTATATTACAGTGGGGAGGGGGACAGTAACAACCATACTAAAAAAGGGGAAATTTTTTTTCTCTTTCCAAAAGAAATGGCTGCATCTGGAGGGGCAGAGGGGACAGAACAAGACTATAAAATTAAATGATGCTCAACGACCTCCCTCCCCATTCATAATTGTTCACAGGGCACGTCTTTATCATCCACATTTGGATTCTAAATTTGTGTATTTTATTATTTAGAAAATCGCCTCCTTGAGGAAAGCAGATACATGTTCAAGGGAGAATGTGGGCCACCTCAAGGATGAGAGAGAGAGATACTTTGGGGCAACCCCATTCCCAGCTCTTTTTTTTTTTTTTTTTTAAGAAAACTTGGTACAGGCAGGGTATGGGAAAGTATGTAGGGATGACATCAGTGTGGTGATCACAGATGGTTTAAAGTGGTCAGGTTCTCAGGATCCTTAGATGACCTGGTCCCCATTATCTGATAAATAGATAATGCTAGAAAGTTTCCTAAATTACAAATTTCTTAAAGCTGATATGAAATGCCTATACATTTATCCATTAGATTCAACTTCTAGCACATTTTCATTTGTAATTAAATTATACTCTTTCTTAGCCATTTAAAGAGTAAAATGTGATACTTCATTTATTTGTTGTTGTTGTTTTTGGTTTTTTGCTGTGTTGAGCATAGAAGCTAGGGCCTTGTGCATGTTAGGCAAGTGCTCTACCACTAAGCTAAACTCCCAAGTCCAACACTTGATTTTTCTTTATATAAAATGCTTACATGGGCTTGGGTGTGGCTCAGTGGCAGAGAGCTTGCCTCTCACATGTGAGGCACTGGGTTCGATTCTCAGCACCACATGAAAATAAACAAAATAAAGATATTGTGTCCATGTATAACTAAAAAATATTTTTAAAAAAATGTTTATATGTTGCTGGGCATGATGGTACACTCTTCCCAGTTATAGGGAGGCTGAGGCAAGAGGATCACAAGTTCGAGACCAGCCTGGGAAATGTAGGGGGAGCCTGTCTCAAAAAACACAATGGACTGGGAATGTAACTCAGTGGTAAAGCATCCCTGGTTCAATCCCTAGTACCAAATAAATATCAAATTATTACTTCTAAAACTGGATACAGAAAGAATAATAAAGCCATAAATTTGAAGGAAAATAAACTGCCATTTTCCTTCATACAGTATAGAAATTTATTTTTTCCACCAGACCATTTTCTAAATCTAGTCTTCTTTTTTCTTTTACCCAAAATAGAAATTCTTGATTCTGTTGCTGATAATAAGTACGTGTTTGTTGTATAAATTAAATCAAAATGGTACTATAAAATAAATGTCATCTATAATCACAACTTTCAGAGAAAAATCATTGTTCATTGTATGTCTTTTTCCTGTGAAAATATGTGTAGCCAAGTTTGAGGACTTTTTTTTCTCCCCCCTTGGGATGCTGGGAATCAAACCCAGGGCCTTGCACATGTTGAGAAACCTCTGTACAACTGAGCCACACTCCCAGCCCTAAGTACTTTTCAAATTATTGAATCATTTCTATTATGAATTGATGATTTTGATAAGAAGTTGTTTTTCAAAAGAATTCGTTTTACAAATCCACCCTCAAATGTTCAACAACATGGTTTATTAACTGAAACTGATATTGTGAAATTAATTCCTCCCTGGTATTTAAGTGATGTGATTTTACTAAGCCAATAGTCTTTTTTTTAATATTTATTTTTTAGTTTTAGGTGGACACAGTATCTTTATTTTATTTTTATGTGGTGCTGAGAATCAAACCCAATCCTCATGCATGCTAGGTGAGCACGTTACCACTTGAGCCACATCCCCAGCCCCAGCCAATAGTCTTTTTTTTGGGGGGGGAGGATTGAACTCAGAGACACTTGACCACTGAGCCCTATTTTGTATTTTATGTAGAGACAGGGTCTCACTGAGTTGCTTAGCGCCTTGCTTCTGCTGAGGTTGGCTTTGAACTCGTGATCCTCCTGCCTCAGCCTCCCAAACTGCTGATATTATAGGTGTGCACCACCATAGCTGACCAAGCCAATAGTCTTAGAAATTCTCTAAGTTTATTTTTGTGTAGATGATTTTACTAATTACTGCAGATAATCAGTTCACTGTGAACCTAACACATCATTTGTTTGTTTGTTTGTTTCAGACTGGACTCAGTGTGTTCTACCACAGAGCAATAATTCCCAATCCTTTCTATTTTTTGAAACAGGAGCTCCCTATGTTGCCCAAACTGATCTCAAACTTGCAATCCTCCTGCTCCTGCCCCCTCCTTCCAAGTTATTATGATTATAGGCCTGCACCACCACACCCATCTTTTTTTTTTTTTTTTTTTTTGCTGGACTTAGACAAAAGAAGATACTCCAGTGGTTTATTAAAGGGGGTACATTAAAGGCAGGGATAAGATTTGAAGGATAAGATTTGAAGGTGTAGTTTTGCTTTATGAAGTCTTGCAGTCAGCAGGTTGATTGACATCTTGGCAGGTCTGCCCCCGTTTCAGAGGGGCTATGTGGCTACAATACGTCACCTCATCTCCAGTGCTGTGTGGAACCTTTGGCAGAACTTGAATAGGTCTCACAATGAGGGCAGTCAACTAGAGGAAATGTCTACTGGTCATTCCCAGACACCAGATTCTCCTATTCATTAGGCTTCAATGCATTGTAGCCCATAGGAAGCCCATAGATAGCTAGCAACCACCCAGCATTTTCATTGGATTTTTTTTAAACATATGGACTAAATGGGGAAAATCTAGAATTACTATGGCACAGTGTAACAAAATGTAAAGAATTATAACAACTGGGCACAGTGGTGCACAGGAGGCTGAGACAGGAGGATCATGATCAAAGCCAGACTCAGCAATAGCAAGGCACTAAGCAACTCAGGGAGACCCTGTCTGTAAATAAAATTCAAAAAAATGGGGCTGGGGATGTGGCTCAGTGGTTGACTGCCTCTGAGTTCAATCCCTGGTACCCCCTGCCAAAAAAAAGAAAAAATGTCATAACTAACCCAAGATGGAGCAGATCATGTTTTAAAAAATATCATAGGGCTGGGATTGTGGCTTAGTGGTAGAACTTTTGCCTACTACGTGTGAGGCCCTGGGTTCGATTGTCAGCACCACATAAAATAAAATAAAGGTATTGTGTCCAACTACAACTAAAAAATAAATTTAAAAAAT